CTCAACAACTACGCCCTCCTCAGTCTTTGTCAGATTCCTTGATTTAGGCCAGCGATCTGCTTGTGGAGTCTGTCCTGCGCGTCGGCGGCTTAGTGTTGTATGAGTGACTTTGTAGATAGCTGCAGCGCGTCGCAAGGAGAGTGTCGCGTCTTGTTTAAGAGCTTGAAGGGCAGTCTGTATCTGACGCTCATTAGAAGGCTCTATCTGGTGTTGTTGTTGAGGCATCACGTATAGAGGTAGAGTTGGTGGGGGCTTGGCAAAAGTGGTGCACGAACCTGTGTGGTGCACGAACCCGTGAGGTACGTTATTAGCAAAGGCTAGATTGTATATAATAGAGAGTTAGAAGGCATAACAAGAGCCTTTAAGTTTGCAGCTTCTATAGCTACAGCAACAGAAGAGATCTAAGTCTTTGCAGATAACTAGGCAGCTATTCTAAGGCTAAAGACTCCTTCTAATAACCCTAGACAAGTTTAGCAAATCTGCTACACTAAGGCAGCAAAGGCAATTTACAGCAAAGGCGCAATAGTTAGCCTACACTAGGCCCTAGGACACCTAGATATTGCAGGAAATAAAAAAGCAGACTCCTTAGCAAAATAAGCTACAAAAAAGCAGCTAGTATCTTATACTATAAGCCTTGCAATAACAGGTATTAGGATTAAAGTTATTGCAAGATAAGAGTGGCAATATAAACTCTAGGCCTACTCTATAAAAGCAAAGCTTAGAAATCCTAGCACCTACGCAGCAAGGTTCTTGCTAAAACTAAGAAGTAAAATAACTCTACTAAAAAACACTAGAAGAGAAATTGCTAGCGTATAGTACTAGCTAAAACTTAGACATAGATACAATAAAGTATACCTGTATAATAGATAAAAAATAGAATGCTCTAAATGCAGCTGTAGATATACAAACACCTAAACACCTACTACTTAGCTATAGAACCTACAGAGAAGCAAGAAAGAAAATAAGGAGCAGCCTACAGGAGACAAGGCTAATAATACCTCTTCTCCTAGACATAAAAAGGGTAATCTAAGCTACACTAGCTTTTATTTAAGAGACTAGAGTAGGCACACGTAAGTAGTACCTACAGCAGACAACAGACAACTAATTTCCTTTGTTTATAACTAGAGCACAGGCTCTCACTATATGTCTATAAATCTACATGTACTATTCCCTTACAAAGAAAAAACTTGTAAATTAATAGATGTCGCAGCAAGGATCGAGGTGAGGGTGCATATCACGTGATCCGCATCTGGATATTGGACCGATCAGACACTGGCGATCTATCACGCCATGGTGAGCGGAATTGGGTATAGCTTGGAGCCGTGATTAGGGCTCTAATTAGGGTATAGCTGGATAAGCATTGGTGTATATATTCTGCTCATTTAGCACTGTAGATAGAACAAGGAACTTGATCACTTTCTTCACACTTGATCAACGATCAGAGACCACTCAGCTTCCACAATAGAGTAGTCTCACTGCTCTCGTCCTATATAGTCATAGACTCATACAGGACGTTAAACTAATCAATCAATCAATCAATCAATAAGATCTTGTCAAGCACATACTCTGGCTCACAGTACGAGTATCTGACAGGAATATCAGCTGTGTAGTCTTCTTACGCTAGGCTCATAACTGTGGAAGCTAAGCAGTCTCTGATTGTTGATTAATTGTGAAGAAAGTGATCAAGTTCCTTATTCTATCTACAGTGCTGAATAAGCAGAATATATACACCAATACTCATCTAGCTGTACCCTAATTGGAGCCCTAATCGCGGCTCCAAGCTGTACCTAATTCCGCTCACCATGGCGTGATGGATCGCCAGTGTCTGATCGGTCCAATATCCAGATGCGGATCACGTGATATGCACCCTCACCTTGATCTTTGCTGCGACATTTATTTAAATGCGTTCGTCCTTACTCATAAGTAGCTACTTATGCTTTATGAACGCGTTAGTTCGCAGTCGTTGTTAAGTTATAGCTAATTATACAACAATCAACGCGACTGCACAAATTCTCCTCTGGATTGACTGTAGCCACCGAAAGTAAGGTTCCCAGAGGCGTTTTGATCGGATATGGATACAGTCCATGGCTTGCTTTGTCTTTCCGTCGTTTATGGAAAACGCGCGCTTGCCGTCAGCCGCAGCGGATAGAACATTCGAGGACACTGCAATGTTAAGGCTTGGCTCTGAAGTAGTAGGTCTGATTGTAGGACGAGGTAGCGACGGGCGAGGCTTCTATATTCACCCTTGGCAAAATAATGCTCCACCATGCGCGTCTGTCAAGATCCAGCTACCACACGATAGATGGTGCTAGATATTTTAAGTCCAGCGAGCCTCGACAAGCATTATCGCCGAGTGGACCTGTTCATTTCACGCGTCAATGCTGAGACCGAGGCTCGCATCAAATACACAGCTCTGGTCCTCGTATCGTGAGCCGTTTGCTTTCCGAACTCCCCATGTAGTAGTCCATGTGGTGAGATGCGTACATGAGCTTTATCCGCTGCTACAAATTGAGGCTGTTGATCGAGATGCTCACATAGTGTTCCATTCGAGGAAAGGTGTGATAGGGAAACTGTCCAAAGCGGCGCTATTGAAACCATAGTACAGGTCGTCGACGGGCACTGTAGCTTCTCTATAGACTTGGTGTTGGCCCGACACGAGCCATTGGCCGTCGTAGTCGTAGTTTAGCGAGTTGATATCGTGACCACCAGTATCGAGTATGTCGCGAGGTACAACAGGGACTCGCGAAGGCAGCATCGTTGTCGGCGTGTTGACGGCGAATTGTTCCGGTGTACCCGCTTGCGTCATTTGCGCATTCTCCTGCTCCCGTACGAAGCTCTGTATGATGCCATCCAGATCGAGCCCTTGCAAGCTTGGTCCTCGACCCGTCGTTGCGTTCGAAATCGCTTCTGGAGATTGTCGCTGACTATTGCTGCTGGTATCTTTGTGGATCTGACACTGATCAATACTGTGCATGCGTACCCCAAGCCTCTTCATGAGGTTCTGGACGAGGGCATTAGCGCGTCGGACGGCTGGATTGGTTTCTTGGTTCTCTCTGAAAACCGCTAGACATGCTGCAAGACTACTGTGAGCATCAGAGCCGGGGCCACGCTTAGCTGCAATGCGTGCATGGATTGTTGCAGCAACATATGTCGCATAGGATATAAGATACGGCGCTCTTCTTATGCTAAAGGCTTTATCGAACACTCGCATGAGATGCACGATGTCGTTCGCTGCAGAGGCGCAACACTTCAATGAATTTACGGAGATACTCCGGGAAGTGCTGTAAAGGTGACCATCAGCGACGAATGGATGGTGCAGGAGGATGACCAGTACGTGGTACATGGCACTGTCGAAGTTAGCTTAGTGAGGGAATCGCAACGTTGGAACTCACAGTAGACTCAAAACGTGTGGAGGCGGAGTTGTGGGTAATTTGCCAAGGTCAGCTAGATGAGACGGCAGGTCGCGGTACCAAGTCTGCAAAGTAGCATGGATGCTTTCAAGCTTGGTAGACAGCTCCGCTGAACTCTTGTCAGAGCTGCGCTCTGTGTAGATCGTGCTGAGAATGTCGCTCAATATCAGAGATAGCTGGCACAAGTGCTTGAAGGTTGATATGCTGTACGCTGGAGACCCAGCGTAAGCCACGTCGGACTGTGTCAAGTAAGCCAGTGGGGTCCAGAGCTCGAGCTCCTCGTAGGTGTCCAGAAACTTGATGGGCACCAGAGTATCAGACTCTTTCAGTGTGACTGGCCGCCCCTGATACAGACTCTGTATCTTGTCGACAACTGTGAAGACGTCAGCGTGTTGCAGAGATTCCTACAGACTTTGCTTACCAAATGCAGCCCAGAAGACACGTCGGCGAATTTCAAGATCTTCGTCTGAAAACTTGCGATGCGTTGTAAGGCCCGCCTTGTCAACATGAATGCCCAAGTCGACGATCATACGAAAGGCTAGACCGGCGTACAACCAGGCTGCGCTGCGCTCATCTCCTAGGGCAAACAAAGAGTTACACATGATGAGCAGTGCTTGTATCGTAGTAGTGTCGCTCTTATCTAACGCGCCACCAAGAAGCCCTCGAACACGCTCGCGGAACTGCCAGCCAGCTGTTCGCACATCATCAGCATCCCGTCGAAGCTCGCGGCGTGGGCTAAATTTGGATGCGCTGAAGAAGATGGCATTCAGGAGAAGCTTTGAAAAGTTTGGGCCTTTGCATGCCATATCTCGCATAAAGGCAGGTCGATACGTGATTAAAAACGAATGATGCTGTCGATTCCAGTGAAGAGACAGCAGGTGCTGGCCTAGTTCTGGTTCTACTCCGTCAAAGTCTAGTTTACCGAGACGAAAGTTGACGTCTTCGAGCTGACGTTGGCAAGCAGCTTCAGCAATCAGTCCTTTTCCTACCCACTCTTCGGGCATTCTGGAATTGGCCTCTGGGGTGGATCGGTCATGATAGCTCTCTTCAAAGAGCGTACTTGTGCGGCCATGATAGCTGGGCATGCCATTGGAGGAAACAACGATACGAGACACGCTGTTCGCTCGACTGGCTGAGTCTGCATGAGCTCGAGAAGGACTGTCGTCAGACACTGATTTTGCTCTGGGGGTCTGCGCAGCGGTGAGTTGTTCAAATGCATGTTCTCTCCGTTGCACTTTGCTTGGGCGGGCGGTGCGTGCACGAACGGCATCATCGATGGGCTCGTAATTGCAGCTCATGCCATGAGTTTTGCAATTCGCACATGAAGGTCGTTCGGTGCTACATTTGATCTGCTATTGTCAGCCAACCATATGCACACGCGCGAACAACTACGCGCCTTGCGTCGGCGACAAAAGGTGCACGCTTCGGGTGCGCGCTTTCGCACTCGCCCCATAGCTTGGCCATCGCCAGCCGCAGTCCCATTGCTGCTGCCGTCCATCAAGACGGGCAATGCGCAAGCCAAAGTCTGCAGTCGTGTCGTTGCGCGACAGTGGAGTTTCGCGAAGGCAGTCGGTGTTGCCGCGGGTGCGGCGGGAAGAGAAGGGATGATGTGGATCGAGAGGGCTTCCCGTCATACAAGTCCGTGCACACTCCCCCAATTGTAACTCCAGCATCATTCGACGAACAAGCCATTCACGATAAAGGCATCTACAAGCCATTCGGGCAGCTGCCTCTCTCATGACGTCTGCTGAAAGCATCGCAGTGGCTGTAAAAAAAAAGTAGGGCCGAGGTACAAAGAAATGTTTGGCGCGTTTATGACGAGGACCAAGTAGCCGCTCCCGCGGGAAGACGTCCAAGTATGCTCGCAAACCTAACCTCACCCAACAACGATTGGTGTACATACCTACCTACCTATCAATCCTTTGGACAAGGGTAATGTTCAGCAATTCGAAATTTGGAATTCGATTCACGGGTAATGACTCGGGAGCACTCCCGCAGGAACGCGGATTGCAACACCTACCACCTCGTCGATGATGCACCACCGTGCATGGTGACGCAAACCCGATATCTCCAGGATCCGGTCCACAGCATACTGCTTGTTCCGAGGTTCAGAAGCTGTCATTCAATGTAAGCCTCAAGAAGTTGATACAGCCCGCGGGAAGTGAGAGAGTCGGCGGCGACTTCCTCCAGACCTCACGACTCTAATCTTCCTTCAACGCGACAAAGCAGTACGGGTACCCAAAACAAACGGTCAATCGGAAGATACCGTGTGGGAGTCACGAAAGCTGTCACATAAAGTGTCAAGTTTCGCGTGCAGTAAGGTTTACTTGCAATCTCGAGCATGTGAAACGATGTAAAGCCGGAATCAAAGGTACATCACGAGCATTCATCTCTCATGCTATATTGTGACCTTTGCATTCCGAAAGGGTTCCTTTTATCAGCATTCCACCCTCATTCTCCGGTCATGCATTCTTTTTGAAGTCATTGCACCTCAGTCACCATGGCGACAATTCAGAGTCCCTCATCGCCGTTCGGACGGGCAAGCCGGTTACTTTTCACCCCGCAAGTACCCAAGGCAGCCATCAAATCAGAGTCGAAGTCCAAGACCTCAACAACAGTGTTACTGTCCTCCAGCGCCATCGCCGGCGGGGTAGAAGCCACAGCAACCTACCCCTTCGAATACGCAAAAACCCGAGTGCAGCTCCAGACCGTCCCAAGCTCACACCACAACCCTTTCTCCGTCATCTATAACGTCGCCAGATACGAAGGCATCGGTACTCTCTACACAGGCTGCTCGACGCTCGTTCTCGGCACAGCGTTCAAAGTCTCCGTCCGCTTTGCATCCTTCTCCTACTTCCGCCGCCACCTCGCCGACGAACATGGCGCACTCACACCAGCTCGAGGCGTCCTCGCTGGATCGCTGGCAGGCCTGACAGAATCTGTCATTGCAGTCACCCCCACCGAACGACTCAAAACGCTTCTGATATCCAATGCAACAAACCAGATCAAAGCATACCGCGGAGAGCTTCACGCATACGAAGACATTATCCGTACACAGAGCATCCGCGGCCTATACCGCGGTCTCGTACCCACGATCCTGAAGCAAAGTAGCACTCAAGGCGTCAAGATGGGGAGCTACAACATCATCCGCGAGTTCTCACGGCGACATGACGTACCGCAGAACGAGATGACAGCGCTTGTAACCGGCGCGTTAGCTGGTACTGTTACCGTATACGTCACGCAGCCCTTCGACACGATCAAGACTTGGACACAGAGTGCGCGCGGAGAGGGGACGGTTAACGCGTTCCGGACTGTAGTGCGGCAGTCCGGCTGCACGGGGCTGTGGAGTGGAAGTACCTCGCGAGTAGGCAGGCTGGCTTTTAGCAGTAGTATCCTGTATACGGTGTACGAGAAAGTTGCTACCGCGATGGATGAAGGTTTGGAGAACGAGTTGTTTGTGTATACCCCGATTCGCACGGTAAAATTGTAGTGCTTACTATAAAATGACGTTGATGCCACTTTATCTTCACTTCTTGCGTGCTAATGAGAATAGATTTTTCAGGCAGCACACCATGTAAGCACACTAACAAATGGAACAGCGGATAACTATCTCGGGGAAAATGTCCCGACCTTGGATGCAATCCGAATTCTCTAGTCGGCTCACACGACAAGTATAATGCCTTTCAAATCTCCAGAAAGTACCTAAAGAGAACTATGGCGCACATCCAAGACTAAAGATTCGCAGACCTCGGCTTCCAAAAGTCCACATCAAGCAAAGAGACAGTCACCTACCAAGAGACATCCCAAAGCCGACAGCAGTAGCCCCATCCTAGTCCTTCTCCATGGATACCCCAACAGCGCCTACCTCTGGTGGCACGTCATTTCCCTCCTCTCTCCACATCCCCTCTTTGTCCCCTCCCTCCCCGACTACGGCAACAGCGCTCCTGCAAGCAAAAACGACAAACTCAGCGTCGGTCTGCTCATCATCGATGCACCCGGCGAGCTTCTCAACCCGCCTAACGACCACCAGAAAGAAGACGGCAGGCCCCAACCAGTATTCCTGATCGGTCATGACCGCGGCGCACGCATAGCGCACCACCTGCACATGTCGTCCCCACACGCGCCGATCAGCGGGTTCACGATCACCGGCCTCGCGCTGCTGGACATCGTCCCCACGCTCTCGCAGTGGGCGATCGGCGACTCGGCGGCCGGCGCAACGGGCTGGTTCCACTGGTCGTTCCTCGCGAATCCTTCGATTGCAATTCCAATGACTAAGGCCTACGGCGGCGGGAAATAGGCGGGCGGTATGATTACGGGATGGGCGGGGAGCAACGAGACCGGGCGCGCGAAGAGGGCGGAGGGCGAGGCGTTGCAGGTTTACAGTGCATTCTTCGAGAAAGAGGCTGTGGTCGAAGCGACGACCATGGACTACAAGGCTGGAGCGAGTGCAGATGTGGAGTTTGAGAAGAGGGCTGTCAAGGAGAAGCGGATGATTGAAGTGCCGCTGTTGCTAGTGTATAGTGGCGGGCTCCTGCCGACGAGGGCGAAGGAACCGATTCTCCAGGTTTGGAGTCAGCCGTGGAGCGCTGGGGCGCACTTGATCACTGAAGTTCTGATTGATGGTGGCGTGGGCCATTTCGTGACCGAGGAAGCGCCTGAAGAGACTTCGGAGGCGATAGAGGAGTGGTTGAAGGCACTTTGAGTGTGTTGTGATGAGCAGATTCCACAGCTGAGCTTGGTAGACGGAGTAGGGATGAAAAGTCCAGACGCAGTTCTAACTAGGTCTTTCCATCCTACATACACTATACAATCAGTTCGCCAACTTCAGGGGTTCCACATTCTCTTCGCTTGCTGAGCTCAAACCCCAGAACCGTGTGATCTGTGAAGTACATCATCAGTCTCCACCGCCGGCTGGCGGGCTTGTGGATGCGCGCAGCAGCGCTTGTTTCGTCCTCACTGTCTTCGCTGGGTTCGTCTAGCATACCCTGCACCGGCCCAGCCGCAACACCTATCAGTCTTGAGCCCTCAACATCCCAGATCTTGGTCTTGTCGTCGTTCGCGAACGGCAGCACATACTCGAGGTGGAAACTATACTGGGGTCGTGATTTTGAACTCTGGGACGCTTTTGTCAGGCTGAAGATGCCAGCGCGTCCGTTTGGTGAGGCGACAATGAAGACGCCAAGCTCGGGAATCTGTGTCGTGTAGCAGTGCCGATCATGCGATCCTGGTATGAACGGGTATGGATTCTCACCCTTGTCCGGATGAAGTGGGCGTCGGATGGTGACAATTGGATCCAAATGGTCGCCGGCGTAGTCGAGAGGCCGTTGATAGAGATGCACATCTTCTTTAGTAACTATCAGAAGTGGTGATGTGATATGCGGCTGGAGCTTTTGTCAGTTGTATATCAAGAAAATGGAACGAAGTTCACTGACCTGTCTTGCCAGAGTGAAGATTGTCGTGACCTCACAGTACGCTCGAGCGGGCTGGATTGCATTGGCGAACACCATCTGAGCTTGCGCAGTCGATGGTACAAACAGCTCATCATCACTACCACTGTCGTCGTCGTCCCAGACAATGGTCGCGGTGCCGTTAGACTGCTGGAACCACATCCCGAATGCATTGATGGCGTTGCTCGGTATCTGAGGGTACGTCGGATATGATGTTGGTTCGTGTGACATGCCTTCACCGGTTGAGGCTTCGTTTGTATCTGCCAGTGTTGCGGGCTGCGGACTCAAAGATACTTCCTCGACAATTGGCTCAACAGGATTATCCTCATCGTCCAAACGCTGCGACTGTTCAGCGCTTGACGATCCTGATGACGACGAAGAATGAGATCCGCTGTCGTCATCAAGATCCGAATCGTCTTCTGATACATCCATTGCGCTCACTTCCTCATCAGTTGAGAGATTCTGAGTAGGAACTGGCAGTTGATGATAACCGGTGCCATCTTTTACGCTGAATGGGCCCTTACACGCACTTACATTCTGTATGTACGGCAGTGGGTGATCATGGTGCGGGGGCAGTGCCGAGTCTCGCAGCGACTTGTCTTCATAAGCGGTACTCGCGTCGAGGAACATGTTGCTCCAAACCGCATGCGGGAAATTGCTAGGTCTGAGACAGGCGCAGGTTCCAGGGTTATGTTGGGGTGCTTTAGTGGGATCTTTGACGCTCGCGCAGAACCCGAGCCGAATTATTCGAACACACTTCTCCGGATGATGCAGGTCCCAGATCAAGGTCTCACCATTGATCGAGCAACTTGAGAGCCATCGTCCTACTGTATCGTCGCCACTGTTGATGAAGGATACCGAGGGAACATTGTGGCGCGCAGAGAGAGTAATGACGTGGTCCTGTCGTCGCGGAGAAGGGAAGTCGGCTGGGTCCTCGTCAGAGCACTCTGCAACTTCCAAGTCCGATGAGACCGATGAGCTGTCTGAGCCCTCGCCTAGTTGCGCCAATGCGTATGCAATGACGGTCACTTGGTGGGTATTCGCACTTATTGCAATCATGCGGGCTTCCTGGTGGATGGCCAAGCCCCAAGCGCTAGCACCGACATTGCGATGCAGAAAGGTCCTCACGGGTTCCTGTATGAAGAATTCGTCCTCATCATCTGAAGCCTCCCAGCGTTTGTCAGCAACACGCTGTATCTCCTCGGTGCGGTAGCCGATTACATCGCCGTCGTCACAGGTGATCAGGATGATCTCGTCTTGGCCAAGGTAGTCCACGTGCAGCCTCGTGATGGAGTGCGAGTCTTCGTGATCGATTCCTGGCTCCAGATAGGGTGAGGTTGTTGGTGGGTGCAGTATCAATTCCGGCTCGCCCAATATTGCTTGGTCCGGGAATCTGGGTCGGTAGACATGGACAGCATCATTGCAAGCAACAAAGTAGAAGTTGTGGGTTCGTGACAACGCAGTTAGATCGCAGCGCCATGCTTTGATTTGCGGTCGTTCATGACGGTCGGGGAACTGCGGAGATCAGTACTTCGTACATCAATCAACCTCAAGCAAACCATGGCGGCAGGCTTGAGTGGAAAGCCTACCCTCTTGTGACCCTGTTGTACACTTGTCGCCGTGCAAGAAATGAATTTCGACATCCTTGGCCCACATTGCTGTGACTTTGAGGTGGCTGCGACGTTGTCGGTTGTCTTGCAAAAGGTACGGTAAGGCTTCAAGGAAGTGGAGCGTGACGTTTAGCGTCAAACTTTGTTTCCTGATTGGGTGCACCCACATGCTGCTTCATTCACCATTGCTGCAATTGTAGAACGGCAGTATTTTCATGACGACTTGTGCAGTGACATAAGGTACCAGTGGGTTATCAAAACGACGGTAGTGTTGGTGATTGAACCGCCCATGCATGATCTCGCTCTATAATAATGATGCTGTAATTCTAAATTCATGAACCAGCTAGGGTGCTCAGGCGGTAACCCAAGGCTTCTCAGATGTGTAACATTGCCACAGCTCCAGTATATGGTCCCAGCAGTCGTGTGTTGGCTAGATCAGGCGATCGAACGCTGTCTAGTGCTTCGCAGTGACCTTGTCGCCAGTGAGCTTCTCGACCGCCTCCTTTGCACTGGGCGCGAGTTAGTAAATTTACAAGAAACAGCAGTTGACGAAGGTACGTACACATCACCAAGAGCAACCATGCAGACCGTCTGCCAGATACCGAGACCGATTCTGGGCGTGACACCGCGGTAGAGACCCTTGATACCGTTGTTGGAGTAGATGTACCTCGCAGCGGACGCGACATTGAGGTTCTTGGGGCGGTTGGGATCGACGGTCTTAGACTGAAGCTCGACACGGATGACCTCGATGGGCTGGTTCCATGCGCTCAAACCACCACCAACGGCAGAAGCGGTGATCTTCTCGATGACACTCAGCTTCTCGCCGCCCTCCTTACCGGTGAACCTGCGGATACCGGTCTCGGCAACACGGGACAGACCGAAACGGGAACCCCAGTTGGTGACCTGGCGCACAGCGACGGCGTTGACGCCGCGGTTGATGCCACGGAGGCCTTCGGCGCGCCAGATGCCCATGAAGGTCTCGATGGTGGTTGGGGGCTTGCCGCCGGCAGCTGCGACCTTGTGCTTTGTGATCTCGACCGTCTTCATGCAGGTGCAGAAGCCCATAGTAGCGTAGGCCTGCGCGAGACCACCAGCCATACCACCCGAGATACCGGCGAGGAAGTCGGGTGCGCCGAACGACTTGGCGTAAAACTCGGCCTCGGAGGCGACGAAGAGGAGGACGGCGCCCTTGGTGGAGGCTTCGATCCAGGCCCACGGGATGAGACCCTGGTAGACTAATTCAGGAGCGTGTCAGCGCGCGCTCTCGAGCAGCAGCAGCAGCAGCAGTGCATGGCAACTCACAGCCAAAGACTCCACCACGACTCCAGACGCGAGCAACGGCGCCCGCCATGCCCTCAGACCTATTGGCAGCCATGGTCGTCTTGACGACTTCCAGCGGCTGTTCGCGGCACTGTCAGCTCTTGCGCTCTCCGCTGTTAGTACTGGAGGCTGCGATCGTACCTGGCCCAGAGTCGTTACTTCGAACAGGTTGAGACCCGCACCAACTGCGCGCCCGTTAGCTTGTGTCCCACGGCGGCCGTCGCGCGCACTCACGCAGCAGGTTGCTGAACTTGACCGGCTTCTTCTCGAGCCTGGGCGGCCCGTCGGCCATGGTGGGCACGCCGGTGGGAGGTGTGGAGCTCATCTCTGGGGTTGGCTTATCGCAGGTGTGGGCCGGACCAAGGCTGGAGGGTGCTTCGTCGCGAGAGAGAGACAGTGTGTGTGAGGAGGAGCGAGAGGACTGGCAGCTTGAGAAAACTGATGGGGTCTCTGCGCAAACTCTCGGGCGGTCAAAGTGTCGGCAGCGTTCCACGGCGCTGTGTCGGCGCCAGGTAAGCTAGGTGGTGTCCCTGAAGCTGTCGGGGATCTTGGCTGGCTCCCGAGCTGGCTCGAAACGGTGAGGCTTGCGACGAATCAACTGGCACGTACGAAGTATCTAGGCAGGTATCTACCAAACTTTGCGTTGAGACTGCAGCTCTTGCAGTGTACGTGCGGCGCTGGTTTTACACGCCGGAGCACACGGCACCCTGCTCTTGCAGACTTGCACACGGCCGTGGACTGAAGGCTGCCTTGTTGCCCGTGAAGCTGTCCGGTAGAACGCTGTACCTCGGGCACCAGCCCGCTCTTCATGTGGGCCGAGCAGCCCGCAGACAGACTCTCAACAAAGCCGCAGCACTCCCGCGGCTCCCAACACGCCCACCCACCCCAACGTCTGTGTACCGCCTCAACACTAATACGATAGTGGTCCATGTGCATAGCAACCGATTTGTGCACTGATCTCCATGGTCACGCTGCGAAAAGTCACTGACCTCCATGGTTACGCTGCGAAAAGTTGAGCGCTGGTCAGTAGCCGCGGCGTTTGCAAATGCTCATAGGTCGAGTCGAACGTTAGATATGATAGGTATTGTAGCAAGTCGTTTACTAAAAGGCATACTGGAGCAGAGACATCCAAGGCTATGATGCGTGCTAAGACACCGAACGCACCAAATCCGTATCCCTACAATCCCATAGTACACAGGCGTCTCTTGACATTTCAAAGAATTCCTCATATCGCTCCTCAACGGCCGCGCAGATCATGACAATATATTTACAACTTGGCGCCGACCAACTTGGCGTAAGCCTCGGTGGAGAAGGACTTGGGGCGTTCGATGGGGGCACCGACGGCACGGTCGATGATGAGCTGGGGCAGCACACCGAGAGCACGGGACACACCGAAGAGGACCGTGTAGTAGTTCTGCTCCGTGAGGCCGTAGTACTGAAGGAGGACACCGGAGTGGGCGTCGACGTTGGGGTAGGGGTTCTTGGTCTTTCCGTGCTCGGTGAGGACACCGGGGGCGATCTTGTAGACCTGGCTGACGAGCTTGAACATGGGGTCGTCGGGCAAGTGCTTCTGGGCGAACTCGCGCTGGGAGACGTAACGGGGGTCGGTCTTGCGGAGGACGGCGTGGCCGTATCCAGGAACGACCTGGCCGGCCTTGAGGGTGGACCAGAGGTAGTCCTTGATAGCCTCGTCGCTGAGGTCGTTGCCAATGGCCTTCTTCATCTTCTGGAGCCAGACAAGCACCTCCTGGTTAGCCAGACCATGGAGAGGACCGGCAAGACCGTTGAGACCAGCGGCCAGGGAGAGGTAGGGGGAGGACAGAGCGGAGCCGACCAGGTGGGTGGTGTGGGCGGAAACGTTGCCACCCTCGTGGTCAGTGTGGATGGTCAGGTACAGACGCATCAGCTCGACGAAGTCAGCGTTGTCGGCGAAGCCGAGCTGGTTGGCCAAGTTGTACGAGTAGTCCTTGTCCTTCTGGACGGGGGCGACCTTGCCGTCCTTGTAGACGTTGCGGAAGATCTTGGCGGCGATGGTAGGGAGACGGGCGATGAGGTTCATCGAGTCCTCGAAGGTGTGCTCCCAGTACTGCGACTTGTGAATGCCCTTGGCGTAGGCCTTGGCAAACTCGGACTCGTGCTCGAGAGCAGTGACGGCGAGCGAGAACTGGGCCATGGGGTGGAGGTCGCTGGGGCAGCGGTCGATGAGCTCCTCGACGAACTTGGGGACGGCGGAGCGTGCAGCCCACTCGGCGGACAGGTCGCGGACCTGCTGCTCAGAAGGGACCTCGCCCGTCAGGAGGAGCCAGAAGAGACCCTCGGGAAGAGGCTCCTGACCGCCGGGGGCCTTGGGGAGCAGCTCCTGGCACTCGGGGATTGTCTTGCCGCGGAAGCGGATACCCTCCTCGGAGTCGAGGACGGAGCCCTGCGTGCTGTCAGCCGGACGTCATTCTGCCTGTGACGAGATTTTGTGCGTACCTCCCAGACGAGGGACTTGATGCCACGGGCACCGCCGTAGACCTGGTCGAGGGTGACCTCGCCGATGACCTTGTTGCCGTGCTCCCTGTGATGCAATGTCAATGGCTGCTCGCATCATCGCGACTGCGACGCAGGCTGGACACGTACTTGCGGAGCTTCTTGATCTTCTCGATCTCACCGGGCAGCTTGGCGGCGAAGGTCTCCTTCAAGGACTATGATTGACCCCGTTAGCGATGGAGCCAGATAGCGACATGTTGTTGGGCGCGCGCATACAGTGGTCTTGGAGGAGTAGGCGCGGGCGCCAGCGAAGGCAGCCTGCCTCACGGGGGCGGCGGCGCGGAGAGCGCTCTGGCTCAGACGGAGTGCGGAGGCCATTGTTGGTGATGAGGTGCGGAAGATGACAATACGTCAAGATGGCGGATGGAAGGGCGGGTGGATGCGACCTTAAGAGGCTGAGAAAATATCATAGCTCAGGTCCCGCTTCTCACCCATCGAAAACCGCCTAGCCGGAAGCGTTGCTGCGCCGGGTCTTCCCTCGGCACTCTCTCGTGCGAAGGGAACGGTAGGTTGTCAGTTCATGTTTCTGAGCTGCAGGTCGCAGACTACTCCGTTGATTGCTTTCGTCTTCTGCTTCACCAGTGCGGACTGCCTCAGTGCCTTCTAGCTGTGGAGACAGCTTGAGCAGCCGGACATGTCGGAGCTACGTAATGTGAGTACCCAGGAAATGCGCCCAACAATAATAATCTGATCCGGATTGTTTCGCACACCCATCCTGCACCAACATGCAGGCAATTTCCAAGGCTTTTCGCTGTAGCCACATGCAGCTCCTCCGCAGGTTTGGGATTCCGTGGTGATTTTGCTTCTCGATTTCTATATGGGAAGCTGTAGTGCCGATGACGTGCTGGGAGCTTCAGCTCAGTTGTACATTCCAATCCTATGTCTGTGTTCTGCAGCTCGCTGAGCTGATCTAACAAATACGAATACAAGTCCAGACCCACCATGCTGGGCCGCCCTAGTGACTGCTCTCCGGCGCGGGTGAAAGCTGCTTTGAATACGTCACGTGGGATTGCTAGCGCGGCAGCTTCAAACTCATCACTCGGCACGGCAAGTCCAGTTCTTTCACTGCTTCCAAATACGCCTGCGCGTTTGAATAGACCAGACCAGCAACCGCGCCTGCACCTTTCCCTCTGCTTTTCTGATACTCTGGAGGTAGCTGCGAGTGGCCAACTCTCGCACGTGAAAGATTGCGCAATACTGCTCTCACCGCGTTGTCGCGTAGAAGTAGTCTCCACAACGTCTATCAGCTCGACTCAACCACAGCGCACGCCCGCCGGTCTCTCTGGACCAGTTGCTGTATTGCGCATTGCTCGATCAACTGCTTGTTCGTCATACCTTCTTCGTACAACCTAGACTGCTCCACCACGGATCTTGACCAGCGGTCTCGAGTACAGTCTGTGTGTCTGCCGCTCGGCTCGCTCACCAAACTGCAAATTATCTGCACACGCCCGCCGGAGATTTCCTTTTCTCACCATCAGTCTCTTCTGATACACTAAACATAAGCATGGCAGCGATGGACGAGCTGGAGACGCTGTTGCAGTCGCTCCAAGCCTTGAAAGCACCTGGCGTAACACCCACCAAGGTCAAGGCCATCACCGCGATCTGCGTAGAGAATATTCAGGTATGCCGGCTGTCGAGTCATTTCTGGCGCACGTCGTTCCCGCACCTTCCAAGGCCTTTACTAAGTTCTCTCCCTGTTTTTAGTCCGACTCGACCATCATCCAAAAGATCCTCCAGCAGCTCCAGAACAGCGCCGCGACACATAAACTCGGTGTACTATACGTGGTAGACTCGGTTACTCGCCAATGGGTAGAGAAGGCCAAGGCGGCCGGGCAAACAGTGTCCCGCAATGCAGCTCCTGGAACATATGCCGCAGGAGTGCAGAAGATGACGGACGTGCTACCAGCCGTGATGAACGATCTCGTTCAACATGCACCTGACGCTCAAAAGGACAAGATTATAAAGCTTCTTGACATTTGGCAGCGCGGACATACGTTCCCTCTAGACATGCTCGCGACCTTCAAGCAGCAGGTGAATGGCACACCGCAGAGTAAGTGTTTCAATCCTCCCTTCTCTGCATTCCTAATGGCTCTTCGAGTAGATGCCTCTACAGCCCCCAGGAGCCCACCCAAGGCCAAAAAATTTGTGTCAGCTCCCCGACCTCAGACTAACACGCAGCACACGGCTGCTACTGTGCCCTCGCCAACGATTGCGCAGAACTCCCAAGATCCTGGTGCCATGCTCGCAGCTCTCTCCGCGTTTGGACAGCAGAACGGTCAGACTAACGCAGCACCTGTTGGTCTTCCTTTCCTTCAGAACATGGTGCCGCCACCTCCTCCCCCAGGGTTTGTTCCTCCACCACCACCCGCAAGTGTGCAGCCTGCTATGCCACCCCCTCCGCCAGCTGGTATGAACGATCTGGCCAACCAGATTTTGCAAGCCTTGAGTGCAGGTTCAATTGCGCCAGATCAGGCCATTCAGGTACTAAATGCTTTGGCGGCAGCACAAAACGGAGGGGCATCTTTGCCATCCGCACAACCTCCAGTGGCACCGCAAGCGAATACACTGGCGCAATCAGCCGCGCAGAACGGTGTTGCTCAACAGCGCTTCGAGCAAAACGATACCAAGATGAGAGATCGTAGCAGATCGCCTGATTATCAGCGTCGCGCAACTCCTAGCCGTAAATCACCACCAAACCGTCGGGAGAGCCCCGTGTACGGTGCTTATGATCCCAACGCAGCCATTGATGGCAATGCGGGCCGCTCTGATCGCAATGATCGCGGTCGTGGTCGCGGTAAGGCTCGAGGCGGTCGCAATGATCGTAGTGAATACCGCCAGCGTACACCGCCGGCGCAGCGGCGACAGCCCAGCCCACCTAGAAACGTAAATGGCCAGTCACGTTCTATCGAATGGGACCAAAGTCTGCCTCGAGATCACATCAGGGTACTTAGTCGCACACTGTTTGTAGGCGGCGCGGGTGGCACAGAGGATGAGATTCGGACTATCTTCAGCCGCTTTGGTAGGGTTCAGACTTGCATTGTGAACCAAGATAAGCGACACGCCTTTGTCAAGATGTTGACTCGACCTGATGCTGTTGCTGCTAAGGAGGGCATGGACAACCTGCAAGATCCTGTAGCGCAGTCAAAAGCTCGGCAGGTAGGTTGTTTCTTGTTTCCTAAGAAGGATGAAACTGACTTTTCTAGACGCGATGGGGAGTTGGTTTCGGTCCGCGCGACTGCAGCGACTACAGCAGCGGCATCAGCGTGATTCCGATTTCACGACTGACTGATGCCGATCGCAAGTGGGCTTTGACAGCAGAGCACGGCGGCACAGGCGGACGGCCGCTCGAAGGTGGCATGGTCCTCGAAGAACCTGACATCGAGATTGGTGCAGGTGTCTCATCTAAGGGTGAGCTATACTTGATCTTTATGCAATGAGCAGTCCTAATCTCAAGCAGCGATCAGCAGACGCGTACCGACAGATGGTGGACGGGGCGGTCGCGGTGGGTTTGGCAATCGGGGCGGTCTCGACAGTGGCGCAAAGTTCCGCAAGCAGGAGCAACAGCAACAACACCAACACCAACACCAACAACAACATCGTCCCGCCCATGATCCGCGCCACGTGTCGCCACGAGCTGAACAGGGTGTAGCAGTCCCACCGGCAGTTCCGGGGTTCGGCTTCCAGCTACCTGGCTTCCAGGCTCGGTGAGAGCACATGTAGCCATCTAACAGCTCGGTATCGACAAGGCCGCACGTTGAGTCGACCGCCTCGATGTGCAGGTCACGTTCACTGCTAATTTGTCACCCCATGTACGTTTTGTATGTGGGTCCGGACAGTCGTGTACCAGCGTCTGTAGACGACAGTGTACCTCGAGCTTATTTGCATAGCGCTGGCGTTGCGGGAAAATCCACCTGAGGTGCAGGTGAGAAAATATGATGTATCAGCACGACGGATGGCTTCGTCCTCCTATTCCAGCTGCAGCATTGTACGATTATGTAATTCTATGAGCCTTGTAGCATCCACCGCATGGTACAGTTTATCTTAGCAACAAGTGAATCAAAAGCAGCATGACGTTCTCATGTCCTAGTATATCGGTTTTGATTGGTCTGTGGACCGAGTCTATGGTGTTCTTACATCTGGGTCCACGTCGTAGATGATGCGGCCAGTACTGTGGAACATGCCCGCCTCGATCTAGCTGTCGCCCCAGGTCAGGTCGAACCTGCCGGGGGCGATCTCATAATCTTTCAGAGTCTGCAGGACCTCCTCAGCACTCAGGGCCTCTTTGATGATACCGGCATTGTTGGCGCCCACGAAGCCAGCGGTCACGGCATTCTTCACCCACTCAATCAGCCCCGTCCAGTAGCCGTCGACGTTGTAGACAATGACAGGCATGCTGTGGATGCCCAGCTGGTTCCAGGTGGTGACCTCCATTAGCTCCTCAAAGGTGCCGTAGCCGCCGCTCAGGGCTACGAAGCCGCCGCCGGGCCCGCCCTCGATGACCTCGCGAGCCATCATCCGCTTGCGCGTGTGCATGTCTTTGACGACGGTGGTGCGGCCGTAGACGGCCTCGTCGATGCGGTGCGAGCCCGGGTCCGCGGGGTCGTGGTTCTGCTCAAACTCGACCAGCGGCGCGGGGATGATGCCGTGCACGCTGCTGGGCCCAGAGAGCGAGACCAGCGTGCGCGCCACTTCGCCCATGAGGCCTACGGTGCCGCCACCGTAGACAAGCGTGGTGCCCGACTCGTGCAGGGCGCGCGCGAGCTGCCGCGCGGACTCGAGGTGCAGGGGCGACGTGCCGGAGGAGGAGCCGCAGCTGCGTGGTGTTAGCTGTGTGGGCGTGGGATGACGGAAGGGGTGGATAGGTACAAGACGCAGACTGCGGGCTTCTTGGTAGTGCTGTTGGCAGTGCTGTTGGCGGTGCTGGGGAGCGTGTCGGCCATGTTGGGCTGGGTTGTTCACTTGTTCACTGATCGTGGTGAGGCAAACAGGCTTGTACAAATCAGTAGAGGAAGGATCAAGTACGATGCTCGGTGCAAGCACAGAGTCACAGAAAGGGGCGCCCTTGCGGCGGGGTTGCACAGTACTGTGGGACGACACAGATGTGGGGGGGGGGTGCAGCGAAGAGTGTGGTGGTGTCGTTGGTCGACGTTGGTCGACGTTGGTCGACGTTGGGCGACACTGGTCTATACACAGTAACCACTCGAGTCACGGCATGTTGGGTCTTCGCTGGATGCATGGCGAGAGCTGCAGCGATGAAGTTGCCTGCACGTCAGCCTGTCAGCCGCGGCCGCCTTGGCTGGACCTGGTCGTGGGGCTAACAAAAAGTGGGACCACGGCAGGCATGGCGCGATGGATCTGGGGACACTGTGACTTCTGCAGCCATCGCCAACGCTGTGCACTGAACGAACCAGAGTCGCAATCGACTCTCTGCACACGCAACCATGCCCGAAGTACAGCAGGCAGAGGCCCAGCCGGCGGCCCAGAGCGTGCGTGCCTGAGGCAGCCCCTCCCTCCATCGCGCACTTAATAGCTGACGACATGGCAGTTCCTCAAGACGGCGGCGCAGAGCATTGGCATGTTCCTGCTCATCCAGGGCGGCATGAAGTACTTTCTCAAGGCCCCCGTCCCTGCCGCCTCCACGCCCGGCCAGCCGCACACAGCGGCCCCCGGCGGCGGTGGCGCTGCCGTCTCAATCCCCGCGTGGGAGAACCGCCCGCCCCAGCTCGACGAGGGCGCCGAGTACAGCAGCGTGCCCTGGAACATCGCGCCCATGTGGCAGCTTGGTCAGGAGCTTGACATCGCCATGTACATCTCGCCCTCGGTCGCCATGCCCGCGCTCAAGGCTATGCCCAAGGACTCGCTGCTCATTGACGAGAAGAAGTTTGTCTACGGCGACTACAAGCAGAACCGGGAGGTTCACGTCGAGTTTTCGGTGCCTACTGAGGTCCAGCACAACGCCTCGCTGCTCGCCCATTTCTATGTGGGCAAGAGCGGCGCCGTGCTCGATCCGACCCAGCCTGGCTACGATCCCTCGGCCGCTTACTACTTCATCCGCCCCCTGACCCAGCACCAGCCCAAGAAAAAGATCTCCAAGACCAGGAACCTGCTCAGCGACATGCCCGAGAAGGACGCTGTCGAGACCGAGGCGGAGAAGCAGGCCGGCAAGGTCATTGGCAACTACTACCACCCCAACTTCACCATCTCCATGATCCCCGACTCGGGCGTGCTCAGCTACCCACAGATGCAGCCCGGCCCTAGGAAGTTCGTGCAGCTTGAGGCTACAGGCCAGCGCGACGCCACCGGTCAGCACGGGTGGTACTACCCCATCCTCTACACCAACACCTTCTGGCAGCTCAAGAAGCACATGATTGAGCTCAACGACACCGTCAAGACGCTGCCCTTGAACGTCAACCTGAACAACTTGGCCAACTGGAAGTTCAACTTGTTCGCCTCGGTGGACGAGAACCTGCGCTCGACGGCCGCTGCTGCCGCTGCCGGTCAGTCTACTCCTGGTGGTGGTGACGGATCAGAGATGGAGATGTTCAAGGAGATCCTCATCGACAGCAACTCGTACCTGCTGGCCATCACGGCCGTTGTCTCCGTGTTCCACATGATCTTCGAGATGCTTGCCTTCAAGAACGACGTCCAGCATTGGCGCAAGAAGAAGGACAACGTCGGTACCTCGGTCCGCACCATCGTCGCCAACGTCTTCATGCAGACTGTCATCTTCCTGTACCTCCTCGACAATAACGAGAACACCTCCTGGATGATTTTGTTCGGTCAGGGCATGGGCATCGCCATCGAAGCCTGGAAGATCACCAAGACAGCCAACATCCGCGTGCGCGCCACCGCCCCTGGCTCTCTCATCCCCTACACCATCGTCCTCGAGGACAAGCACGTCGCGTCTGAGATTGAGAAGAAGACGGAAGAGTACGATCAGATCGCGTTCAAATACCTCTACATGGTCGCCGTCCCGTTGCTCATCGCCTACGCCATCTACTCGCTCATGTACGACACCCACAAGAGCTGGTACTCCTTCATCATCACCACGCTTGTCGGGTCCGTCTACGCCTACGGCTTCCTCATGATGGTGCCCAGCCTGTACATCAACTACCGCCTCCAGTCGGTCGCGCACATGCCCGGCCGCGCCATGACGTACAAGTTTCTCAACACCTTCATCGACGACCTGTTCGCCTTCACCATCAAGATGCCCACCCTGCACCGCCTCGCCACCCTGCGCGACGACGTCATCTTCTTTGTCTACCTGTTCCAGACCTGGAAGTACAAGATCGACTACACGCGCGTCAACGAGTTCGGACAGGGCGGCGACGACGAGGAGGTCGAGGAGAAGGACGCCAATCGCCCGCTGCAGGCGCATCCCGATGGCGACAAGAGCCTGAAGACGCCCCGGGCGGTCGAGAAGGTCGAGCAGAAGGAGACGGCCACGGCGACGGGTGCGCAGAAGCAGAGCGCGAAGAAACGGAAGTGAGGCGCTAGAGTCAGTGGAGAGACTCGTGGAATACCTCGCTGTGTAGAATGTGGATCCGGCAGATCAGTGCCCGATGGAGAAAATTGAATCTTGGCTTCCAAAGTCAATGCCTCTCGTCCATCTCAATCGTGGTCGTCCGTCTAAACCAAGACGCGTGGTTTGTGAGGTAGCCGACTGAGCGGATGCGCACAGTCACATACCATCCAAGCCCAATATGCCGTCGTACTATGCTAGAGCACCGCCGCGTTCCCTGCACAGTCTACGACGACGGTCCAACCGCTGCCACCGTACCTCATCTCACAGTTGCTATAACCAGACGCGTAGGGCCCAGATATGTCTTGAACGACATGGTATCCGACGATATTGTCTTAACTGTGCATGGCGTGTCTTCATCCACATCGTTGGGGGTAAACGAAATCTACATCTTCTCCTGGTCGGTACGCGGTCAACACAGGGCTGATGGGGGCTCAATGCTGCACGCGGGGCGATTCCGTGAGTGTCTAGGCAGTTCCTGAACCAAGTTTGTGACAAACATAATCATGTACAGTAGTACAAAGCGAGACGTCTATACTGCTCCCTGGAGACTTCACACAAACCTCGGCGAGAAGTTCTTCGATGGCTTTGCCCGGACACTAGACAATTAGACTCTCGAAAGTTCCAATGAAATGGCAGAAGATCGAGTGTTCTGTGACGTTCAGTACCATCATCCACCCGACCCAGTCTATGCATTATTCGTGCTCTTCGTCAGTAAGGGGTATCTCGTATAGGACAGTGTTGACCTTTATTAACTCGACGTACAAAGTGGATGCGGTGCTCTCGACAGCGCAGTGGCGTGGCTGCTAGGTATCTCTTGGATGACGCTGGGCGAACCGTGGGGAACCTCAACGCACGCACAGGTCGGCAGTCTCGGCATCTGTTCCGATGCATTCACCAAGTGACACAACTTTGATCAACACAATCGCCATGGAGGATAGGTGGGTACGACCCTTGTCCAGATCTGGTTGGCTCTTGCAAGTCTGATTGATCCACAGATCTATGCTGCATCATTGCTACTTCTGTACTCAATACGATGGTCTGCAGTCGCACTGATTAGGTATGGCGGAGGAGTTACGCAACATGTAGCGATCAAATTCATCCGCATTGGTGACATCTCCTCGGATTGCCAACTGACTTAAGGCCTCCCGGAGAACTGCCCTGCGGTCCTGGTTAAAGGTTCGCACGTCACAGCCTCGGAATGGTCGTGCGTTCGTATTGCAATCTGCTGTGGCGCCGACCGCGCGTCACTAGTCGTCAGCTACATCTGGTCTGTCAAAGAAAGATCTCATCAGGGGACAAGTACAGCGTAGCTGACCTAACAGTGTACTGAGCCTTCCTTTAGTCATCGTCTGATGCAATGACGGACATCGACCCAACAACACCTGGCCGCAAGCGGGCGTGGGGCTGCACAGGGTGTGACGGGACGGAATACTAAGCTTTGCTAAGCTTTTTAGCGCTGACTTCAAGTGTTCGGGCTGATGTTAATGTCGACAGAACCCTGGAATCGTCACTTCAAGTGCCGGATCTGACAGCACCGTTACCTGAAAAGGAAGACTGCATGGGCACTCTTACAAAAATAAATATCAATAGCGCGATCGCCGTTAAGACTCCTGGGGGCCCTCGTAAAACCTGTCATTTGCTCGGGAATAAGAACGGCCGACAAGGCCAGCGCAGTCTGGCGGGCAATGGTTCTGGACAACCAATGCCGATGGCCCGCTTGAAGTCGTATCGTGAGCTCGGGTCGACAGTCAATAGATTCAGTAGATCAGCTTGGCACATGGACTTGTTCATTTAAGCTTCTGGCCGCTCCGCTTGCTTTGCTTGTAGGCTCAGCTCCTATCCAACTCTTGTCACTCGTTCAGCTTTCTTTGCACACGTTTAATATGCACCTTCTTCTTACCTCCGCTGCGCTTGCAGTCTCCTGCAACGCATTTGCGCTTCCCTGGACCACGAGAGCGGTCGATGCAACTCTTCCGGCTTTGCCTCTATCAAACTTCGAAACGCCCAAGTATGCGCGTCTACTCGAATTGGACGAAGCGCTATCCGGTGCGAACGCCACGATCACAACGATGAAACCCGCTGCTCTGCAGGCTGCCAAGGACAAAATGCCTACACTCGTTATCCCCAAGAACTTAACACTCGCAATTGAAGGCATCGCGGAAAGTTTGACGACAAGCTTGACGACAAGCTTGAAGGTGGAGTTGGGCAAGTTCGCCAAAAGGCAAAGCACCTGCTCAAACGTTCGCACTCGTGTGGAGTGGGACCATGCATCCGACAGTCAACGACAAGGATACGTCGACGCTATCAAGTGCCTGATGCAGCAGCCGCCCTCAGGCCAGTTCTCTGCTTCTAAGTCACGCTACGACGATCTTGTCGGCCTCCATCAAACATTGACGCCCAGGGTGCACGGAAACGCCAAATTCTTGCTCTGGCACAGGTACTACACATGGACATACGAGTCGCTTCTTCGTGAGCAATGTGGTCTGACTGGCCCCCTGCTGTGGTTCGACGAGACTCGCTATGCAGGTAACTATGCGGCATCATCGATCTTTAGTTCTCAGTGGTTCGGAAGTATCAACCTTGGTGGCAACTGTGTGACTGATGGAGTGAGTATTCGCCCTACGAACAGTGAATCCGAGAGTTTGCTGACTTGAAAAGCAATTTGCGAACCTCGCTCTCGTTTACGGACCAGGAACGAGCAACACACCTCACTGCTTGGCTCGCAACAATGATGACTCTAAGACAATCAACACCGGCAACGCCATTGTCGATGCCTGCAACAGCCGTTCCGACTACGCTGATATGGCTGCGTGGTGAGTCGAACCATAGGTCCGCTCGCTGAGATTTCACTGACAGTGTGCTAGCGCTGAAGGTGGTGCCCATGCATGGGGACATAACGGAATTGGGGCTGTTATGGCTGATGTTTACGCTTCTCCATCTGATCCCGTCTTTTTCTTGCACCACGCCTTCATCGATCGCAATCTGCGTATCTGGCAGAACAATGGAGGCAACGCGCGTGTGTCTAGCATTGACGGCACCGACGCCTCTGGAAATGCTCTGACACTGGACACTAAGATCAATGTTTATGGTTTCCGCCCGGACGTCACCATTGGCGATATTCTGGATACCAAGGGGTCGACGCTGTGCTACAAGTACGACTACTAGTTAATTCGATTCGCAGATTGAGGTGGAGGCGTTATCTGCACGCACGTATTTCTTACAACTTCTCGGGCTTGGACCATAAGTTTCAGTGCACCTGTATTTGAAGCGATTGGACAGTAGCTCCTATTCAGACAGACTTCTTCGCTGCGCACGCTCTTGAGACTTTGACAATTCCGCTGATAAGGGCTGAGATGCGGCTTCGTGTCGTACTCTAGCCCGAGCATAACGAGTACGCATAGGGACCGACCACTCACAGGTGCGTGCGTGTCTGAATTGTGGCTTGCTCAGTCGTAAAGCTTGTCCGAGAGCCCACCTCATTCCAATGCCGCGGAAAAGTGCAGAAATGAAGCCAATACCTTATCTACTGGTACTCGTTGGCCGTATCTACCCCCTTGCCATACGCAGCGAACAACATGATCATCGAGCTCATCGAGTTCATCACGCTTGACATCTCAATTTCTGGTCCGGAACTTGCCGAGGAATCCTGCCTTCTCCTTCGCTTCAAAGCGGGGCTTGTACGCATTGGATCGTAGAGAGTTGAAGATGCTGAGCCCCCACTCAGGGCCGGTCGTCAAGAGCCGACCTCGGGAACCGAGAGCCAGACGGTGACGCACGGGCGGCGGCATTTTCTTCACAATCTATTATCCTCAACCACTCGCAAGCGGCACTTCGCAGACAGAGCGGATCACATCGAGGTCAAACATGGCCGTAATTCAAGAGTCGGAAAGGGCGCCAGATGCGCGGGAGACAACGCCATTGTTGTCGCGCATAAAGTCAGACGAGGCAAGAGCTGGACCGCGGGGCACCTCCGTGCAATGGCGCCTCATGCTTTGCGCTTTCTTGGTGTCCCTTTCTTTCAGCATCACCCAAGTGCCGATGCTGTTCGTCATGAGAGTCATGACTTGCGATGCCTACTACGAAGACCTCCGTCATGTACGCGATCCCACAGCGAGAGATGTATGCGCAAAGCATGAGATCGAAGCCAGCACCGCGCGATCCTTTGCGCTTCTTGCAGGTTCAACTACATTATTCGGCCTCATGAACCTCCTTGTGACCGGATGGACGATCAAACGCTTGGGTGTCAAGAGGGCGCTGATCATTCAGGTATTCTGGCCTGCTGTGAGGCTACTTGTGCAGAACATTGGCGTATCGAAAGGCTCCAGTGCTGGTGTTTTGATCCTCCAGGCCAGCCAGATAATCACCATTGTGGGTGGTCCTAACGGCTATATTCTTGCCTTGAACTCGTTCGTGGCAGACGTGGTGGAGCATGAGGACCGGACAGGCGCGCTGGGTCGACTTCAAGGCTGCATGTTATTCGGAGCTGCTGTAGGCTTCTTGATAGGCGGGTTGATTGGAGAAGCATTTGGAATCGCCGCGCCATTTCGTATGACTGTGGTGTTGTTCCTGTTGTCATGTGCTTATGTCGCAGGGTGTCTCCCATCGACGCCGCCGCATGAGAAAGAAGAAAGCCAGGCGAACCAGCCCGCAGATAACAGTCTTGGGCGCTTCTTTGGGCCTCTGCGTATCTTCGCCCCTCAGAAGTGGACTCTCGCAGATGGTCGAAAGAGCACACAGTTCGGAGCCCTGACTCTTGGCCTCGGTGTCTTCCTTGGTATTTTAGCTACCGGCTACATCCCTATACTGCTTCAGATGTACGCCACAGACAAGTTTGAATTTGGTACAAGAGCCAATGGTTGGCTCATCTTTATGTACTCGTCTCTGCGAGGAGGTTTCCTTTCTTTCATCTTTCCCCGCATCATTGCTGCTGGGAGAAGATGGCTGGAGCCGGGCGGTGCATCGCCCAGAGAGTCAGCGGAGGATGGACCGCTACTAGGTGGACCTGACATTCCTACATCACCTAACGGGATTGGACCCATTAATTCCATGGACAACTATATGGAGCCGGCAGGACCACCGCAGCCCAAAGACAAGCAGACATTTGCATTCGACCTTATGTACGCAAGATTCTCCCTGCTTCTAGACGGCGCAATGACAGGACTCGCTGTGTTTGTTTCACAGGGCTACCAGCTTTACATCGTGGCAGCTCTCCTTCCTGTAGCAGCTGGAACTGCTGCTGCTTCGAAAGGCACGATTTTGCAAATGCTCCCAGACAATCAGCGCGTAGATGCGTTGAGCGGGATCACTCTTGTCGAAAACATCGCAAGTCTGTCAACCACTGCGGTCTTCGGTCTAGTCTTCGCAGCCCTCGCAGAAGTAGGCAAGATCCATCTGATCTTTCTCTGCAACGCAGCTGTTGCATTGCTCGGCTTCACAGTATTGCTCTTTTCGCATTTTCCGCCGAACGGCAGTCGGAGGGTAGATCTTTAGGAAGCGCTTCCGAGTTAAGCTTCGCGCCACCCGCCTGCGCCCTGCGGTCTGACGGCCCGCGTCTATGGGCTTGCTTTCCGGAATCAGCACACCCCGCACCGCATCGGTGGGGTATTTTTCCGTCTCTACTAAATATCCAGCGAATGCCACCGCAGTAGTTGTGCAGCGGCACATGGATACTACGCCCTACTACGCTCTGGGTACGGAGGAGCATCAATTGAACCGGCTTGGACTTGCAAGTGTAAATTGACGGTATTTTGTGATCTTCGTGACTTTGAGTACAAAATGGTCATGGAGAACGGCGCATGATGAGAGGTACGCCTTTGAGTGATTCGAAGCGACCATGAAGCTCGGCCGAATTCTGACCGGACTTGCGTTGGGTGTGCTGCCTGCGCAAGCCCTGGCGCGCGCTTTGGGTGGGAAGCCTAGCGACTTCATCCTTGCGGAACGTGCACCACTTCAGGATATTGTCACTTGGGATGAGCATTCACTCTTTGTGCATGGAGAGCGCATCATCTTCTGGGGTGGTGAGTTTCATCCCTTCAGGTTCGTATCGCTCCGAACAGCCGTTCAACGTATTGATGCTCTGTAGACTCCCGGTACCGAGTCTTTGGCTTGACGTCTTCCAGAAGATCAAAGCTCTTGGTTATAACGGAGTGTCCTTTTATACACCTTGGGTCCTTCACGAGCCCAAGCGAGGATCGTTCCAAGCTGAGGGTGTCTTCGACTACAGTCCCTTCTTCGAAGCAGCGAAACACGTTGGTGTGTACCTTGTGGCAGTATGTCTTCTACTACTTTTACTTTGGGTACAATGACTGACCATGCAGCGACCCGGACCGTACATCAATGCTGAGGTATGTAAAGCATGGGGTTGAACGACAACGCGTACTCATGCTGTTCAAGGTATCCGGTGGAGGATTCCCCGGCTGGCTCCAGAGAATCTCTGGAAACTTGCGAACGCCGGATGCAGACTACCAACAAGCTTCGAAGAACTACATCGAGAAAATCACGCCGATCATCGCAAAAGCACAGATCACGAATGGTGTGTATATGCGAGCAATGTTTGACCGCAGCTCTACTAACGGCCTCGCGCAGGCGGGCCTGTCATCCTCTTTCAGCCCGAGAATGAGTATAGTGCAGGTTTGAACAATGTCACATTCCCAGATGCCGACTATATGAATCACCTGATGAAGCAGTTCCGAGACTTAGGCATCAATGTCCCACTAATCAATAACGTGGCATGGTAATCAAGGATGAAACCTTTGTACTGGGTCTCAATAGCTGACATCCATCAGGCCAAGTGGTATCAATGCGCCAGGTACAGATGCGCCAGTCGACATATACGGCCACGATGCTTACCCACTGGGCATGAACTGTACTGACCCTACCTACTGGATTGATGATGCGTTGCCGGCCAATTGGCGTGAGACGCACCTCGAGCAGAGCCCAACCACGCCATACATGGTAAAAGCTTCCATACCGAGCGCTAGTACTTGTTGACATCATCTCAGCTTGTCGAGTTCCAAGGCGGGGCGTACCAGCCATGGGGTGGTGATGGTTTCGAGAAGTGCGCAGAGTTCACCAATCATGAATTCGAACGCGTGTTCTATAAGAACAACATCGCTGCCGGCGCGACAATATTCAATGTGTACATGGTGGGTTTCCTGCATTCAAACACAACCACAGTAGTCACTGACAAGAGCAGACGTTCGGTGGCACCAATTGGGGCAATCTGGCTGGGGCAGGCAACTATATCTCCTATGATTACGGAGCGGTAATCACCGAAGAGCGTCAAGTGCATCGCGAAAAGTACAGCGAAGCGAAGCTGATTGCGAACTTTGTGCACGCATCGCCGGCTCTGGCCAGTGCCGTACCGGCTTACAACACTACTGGGCAGTATACTGACAGCAAAGCCATTACTACCACGCCCCTCTTTGGCAACACAACAAATTTCTACGTTACACGTCAAACCAAGTACAATAGCCTCGCATCAACTCCGTATAAGCTCAAAGTTCAGACAAGCGCAGGCAATCTTACTCTCCCACAGCTCGGCGGGCAGCTCTCCATCAATGGTCGCGACAGCAAGATTCATGTTACCGACTACGATGTTGGCGGCTTCAATCTGCTGTACTCAACGGCCGAGATCTTCACTTGGAAGAAGTACGGCAGCAGAAGCGTTGTAGTCGTGTATGGAGGTCCCAACGAACAACACGAGCTTGCTGTGTCCAATACAAGTGGCGCAACGGCTGTTGAAGGCTCAGGAACGAAGTTCGCCAACCGCAATGGTAACACTATTCTCAACTGGCAAACTGACTCTAAGCGTCGCGTGGTACGAGTTGGCCCAAATCTCTACATCGTTATCGTCTCACGAAATGAGGCATACAATTATTGGACCGTCAGTACTTTGCCTGCAGGCAGCGCCTACTCGCACGATTACACCTCATCTTCCGATCTCATCGTCCATGCCGGGTACCTGGTTCGCAGCGCCTCCGTTTCGAATGGCAGAATTGATCTCACTGGCGACATCAACACTACTACCACTATCGAAGTAATCGGCGGCGCGCACGAAAATGTCAAGAGCTTGTCGTGGAACGGTAAAGATTTGAACACGAAACTTGATCGCAATGGGTTCCTCAGCGGTAGTGTCTCATTTTCGGTACCAAATATAAAGCTTCCAGACCTCAACGACCTGACGTGGAAGTCCATCGATGCGCTGCCCGAGCTGCAACCCGACTACGACGACTCTGCGTGGACAGACGCAGACCACACCGAGACGAACAACACATACTGGAACCTCACAACTCCAACTGTGCTCTGGGGCGCGGAGTACGGGTATAACACAGGTTCGCTGATCTTCCGGGGTCACTTCGCCGCTTCAGGAAACGAGACCGTGCTCCACCTGAACGTGTCTGGCGGATCAGCATTCGCGTTTTCCGCGTGGGTCAACTCTACCTTCCTCTCATCTTGGACTGGTACCGGTGATGCATCAATCGCGAACCAAACACTGTTCCTTCCACGCCTGCAGCACGGGTCCAACTGTGTCCTCACCATACTCGTGGACCACATGGGCCACAACGGAAATTGGTACGACTACATGCACCAAACTTCGGCTCCTACTTGCTGACAGATCCTAGGTTTGCAGGCTATAACGAAATGAAAACACCGCGCGGCATTCTAGGGTATGACTTCCCCAGTCACACGCCACAGTTATCGAACTCCTCGCGCTCAGATGACGGCATCCGCTGGAAGATCACTGGCAATCTGGGCGGCGAGGACTACCACGGTGGCCCACGCGGATCGTTGAACGAAGGCGCTTTGTATCCCGAGCGCAACGGCTTTCACCTTCCTTCGGCACCAACAGAGTCTTGGGCCAGTGGCATTAACCCTGCCTCCGGGCTTAGTAAACCGGGTGTAAGGTTCTATCAGACGACGTTTAAGCTTGATATCCCGAGGGGCTGGGACGTGCCGCTGTCGTTCCTATTCAATGGCGATGAGTTCACGGGCAAGGGGCGTGGATGGCGGGCGCAATTGTGGGTCAATGGGTATCAGTTTGGCAAATTTGCGAATGGAATTGGGCCACAGAAGAGGTTCCCTGTGCCGGAAGGGATATTCAACTATCGTGGCGAAAACACGGTAGCGATCAGTATTTGGGCATTGGAAGAGGGTGGTGCGAGGCCAAAGAGTATCGAGCTGATCGCCGGTATGGCTGTACAGTCTGGGTATGGCGACATCGCGCTCTCGCCGATGACAGGCTGGAAAAAGCGCGAAGGCGCATATTGATCGAGTACGGGGATGAGATATGCGCGGGATCGATGAGGAGCTGATATCTGAGGTGGTCGTATTCTTCATTCAGGTACAGAGGCTCAATAGGTGTATCTGAAGTTCACGTTCTGTCCGTCCGTCAAGTCGTCCCTCTCGGCCTGTAATCCAATTGCTGCTTCGTCCTGTGCGACGCCATACACTTTGTCCCTGCGCTTATTCTCGAGGGTGCACAGACCGTAGTACACTATCCCAGCAACTGCCATTAGTGCGAAAGCGACCAACATGGCGCCGATGCCCAATGGATACGTGGGTGATTGCGATGACTTGAAAAATTGAGGGCCGATGATATTGCCGACGGCTACAAAATCGTCAGCGTTTACAAGTCCAAAATACGAGGATCGCGTTGTACATACCGTACATGACAGCACAAGTGATGCCCATGAAGCTCTTCTTCATCGCTCCTCCCGTATTAGAGCTACTCAAGCTCAACGTGAACACCCAAGGCACATTGTAGAATCCCATGAGATAAACGCCAGCTAAACTTGCATTTCGTGTCTCAGGCGAGTGGAGGGTATGCACCATGACGGCGCCAATCAAGCCCATCGCAGCTCCGAAGATCCAAAAGAAACATCGAACCTTCGGTACGTACATCGACACAGCAGTCAGCGTTGCACCAGCGACCATTGCAACAGCAGCTTGTGGTGTCGCCATGAGTAGGGTCTTGGTCTTTCCGAAACCGTATCCAGAAATGATCAAAGGATTGAAATTTGTGATACCGGCATTAGCAATAGCATATCCTAGGGCCGAGAGCCAGATCATGTAGCACTTAGGATCTTTGAACGCCTCCCAGATCTGTCTGCGTTGGAATTTCTAGGACCGAGTCAGCGCAGGGACTCTGATTGTCAATAAATTTGCTACCTTTCGAGATTCGATGCCAGTCTGATTGGGTGTAAGGCGCACGGCGGCGAGCTTCCTTTCTTCGGCGTTGAAGAACCATGCGGTGGACGGAGAGTCGGGCATTGCGAAGAAGAATAGTATGCCGAAAAGGAAAGTGAAAGCTCCGTAAATCAAAAATATATACTGGGTTTATGGTCAGCTGAGTATCAATCTCAGGTTACGTGTATACGCACTTTCCAGGTTGAGAGAGGACCTCCAATCTTCCCGATGCCATAGGACAAGATGCCGCCGAAAACTCCAGCGAACGTGTTATGCCAAAACGCTGTTCGCAGCGGCTGCTCTTCGCGCAGATACCACATCGCATTTATGAGCATCATACATGGCAGCGTCGCCGCCTCGAGCATTCCAAGGATGAAGCGCACCGTTGCCAGACCAGCGAAGTTATGGCAGAGCGCCAGGAAGCACAGACATACTCCCCACAGCGTAAGGCAGATACCAACGTACTTGCCGACCGGAAAGCGTGTGATCAACCACAGGGTAGGGAACTCCATTGCGAGGTATCCGAAGTAGAAGATACTGCCGAGCCAGCTGTACTCTTGGTTCTTGAGGTGTGCATCTTCCTTAATGCCGAGAACGGCGGCGTAGCCCAAAGCATTCTATAATGATTGCTTAGTAAAGCAATGCATTCAATTGATTGTACCTCCGTCTCACCTTATCTAAGAAGGCAATAGTCATGCACACTATTGCAAGAGGCATGATTACGAGGTCAGTCTTTAGCACTAGTCGCTTACGCTGAGCCGTCGTGAGGGTCTCGACAGCCTCAAATCCAAGGTCACTCTCTGGGGACTTGCCCACGGCGTCCATGTCTTCAGACCTCATACCAGTAAAGTCGCTTGACCGCCGGGTGCGTTATGTAATGAGTTATCGGCCGCTTGTATCCGTAAGGCAAGGCGATGAGGGTGACGGCTGAGCTCGGTCTTGAGTGATAAGTCGCGAGTCGACGGTGAGACAAAATGTTGAACTTGTAAGGAGTGCCTTCTAGTCGGCCTACATATATTCTCTAACTAGTGTTTACGTACTACGACGCTTGCCCATGCAATGTGTTCCTACATCCGACGGGATAAATAGCTCCACTTTAGGCTCGTATGGGTGTTGCGCTAGTGATGTCGCAATACCCCACAGCAGTGAGGTATCGCGATAACGTTAGCCGTTTGTGTTCAGTTAGGGAAATATCCGGTGCATCTGACTCGTTTGGGGCATTTAGGCGGACCATGAGTATGGCCGCAATGGCCGAGCTCTCGATAAAACTCAGTTGCGTTGTTAATCTACAAACGAGATAACCTTCGTGGTGCTACAACCTCCGCTTCAATCTCTTCCCTTGATCTACTGACATCGCGTTGGACAAGCTCAGTGTACAATTGCTGTATCTTCTCTGTCAAGACACCACGCTTACCGTCTCCAATCTGACGCCCGTCAACTTCAGTGACGTGAATCTGTGACGGGAAGGTGCCAGTGCAGAACGCTTCATCTGCACCATACACTTCTGTCAGACTGAAGTCCAATTCGCGAACCGAAATTCCGTTGTTGCGACAAACATCGATCGTCTTCTGGCGAGTAATGCCTTGCATCTGGTTGTCTTTCGTCGGAGCCCATACCTCATCGCCACGCACGATGAAGAAGTTGACTGAGTTGCACGTCTTCACAAAGCCGCGCAGGTCGAGCATGAGAGCCTCATCCACGTGCATGACGTTAGCGCTGATACATGCTTGGACATCGGTAGCTTTGGAGATGTGGTTCCACTGCTCATCTTTGACGTCTGGCGGGCCGCGGCGCACCCAGGTCGTTGCAAGACGAAGGCCTCTATTCTTGGAGGATGGGTCAACTGCCTTGACTTCTGGGATAATAACGATAAGTGGCAAGCCAATGTTGACCTTTGGGTTTTGGTAAGGAGTCGACTTCATACCGCGACTGACAACCAGGCGAATATGAACGTGCTTGTCATCGTTGAGGTCATTGGCGTCGAGAGTTTCATGAATCAATCGTAACAAGTCGTCCTTTGTCAAGCCAAGATCCATGTACATAGCTTTGGCCGATTGGAAGAGTCGATTGATATGATCGCGGGCGAACTGGACGCGCCCGTTCACTGCGCGTATGCCCTCCTAAGTTGTTGTCAGGCAACATGGTTCACGAAGAGAAGGGCTGCAGTACCCAGATTCCATCCCCGATAAGGAAATTGGAGTCAAATACTGAGACAACAGCTCGCTCTCTTGGTACCAGCTTGAACTGTCCTGTAACGCCATCACGTATCCCAATCTGCACATAATTAGCATGTGCTCTTGATATGAGAGATGTGAGCGGAGTGCGGCAGCTTACCTTGATGGTTGCGTTCCTGGGATCTGCGACGACAGCATGCGTCCCACGACTGTCTTCATTTTCACGCGCCATCACTTGTATGTTGACTCTGGGTGCTCTGACCTGCGTCGGCGGAAGTTTTTGACTTGCTATCAATGATTCACTCAATGAACGACTCACGCTAAAATGTCAGGCGCAAGGATGATTGCCGGCCACTTGTCGGGCAAACACGCAATCGCGGTGGACCTGTCTATCGCGGAATCATGACTCGAGCAGAGGGTCAACCGGGTAGAAAACTGCCGGCATTCGCAGCGATCTTAATTCGTGCGGAATAACTAGCTACACGCCAGCAGAGTGAACGAAGTGGAAAATAGGAATCTCGACCAGGTATTGGAAGTGCTGACATGGTGACGTCAGCGGGCCATCGTTGGCCACATATTACCACATTTTTTATGTTCGGTAGGAAGGCTCTGACAAATCAACTACGTTCTTCAGCCATTGTTGAAAACTGGCATCCTATCACAGCGAGAAGAAGTAGTAATGCTAGAGACGCGCCTCGACCCAAGTACCCATCAGTTGCAAGCCTAAGTTACTGGGTCGATGACGATCATGTGATTTTGAACGATCTCGTCGGAAGCTTGTTCCTCCATTGCATCGCCAGTTACTTGTTGAAAGTGCATTCCTGCACGAGTGTAGCCACCCAAGTTGTGATTACACTCGGCGAACAACGAGTACATGGTCCGGCCATCCCACCCCTCAGCGAACGCAATTGAATGGTTTCACTGTGCTGACACGCTGGACCAGCTTTGTCGTCCAGCGCCAAAGTCGGAAGATCTGTGAACCCGCCGTGGTGAGGGTTAAGGAGGCTCCATTCGTCTCCTTTCTTTGGCTTGCGAAGCGTCAAGATGACAGTCAAACCCTCTAGGCACAACGTACCGCCCAACACTACACTGAAAGGGCCAGTCCTATTGTGTTGGTATTCGGCCAAGAACATCTTCGTCATGGTCACCCTCACTTGGGAGTACTGCATACCAGTCACAGAGGTCCAGGACCAACTAACTAGGTGTCACCACAGCACCAAGCCGTTTCCGTCCAACCTAGTTCACTCACCACAGTAGATCTTCGACGAGAGAGCACGACCAGAACCTTGCAAGATACTTCTTCCCAGCTCTGACACCACTCTCGTGGTGCTGCTGCACGACTGCGCCGATCGCTAGAAGCCGGTCCGTGGACTTGGTCAGCTTCAGTTCCGAGCACTGCTTGACAATGATATGTACCAGAGCACGCGATACCCGCGCCGCGCTTGATCATCATTCAGTTCTCGCGAATTCGTTCTAGGGATCTTACTCGGGCGAAACGACGTTGCACGGGTATCTCCAGCGTGTCCAACTGGAAGTAGTACTGAAACCTGCGGCTACGGTATACGGCAGTAGGCAACAGAAAGTAACAGTAATTGTAGTCGGCTGTAACCGTAGCAGTGAGTAGCAGTAGATAAAGCCATAGTACGGCAGCATTACGCAAAAGTTTGGCGTTAATTGTGAAAGTGGCAATAGCAACCCCTGAGGCGTATCATGGCAGGTTCGCGTCAAGCTTTCCTGTGAACCCTGCTCCAGCTGCTGCGACAATTTTGCAGCCCTCGTCATTCACTGCATATGAACCTTGGAGATCATTATCAATTGGCAGCCATCGTCGTCCTGGGTGAGTAGCTGATCGAACATGCGGGACCAAAGGCAGCATAGGCATTGCTCTCAAGCATCAGTGGGAGGACTTAAGCTTGTGGTCAATCCGATAGTTGCGAGGTTCACATCGGCCTCAGTGCCATATAGAGCAGACTTTAGGGCTGCAGACTATTTGTGGACTGCATACTTTGCATAGGCTGTAAGATCATGGAAGAAACGCATGGTCAGACTTTGATATTCAACCTGAGGCTGGACGAACGGAGCGAGGGCGTCTAGCTTTGCATTTAAGATCTTCTTGACTGGATGTAATCACGGGCAAATAGGACCCCACCATATTGCATCTAGCGCTAGCTGCAGCGAGGTCAAAGATCCTGTGCGGCTTGGTCGCAAGCTGCCAAGACAATTATAATTCGGGGTTCAGATGCGTTTGAAGACAATTGAGTCTCTACCATTGGTTGACAGCTTGACAATTGCGCGGATGCGCAACCCTATACAGCTCTTCTTGGGTGACTATCTCCACAGTAGTCCACGGAGGCGGCACGCGGCTGCTAATTGCCCCAACGACAGATCCGGCTGGCTTCAACAATGAAACGTTAAGGAGAAGAACGGTTTGACAGCAAGGTTGCCATGTAAATTCAAGAAAGAGAGATGGGCTGCAACAAGCAGGTCCGACTGAGTCTATATGCTTGATTGTATGGTATATATGCAATGCTATGCTTGTTCAGTCAATGCGACAATAGTCTATAATGCTGTAAATGCTCAATGGATCCGAAACCATCCTCATGCCTTAGGTCACATAACGTGTATCACATCATCCATACCTTGCTTGCTCTAGTAGAGCGATCTTCGCTTCAACTTGTTTCTGCTTCGAGTTAAGATGTGTGCCTAGACGTTGATCTTTCGGGATTGACTTACGCCGTGTTTCCCCAGCTTAATCTGCTCAACTTGCTTCTCTCGCCTTCGGGGATCGCACCAACACCCGAGTCATGCTTGGCCTGCTGGTCCAGGCCCTTGACCACACTTGCCAACGGCGCTGTAGCAGCAGTCTGCGGCCTGGTATCCTTCAGCCCAAAGTCCTCTGTGCTGTTGACTGCGATCGCGGTCGAGCTGGTGTAGTATCGCGGCTGCGAGCTTCGCCTTGGGTTTGGTAGACGAATAGCCTTGGGTAGAGTGGCTGTCTGGGTACCAATGACTGGTTGTGTTGCCGTGCGTGGTCTCTCAAGGTGTTGCTTGTCGAGCTCTTTCCTACTGGGGAAGCGGTGGGGCATAGAGGCAGTAGGTGCCGTGCTCGTCCGCGGACGATTCACCATGTTTGGCGGGCCTGAGATGGGGCGAGGGATGGGGCGAGGCATAGGCTCGGCTTCCTTCTTCTGCTCTGGTGGGTGCGAAGTAAGGGACAATCTACGTTCACGCACGGGCGGTGGAACGGGCTTCGGTGCAGTGTTATTGACTGCAGAAGTGGGAGTGTTGCCCCACTGATCTTCCGGGATGGTTGGGCTTCGAAGTACACCTTCGATGCTGGTGTCCTTCTTGACCAGACGCTTTACCATGTCTCGCAGGCCTAAACCGCTCCTCCGCTTTGCGTTGCGCATCTCGGCTACAGAATCGTTGCTGGCCAAGCTGTGTCTCTGCGAGTCACTCTGGTGCCTTCGATGACCGCGTGATGTATCTCTTTGCTCTACACTGCTCAAGACAGGGCTACCCAGCATGGGTATGACCGGGACCGGCGGAGCATCATCTGGCGATGTCAGCCGTTGTGGTGGGCTATGTTCGTTGATGAGTGTCGCACCACTTGTTCGTGCTGAGGTGAACTCGGCTGAGGACACACGCTGCCTGGAGCGTTGCGCAGCGAGACGCTCGTGGTCTTGCATGAGTCTCTCCCTTGCGGTCTCTAGGTCTGCAACGGACTGTCGGAGCTGCTCAATTTCGTCGTGAGCCAATTCGCTCTTCTTCACAGCCACTTCCACGTCTGCTCGGAGGGCCTCGAGCTGGCGATCCTTTCCGGCCAAAGTTAATCTCAGGTTTTGTACTTCCGCATCTTTCCTGGCCATATCGTCTCTGCTCTCCCTGAGCTGGCCTTCCATTCGCTGAAAGTGAACACGATGCACGATGCTAGGCCTAGCAGTCTCCATGTCTTCGTTGATAGCGTGCTCTAATCGCAGCTGTTCGCGCAGCGCCTCAATTTCTTCGTCTGCAAGGAAGACTCGTGAATTGGCATCACGAACCCGCTTGTCAAGGGCTTCGACCTCCATGTGCAGTCGCAAGTTCTCCTGTTGTGCTGTGTCGAACATAGCCTCAAGCTCGTTCTGATCGTTCTCCTCGATCGTAGGGAGACGGCCAGGTGAAGGGTCGCTCCTACTTCTCCTCCTGCCTTGCTGGGCTTCTTCAAGCTCAGCGCTTGCTTCCTGTAGGCATGCTTTGGTCTGATCATGGCGCTCCCGCTCTTCTTTGAGCGCATTCTGAATCTTCTTGCTGATGTCCCAAGCTCTTTGCAATTCCGCTTGTTGGTTGACGACGTCATCAGCGGCCTTGGTGGCGGCACTAAGTTCGCGCCTCAATTGCTCGATAATAGTGTCCTTGTCCTCCTCTAAGCTCGACGTGCCAGACAGAGATCGTCGCCCCTTCTTGACACGGAGTAGACGGACCTCGAGTGCGTGGTCGCCATTGCCGTTTTGCTCGAAGATGGCGTCGTGATTAAATTTGGGGCTGGCGTGACGTTCCATGGCAGCGAGTCGCTCCTTGAGCACGTTCAGCTGTGCTTCCTTCAACTCCAGGGTAGCGCGTTGTTGTTTGAAAGTTTCGCTGAATTGGGTGTGTTTCTCTTGCATGTACCTCTCTTTCTGTTCGTTCCCTTTGCGTAGAGCAAATAGCTCGATGTCTTTCCGGTAAATAATGGCTTGATGGTCCGTTCCGAGGGTCTGCTTCATGGCCTTCATGTCATCTTGAAGCGTAGAAATGTCTGCAGATGATTTTGTAAGCGCATCCTTAGCATTAAGAAGCTCCTGCCGGACAAGGCTCAACTCCACGTCCTTGGCTTTGATTGCGGTCTGCAAGTCGGTGAGGGACCATTGTAGTCGCACGATGTCGCGGTCCTTCGAGTCGTACGGCCCTATAATAGAAGTGGGGTCCCCTTTTTGAGACCGGGAAAGTGATCGCCTAGGCCGATCGACAATCTGCGATTCGGCCACATGCGTATGCGTCTGCTCCAGGAGGGTTTCAACTACCGACAACGGTGCATTGTTATGGTGTTGTGATTCGTCATTGGCAGTAGCGTCCCCGTCCAAAGCGCGCTGGAACACGTCGAAGCTGACCATGACTAGCGCAGCCACCAGCCAATCACCCGAGCTGAACCCCTGACCTACGAAACTGGCAAACGCAGCAAAGTGCAGTGAGTTTGACGTCGTAACTCGATGTCTTGCGATCCAAGACCCTGATGCTCGGCGGATGAAGAGCGAAAGTGCTGCGAGTGTAAGTACGGTGAGGACCTGAAGGATGGGTACACGCGCGATCCAGGGATGGTCCAGCGAATGGCCCGCTGTTGTTGTGAGGCGGTCTGCAAGTGCAACAAACAAAGGCGTGATCTCGCGTGTCCGCTCGCCGATTTGAAGGAATGTTCTCGCAGCGTGATCGTCCAAATTATGAACCTCGGTCTGAAGTCGCTGCACGAACGGTCGCCAGGAATCGAAAGCAGCCGCGCGATGGTCACCCGACGGCTGGTGGTGGTACCTGAGGGAGAAAAGATCCGCGAAATCTGGGGTATGCACAAATTGTTGTCCGCCGAAATGGAGAAGCGTTCCTGAGATGACGATGACCAAGCTTGTCGCGATGGAGTAGGCAATAAGGGGATGGTCTTGTATGTTGTCTTGGATATCGTGGAGCACTCCAGGCATTACGCGTAAGTAAGACGATTCGTGTCAATTGTTGCCATTAGGTTGAACATGAGGACGCACATGCCATATTCTACGATACGGACTGCAGTACGAACGCCGAAGGGAAGGGGAAGATTGAAGCTAAAGGAGGCTGCGGGCAGGCATTATTTGAAGCCACAACAAACACGCATGAAGCACCAAATGACGCCTGAAGGTGCAAATGACCAAGAACGCCGTACTGAAATGCATCCGGTCGGGATATCGCAGCAAAACAAGATTTGCGACAACAAGGATAAGTGACAGCTTGGGCGACTGGAAGCCCGAGCTCTTAACGGACCTCATATCTCGAAATGCTTGAAACCCTCGACCAGCCCGTCGCTGATCTTTGATGGGATGGCCCAAACGGGCAGATAATGTTGTACCTCGTCGAACGCAGGGATGTCGCCTGTGTTAGCGTCCGACCAAAGGCAGACCACTCTTCCAGAAAGCTTCGAATTTTCCTTAGCGTCCCATGAAACGCTCACGGTCCAGGGTTGCGACCACTCTCGGTGCCAAAGGCGCACCTCGCGGGAGCCGTGCTCGCCGGTGCGTTTGAAGCGGGGATCTGAGCCACCCCCGACAACCGTCAGATCCCGGATCGACGTGTCAAACAGAACGCGACATGCTCGCGTGTTCTGCCCTACAACACTCATCGTGGCCTCGCCAGTCTTGTTGCTCTTCGTAACTGTGTAATCTAGCCAGCTGTCTGTACGAGACTTGTTGCTAAGGGAGGATGTATCTGCGACCACTTTGGCGGGGAGGCCTTCCCACTCGCACTTCTTGAGCTCTTTGCGCGTAGCTACGTCAGGTGTGCTGCAGTTGACATACTTTCCCTGCGCACTTGGCAGCTGCGCAATAACCTGCTGGACGTAGCCATCCACACCTGTCAGGGATACCGTGTTCAAGCCCGTTTCAAGGTTGACTTGCTGGACGAAGTACACCTTCAAGCGATGTTCCCTGCTGAAAGGGAACGCGACGAGGTTGTAAATGACAGTTCCCACGCAAACCAGGAACAAGAATGTGGGTATGTGGTAAGTGATTCGGTGAGCGAATGGTCCGGCCGGCGCGATTAGTAAAGTAGTAAGTGCGGCGAAGCACAAGTAGATGAAGAGTGATGAGTTGCCATCTGATGGCGTTTGGTAGAGGGCCGACGTCAGCAGCAAGGCAATTTGGCCGACCAGAATGACCGTGATGGGTACAAGAAGCAGAAACTGCACGATCCAGATCCAGCTTGGCAGCTTTCCACTCCACTCTTGTTCTCCAGGGTATGGGTGTCCAAGATCCAGTGGTCGGGGCTCGTCAAATTCAGCGGAAGATCCTGGTCTGCTGCCTTGCCTTGCTCGTGCGAAGCTCCGCTGATCACCGCGGAGAAGAGAGGTCGTCTCAGTGGCTTCGTCGTCGGTAACCGGGCGATCCTCAGAGCGTACAGCGCTGTTCCCAGTAAGCGGCCGACTTGAAGGCTGCGCATCTTCTTCAATGAGGTCAAATGTCTGTGCATAGGCCGACTTTTTCGGTGCAAAGAAGAGCTCCAAGTAGGACAGTAGAAGAGCAGCGAATACAGCAGCGAAGTAGAACAAAGCCCAGTATCCACCAGCAAGCTGATAGTTATTCGCAAGCACCGTGACAGACGTAAGAAGTATGAAGCTTCCTACAAAAAGCCAGATCAAGCCATAGATACGCTGAAGTGCTGATGGACGCATTGCACTGGCTCCACGTGAGAAGAACCAGGCGAACGACACCCAAGTCGATATCATCATGCTACATTATGTCAGTGATGTTCACAGACGGAGGTTTCACGGAGTCTCAATATACCTCCAGACGGCATACGGGCTGCTGTAGACGATGAGCGGATTAACGCGAACAACAAGATAAGCAAGCCCAATGACGGCGGCTGTCGCAATAGCAAAGACAATTGGTAGGCGGAAGAAACCTCGCCAGCCATAGAGGTAAATAGGCTCGTCGTCATCTGACGAATGGACATATGCCTTCCGCGCGAAGAGGTAGTTCTTGTCAGCCTTGCTCAAACCGACTGTCAGGCCGATGAGGGTTAGTGGCGCAACGACAAGTAAAGTAACACAGAGGGCAAATAACGTATGCAGGCGGAACACAACGAAAGCCTGGCCAAGGAGATCGAACCACACTGCATCTGTTCCTGTACCAGCATCTACCTTGCCATCTTCTCGCGCGTCTTCGCTGCCGCTGAACTTGTCGCTGGTATCCGAGGCCAATCCTGATACCGTAGCAATGGATGCAGAGAGCATGTGCCATACTGACTTGAGCGATGTTTCATGCGATGAGTCTTCAACGGTGTGGTACCGTGCTCGAGGCTCCATGAAGGCGACATCCAAACCACGCAGACCAAGCTCACCGTGAAAGACTCTGTAATCCGTCTCGCTTCGAATGAGGCCTTTCTTGAAGCCATCTCCACTGACCACGGTACCGAAAGGGTGCTTTGACGCGCTGTAGTACTTGGTCACTTCGGTGTCGGTACTGCGGAACAGAGTTGCTCTTCCGCCTGCACCTGCTCCCTCGAGATTGAGGAAAGTGTGAGGCACCTGAGAGATTGGGTGACGCATGAAGGCTTTTGCTCCGTTCAGGAAATCTTCTTCGCCATTATTCAGCAAGAGAAGAATCGTTCGCTTGGGCCAGTTCTTCGCCTCGGTGAAGTACGACAGCAGCTGCAGCACAGTGATGACACCTACACCGTCGTCCGTAGCACCGTAGCCACTGCTCACAGAGTCGTAGTGAGCATTGACAAGAACACCGCCGTTGTCTGGACGTCGAGACGGTGTTGACGCGCTCTGATTGGAGGAAAAGAAAGGCTTGTCGTCCTCGGATCCGCGAATGGCTACAATGATGTTGGTTCCCTCGAAGTAGACTGTGGTGTTACCAGATGAGAAGGTTGCGTTAGACGAGACGTCGTCAATGATCTCGACGTCTTTCTTGCTGAGCTTCTTCGAATCAATGACATGCTTGATGCGCGCCATAAGGTAGTCGCGAACATGATCGTTGGCGCGGCTGTTGTAGGGGTGGAATTGGCGGGTGATGTGCTGGAGATCATTCCAAGCTTCGGAGAGATTGGTTCCTTGCGGGCTCTTGGAAGGATAGTTCGGTACTCGCAGGTGTGTGACCAACAAAGCGGCGAATAGAGCTATGTAGATAAGAGTCGCGAAGAAGTTGACAGGCCCGGGTGTGAAGGAGAATGGGTTGTAGCGAGCCATGTCGCACTGTGATGGTGCAGCGACACCAGCTCGAGCTCTGCAAGCTTTTCTGGAAGTGAAGACGTTCAGTGGCTGGCTGTTTGCGGGGTGTGATGGTTGGAATGGCTGCTGCTGCGGGGTGAAGGCTAACGCAAGAAGCTCTGGCCACCATGCATGCACGATGATGTGACGAAGCTCGCGGAATAGGGCGCACCGCTGCTGTCAAAGATAGTGTGCGGCTCTCCTGTCAACACAAAGGCGTCAATTAAGCTCGAGCAGCTCTACTAGTCTGCGCAGCCTTATGGGAGAGGTGAAGACGCGTTTGGCAGGCGCAGTGCACGCGATCGACAGGCACGAGCTACACAGCAACGGCAATAGCGATGAAGAAGCCGATGCAGAGATGCTGTTGTCCATTGAGGAGCTGCCTCCCCTTCCACGAATGACTGACAAGGCAACCGCCTATGCAGGCTGCTGTCTCGCCCTGAGCAGGCCGCTCGTCGCACACATTCATTCGCTCCTTCCGCCCGCGCCCGCCCTTACGCTCTCCATCGGCAGCGGTTTCGGCCTGCTCGAAGCGCTCCTCATCGCCGTGCCTCATTCGTCGAATATCATAGGCGTCGAGGTCGCGCCGAGCTCAAACACATATTTGCCATCGGCGAACCACCGTGTCGTGCACGGCACGCGCTTTCATGAGCCGCTGGCGACAGAAGCTCAAGCCTGGCTGTTTGTTTACCCGCGGCGCGTGGGCCTTGTCACCGAGTACATAGGTTCTTATGGGAACGATGCGGTTCAGCAAATCACCTGGATTGGTCCACAAGCCGACTGGGACGACTACAAGGGCTGCTTTGTCGACGGCTGGGAGGTGCATACAAAGAGCGCGGACAAAGTCGGTGGCAAGGCTTGGGAATTGATCGCTACTGCCACAAGACCAGCGACTTAGTCTCAGACTTTATACAGCAGGTCAGTCAGCATTCCGCTTGTGGCCTCGCCAGGCACAAAGCTACACTCAGAGCCACAAGCAATGATTCTTAGCGCACGTTTCTACGCAACTGAGCTCTGGAACCGTGGCGCAAAGCTGCGTCTTCCTAGAGATCGTAGCTTCAGCAATGGTCACGTTTGATCCCCACCAATTCGATATCTCAGAGCACAGTACCATGCACTGTTCGCCGTTGGTCTCTTTCCCCTCGAACAAGGTTCTATTCTTGGCCTCTCGGGCGTAGTCCCTGCTATTGTCTTTCTCTTCACCTTGCTTGTTGGACCAAGCAGCACAATAGACAATGGAAATCAACAGTATGCAGCACTCCTCTCGCCCATAATCTTGCGTCTCGCGAAATATTACCAACGCTACATTCTATCGACTTGTTCCCTTCAACAACAATTCCACTATCCGCCGGCATACTACACAAAACGCCTTCACGATAGGGACCGCGCACGAGCCCGCCGACCATGGACAACACCCGCTATCATCAGTGAGGGGACTCTTTGGGCTACTACTCCACTCTTCGCCGCCGCTCATCTCTGGTCATGGCATCCACTCTGGGCAACCGGCATATGGACCGCGTACGGCATCAGCGCACTGTTTCCGCAAGTTGAAGCATTGCTGAGGGAAACGGCCGACTCACCACTGTACTACAACTCCAACCCAGTGCATTCGTCACTCTGCAGGCGCGAGCTTGAAAGTGGATCCTATGAACTACTAACATACGACGGCAAGAACCAAACTACCCGCGTGTTGATCACATCCACCGTGTCGACCACAGATTTCATGATCACAATACAGCCCGCCCAGCAGGACAAGTTGGCTTCAGTCACCATGCTCAATACAACCGAGATCTACACTCCGCCAGCTCTCATCCCAGCCAGTCAGAGGAGTCTTTCAGGCAGTTCCAGCAGCGCCAGCGACCACAGTTCTTCTAGCAGTTCTAGCAATGCTAGCGACTACAGCGACTACAGCGACTACAGCACCTCTGGCACCTCTAGAAGTTCCACTAAAGACACCATGTCACGGGTCCCATCTTCATCGCCTGTACTGAGCGAGAAACCTGCTTCCAAGGACTCTCCATACATTTCGACTTCTTTTACATCATCCACAGGTACGCAATCGTCCACGGAGTCTGGACTTGACTTGTTCCAGTTCCCAATGCCAGCAGTCGTCGGTGATCTCAACGATCATCCTGGGTCTGGATAGTTTGGGTACTTGACACTCGATATCTAGGAAACAGCTCTTGATCACGAGTTGAATGGACGCAAAGTGCGCCTGTGGTTACTGCTCTCAATCCTAATTCTGCTTCCCGCTTTGTACGCGTGGAAGATGGGCGGAGCTCCTGCATCGATTGCTCCTGAATCAGAAGCTCCGGCAGCGAACACTTCAGCTCCAGGCTGCTATTGGCAAACGTTCCTGAATGCTCTGAGGTCAGCGAAAGTACAATCCAATCTGTGGGCTCAAAACCTGGTCTGGGGTGGTGAACATCATGAATATGCCCAAGTCGCGCGGGTGAACGCACTCTGGTTCACCTGCATGGTTGGTGCTCGATATCTACTTTGGCCTCTTCTGGAATGGGGATTATCCGCTGCTCTCACACAGTTCACAAAGTACCACAACTCTGATGCCACAGCTCCAGCACTTGGCTTCACTTCGTCATCTCCGCCAGGTCCTTCTGCCACTGTTGACATCTCGAACAACATCATCACCGCAGCTCTCGATTGGATGCGGCAGATCAATAACCGCACCGCGTCCGCATTTCACACTCGCTCAGATCCGACTGGCTCATATGATCCCTTTTCTACACCATCATCTCGTGTTGAGATCGTGTGCAAATGGATCTTGCGCATGGTCATGTGCCGCAAATTTATGCGCCTGGCGATCTCAAACTCAGCCCTCGGAGACTTTAAAAACTGTTATGATGCAGCGTGGGCACGTCCCATATCACCTTCAGGCACATACAATTCGGCGCTTCACTTTGGCTGGACAGCGTCGATCTGTTCTGTCGTTGAGAGAATCATCATTAGCGGCATGCTGTTCAAACTTTTTCAAGTGCAGGTGCATTCCATCGTGGATCCTATACATCAAGTCGTGGGTTGCCTTCCGTGGTATTCGCGGATTAGCGGCGAACTTTGCCCCTTGTGGGTGTGGAAAGTCAACAGCAGTATCTTCCACATCCTCACTCCTACAGGCCTTTCCGCGGTGATTGCGCTCAATATTTTTGCCCTTGCACATTGGTCTACACCACGAAGAACGAATGCCGGACTAGTGCTTGGGAAGATCGCTACGATCTTGGCCCTTACCCACATCAATAAGTGGTACTCCTTTGTGCCCATGATAGCATTCTACTCGCCGGTCCTGCAGCCGCCCACCCGGTTCATGCTTGCAAAACGCTTTATGCTCAAGACATATCTGCTCGTTGTTCCTATTACATTGCTTCTGAAATTTACATGGGTCACTGGTTCCTACCAGGCTGCAGAGAACTGGATGTTCATAACGGGTACGGCGGTAATCTTGACTTTGGCCAAGGAGTCAGTCGAGCCGAAGTGGAATGCCTTGCTGCAGTGGCTGAGGATTGCGCCGTGGGATATAAATATCGGACGTACGCAGCAGGCTCGAGGAGCAGGGGTGGCTGGTAGAGAAGCTAAGGAAAATGAGTAGGCTTCAGGGTATGAGTCTTCTGTAAACAGGGCCGCTGGCGAGTCGAAGAATGAAATGTTTGAATGACACTAAATTTGGGTGTTCATCGTTAGTACGTAATGGATTGCAAGACCTGAGTGCATTTATAAAGCACAAAGCTTCCGGCAAGTCCATTCGTAGATACCGTGTATTCCAACTTGACCACACACCTTTCTTTGTTTGACGTCGCTTATCTTGGCGTTCGAACGTCTTCACCTCCTGCAGAGCTTACTGCAGCGAGTAACGTCGTTGCCCACTGAACACAACGCTTACCTTGCAAGCAGCCTTCGTGGTTCGGCACCGCAACTGCGTGAAATGCCATTAGCAAAGATCTTCCTGTCGCATCACACTGCAACAACGGCCCAGACCGCTTCTAAGCAGCTCTACAACCTGGCGGCAGATTTGTGACAGATGTGGAGTGTTCAGCCCACAAACACACATAGTGGCTCTCTCTACATTGACTGCACACGAACCAACTTGCTCGTACGGCGTCCTGATCCTAACCAGTGCAATGACAGCCACTCCCTCAGTCTGCTCTTGCACAGTCGGTTAGCGACCTTCAAAATCGCCTGAATGAGTATATTCTCTTCTCCGCACGCGTCGTGCGACAATACAATGTGTTGCATCACTGTGTGCGCGTGGTGTGCAGTCACAGCTTGGTCGGTAGGAGTACGTGTGTGTGGCATTGCAAACATATTCAATTTAAGCTATTCAAATTAAGGCGTTAATGGGGTATTGGTTGGCTACAGATCCGTTTTCCGTTGGAAACGTCGCTGGGCTGTCGTTGGTCTGCGTTGTGCAAACACTGCGTCGTCGAGAGAGCTGCCTCGCGTCCACTGATCACCCCCTACGCTTTCGGGACCTCGCCTTCCAGATCGCATTGTCAGGCGTACACACGAACGCGCCATACCGTGGAAAGGCCCGGGCGAGGCTCGAGAGGGAAAGAGGAGATAATGCTGGGTGTTACATTCGGCAGGCAGGCTCTCGCGGAGCGGCCACCCGCGTCTTTTCATCCACTCTCACAAGCTTCGGGTCCCCTCAAAGTCCGTAAGCAGCAACACTACTGCTTCAGCTAGCCACTTGCGCCATCGAATTACCCACATGAATGCTGGAAGCAGGCCCTGAGCAGCCTTGTAAATTCTGTCCGTCAGCGGTAGCGCGCGTGAGCCCCTGAGTTGTCACCTCCGTGAGAAACAGCTATGCGCCAAAGGCACCTCAAAGTACAACTAAGATCTGCGCGCTGCAAGCCCAAATTCATTAATCCTACGGAATAACAGCTTCTGGAGCAGGATGAAACCAGAGCTGAGTGATCCTCGTCAGGATAACAATGATTTCAAACCCTGAGTCTGTCGAGATTTGCGACTGGCTGTGATGCCGGCCTTCCGGCTGCAGTAAACTCTATTTGGTTTACCGCAAGCCTAGCGAAGGCTTCATCCTCGCCTAAGGCGGCTGGTGCAGGGAACTTCCTTCGCGGGGTCGTAACGATCGTCGTTTGGGTTCGTCCTGCACGCTCACTAAACATGACAACCTGCGAAACAAGATCTTCAGCGCTTATTTTGGAAGCAGAATGTTTCGATTCGGCGGCCCTCGGGTACTAAACAGCTGTTTCTAGAGCTAAAGTGATCTGTCAAGCTGAACTTTACTGGGTGAGCGGGAATCGCTGTGTGACCTGTGCCAACCTCGTGGCATCAGTCATGCCTCCTGCAGCTTCGGAGCTGAAAAGAATACCATGTCTGCTCAATATTGCTAAGAAGCTGGGCTCAATCGATGCGCTGTTGTCACCATATCACGAGGCTGGAGCCACCACATCACTAGGCCGTCGTCACCCTATCGCACCGCAGTGTCGGCATATTTACCTTTTGTCAGACTGCACACAGCTGCCGGTTACGCTTGGCGCTACTCCGTGCTCCACAATGAGAGAAGCTCGAGCCAGTACCCTCATTATCTGCTACACCATGCTAGCGGCTGGCAGATCTATTTCAGCGCATCTTGACATATCTGGCATGGTACCTGGATTTGAACCTACGCCAGTACCATGGCTCCACTGATTACTTCCAGATTGGCCAATTTACGTGAGCACCCATTGAGAAGCGTGAAGATATAAAGGTCTGAGTCTGTTGTCCTTGGAGTATCAGCATCAGTTCGCAGTCGTTCACTTCTCCGGGACTTTTCGATTCTTTATCTCCCCACTTTCGTTGAAGAAGATCTCATAATCATATACCTTACATAATGTACATCTCTCACATCTTCGTAACTGCACTGGCGGCCGCCAGCACTGCACAAGCCTTCAGTATCCAGGAAGAAGCACACAACGCCAATGAGGTTTCCAAGCGCACACTTGGAAATCTCTTAAGCTTACTCTCTGGCCTCATCGGAGGCAACAAGCAGTCTACAGCATGCCCTGCTGTCTGGAATCAGATATCCACCCAGCTCACCGAGCAATTTTTGGCAGATGGCCAGTGCACAGATGCCGCTCGCGCCGCCATCCGTTCGTCCTTCCACGACTGCTTCAACGGCGCTTGCGATGGATCTCTGATCCTCGCTGATGAGTGCTCGAATCAAGAGAACAGGGGCCTCGAGCGTCTCTGTGGAAACCTCAAGACCGTACAGGCCAATACCGGTGTCGGCATGGCCGATCTCATTCAGTTCGCCGCTGCACACGGCGTCAAGACCTGCCCTGGAGGACCTACCGTCCCTGTCAAAGTCGGGCGCAAAGATTCCAGCATCGCAAATGCTCTCGGCGTACTTCCGAATGGCCAAGCTCAGAGCGGCGATCTCATCAAGCTCTTCGGTAAGCACACTCAAACCATATATGCTCATGTCCATGCTAAGAAACTCCAGCATCCAAAGGCTTCTCACCTGTTGATCTTGCCGCCCTCCTCGGCGCCCACACCGCCGCAAAGCAGCGTGTCACCGCTCCGGAGTCGCCAGAAGACCTCGACTCCACAGTCGGTAGATGGGACAACAAATACTTCTCGGAGACTAGGAGTGGCAAGGCACCTTTTACGCTACCCTCGGACAAGAGCGTTGCGCAGAACCCCCTTACTATGATTCCATTCAACACCTTTGCGCTGAGCAAGGGTGCATGGGATGTTGCTTTCGTCAGCGCCATGCAGAGGATGAGCATGCTGGGCGTTAATCAGAAGGGTCTGATCGACTGCACGTCTGCCCTGCCCGGTGGTTCGAGGAAGAGGGACGTACGCAACAGCAATCTTTTCGACAGGCTCAAGTGGTAGATGTTGGTGCTGGTTCTACGCATTTCATGGAGTTCATAAACGTCGGCCTGGACTACTTATTTTTCTTACGCTCACTTTGATGTCTTTCACTAAATTTATGTAATTACTAGGCCTGTGGCCACGATCAGGCCACAATAAAACACTTCACTTACAATGTCATTGCGTATGTTAGTGTTGGCCTTTTGTGAATTCTAGAGCGAGTGTTACGCAGAGTAAGCTGCTTGCGTTTGGATCTGAAAGCCCGGTTCGAGCCACATGTTTACTGTGGTCTCCGGCGAAAGCAGAGTCCCATGGCCAGTGCAGGCAGTGATTAGACAAGGATTTATCGAAGCTTCTACCGAGATTAATAACAGATGCCGCACTAATGAGCGGGCTGCTTTTGTCTTCGCAAGAGAGAAACTCTCTGGGCGTATCTGTTATCTGTTATAAATAGCTGAATGGGGGTCCTGTACACTAGCCCACGCACTGGCCATGGGACTCTACTTTCGCCGGAGACCTTAGTATCATAACTGATCAATAGCCGTGCATTTTAGGCTGGATTGATATTCAGAAGTGTTGCAGCCAAAATAGAGGCAAAATGTACATACATTTGCACCCCTAAATTAGCTGGTAAATAGGCATGATATGTGCTGCGACAAGAAGCTAAAGAGACTATAGGGCAATAAGAGACGACTATACAGAAGCAAAGAGAGTCCCAGAGCTTGGGAGCAAAAGAAGGCGCCATGGCTAAAGAAGGGAAGAAGTCGTGAGCTAAAGACGCAGTTGAGACATCTGCGGGCAAAAAGGAAGTATTTTTGACCTAACCAGGGGTCGCTAGCGGGGCGTATCAGTATTCGAACGCGGGGCATTGGAACGTGTCTTTACTTACAACCTGGAATCTCTTGATAACGGGATAATCGTAGTCAAGCGCCTTGCCATTGGGCCATTAGGCCAATTAGTTGCTTACTAATTGATGGTGTCAGAGCTGGTAGTATAATATATATATATATAATATTTTCTGTCTATAGACTTGAAAGTTTGATCTCTCAAGTGAAACACTGATAGCTCACGAGGGATTTTTCGCTCCGCAGTCGGGCCGACAATCTTTAGCGACCCGGTCTTCCAACCGCCCCACTTCATTATTCCCTCGTGATCTCTAACATCTTTTAATCAAGAATTGCGCTTGCACACCCTGAAGATATTGAGCCTACCTCTACGTATCTTGAATTTGAACTGCCCTGAATGAAATGAAGTTAGGCAACTCTGATCGCAAACGGCAATGAAAGGTGTAAATCTTGAAAGTATGAGTGCTCACTGGAAGCATGCCCGTAGTATCAGGCGGCCGATAAAGGCTGTACGGTATCTTACCCATAATATCGTACCCGTCGTTGGTTCAGTTCATGAAGTCATAAGACTCCTTCAACTTAGCCACTACACCCTGGAATACCGCTCTCTGAAACTGCACATCGTCGAGGCTATTTACTCGCATGCTAAAGTCGCACCGTATACATCTCCTGACTGCATCGCTGTACTTGGTGCCTGCATCATGTGCAAGCTCTTCGGCCGATCTGTCTGCGGTATTGAATCTGGTAAGGAGTTTGATCTGCAAATCGGGCGAGTCTAATGGCCCATCCTCATCCTCGTAAAGTTCGGCGAGTGATTCGCCGTACCAAAGTTCGATCAACGCCACACCTAACGCAAAGAGAGTTTGATTCCGTATCATGCGCCCCAGCTGCTTTGGCATTGTTGGTTGCGATGGAGTAGAGCCAGTGTCAAGTCCAGACGATACGAATGGCTGATCGTAAGCTGAACATCCGGGCCGCTCCACGAAGTAGATGCAATCGATGCCCCAATTATCGTCGAGTCAAGGTGTTCCACGGAGCTGCAGGACGCTTGAAGCAAGAATAACAGCTAATCTTACGCGGTCACGTTTTGGGAACCGCCGTCCGCGTCGCAAGGCCTTTCGTAACGTGGACACTGACCATTGTTCGGTGTCCTGTGGCAACGTCCTTGTCAGATAGATCCTCAATCCGTACTTTTGCTTCGCTATCACCCTTTCGAGAAGCGTCAAACAAACGTCCCTCTGAGGCTTCTGAAGTGTTTGAATAGCTGAACACAGGTCCTTGATCGGTTCAAGATTTGGTTCTGGCTCCGACGCTGCCTTGACCGCCTGTTTCGCTTGCGATACAAAGCGAACGCCCTTGCCGCTGTGAACATGATATCCAGCTGTCGGCACTGGTTGTTCTCGTGTGACATGAATGTCGGCTTCGTCCCAGATCCACCGGCTGACGCCGAGCACTGATACTGGGGCTCGTTGGTGTCCAAACTGGAAGAGGACGTGGAACGGGTCACGCATCCTTGCATCATTATCATCGTCGTCATCGTCATCGTCATCGCTCGAGGCGTCGTCTATTCGAGGCTCCAGTCGTAAGCTCACTGCATGACTTGATTGACAAGAACATGTCCATCCCGAACTTAGAATTGAGTAGAAGCCTTGCGCGCGCTCATTGATGCTTCTAAAATTTGGTGTCGATATACGTTCAGCATGTTGCTGGTTCTCGATATGCAGTCTCTGGAACGTCAATCGATGCAGTGCCGTATTCGCATGCCGGATGGTATTGATCAAGTCAGCATAGTCTGATTTGCTCAGACTGAATCTCAGGCGCTTGTAGTGTTCTTTGAAAGCTTGCGGCTGTGAGAATTGAGGCTACGGTGTGTCAGCAGAGCGACCACATATTGAGAAGGCGGTCATACCTGGCCCGATTTACCCAGCCTCAACCTTTCTTTGAACTTCTCGGTCGTAGTCTGTAACTTGAGGATGGTGGTGAGGTAAGACTCGTAGCTTGTATCGAGGCGCCTTTTCAGCTTGCGCTCAAAGCTTGCCGTCTTCCACAGCTCGCCACCAGGATTCGCAAGGAACTCCGCGACATCTTTGGCTTCAACGACACCCAACAACAACGTCTCGATGCTGTTCTGGTAGACAGCACTTTCCGCTGTCAAATCGTCCAGAAGGCTATTGACCTCCTCACGATACTTCCAGAATCGTTTTGTTACGGCGATGCCCTCAGCGTAGAGTTGCAGCCCAGCAAGGAGTAAGGGCATGGCGCTGAGGACCAACCCTGCGACTTCGACACCGGACATCGTGGCGAGAGAGACTACGGTATATGCGCGTGGGAAGTTCGGAGGTGGTGGTGATAGGGAGGACTTCCAAACAGTCTTATGAAAAATGGACGCAGAGTCGACAGGCCTCGATGGTCATGACCGATATGCTGCCTTGATGCGTCGATTCTCTAAAGAGCGAAGATGATCTTTCACTTAAAAAACGAAGAGAGACGCGACAAAACCAGCTCATGCGGCAAGTTCGAAGCGGGGTCTTGCAGGTGTGGCCCCCACGGCTGACATCTCATGTACGCACGTCACTGAAGCGAAGAAGAACACCTTCACAGCATCAGCCCCGCGTCACTTCGATATTTTCCACGAAGGCTTTCTGTTTGACCTTCAAACCGTTCCCAAAGCCGTGATCGGTTAGGCATGAATTCCACAGTAGCAGTCGCGCCTATATCTACGGCTGTAGACGGCTGCGCGCGCAGCTTTCTCAGCCTTGCAGAGAGTCTTCGACAGCCTACCCAATATACCGAGCAAGTGGCATTTGAGGCTATCGTGGATGAGTTTGGTCGCTTCAAACTATGGTGAGGGGCGATCCTCTGATATGCAATTGCATCTAATGATTGTAGGGCGGGTAACATTGCAGCTCACAGAAAGGGTCAGCACGTGTTTAAGATATGTACTGCTTAATAAATGCTAATACATGGTGTTGAAGGTCGCCGTTCTCTGGAGTATAGACTCCGAGATGCCGCTCAGTTAAAGGCAGAGACTAATGCGCTACTTGCATCGCTGGCAAAGGCGCTGAACAACTGTAAGTTTGTGGCTACTCACGATCGCTTGCACATTCTTATCATTGTAGCGCTGGCTATCGTGGAAGAGAAAAGCGTCCCATGGGATGAAGAAACGTATTCTGATTCCGATTCCGACTCCGACGATGGTAATGACGACAAGCTGCAAGGCGATACGGAGCTGCGACAGCTCTATGCTAGCATCAAATCTAATATAACATCCCTCATGCGTCTATCTATGGCGATACAGGAGCCCGCGCCGAACCGACAAGCAAGATGCATCGATAAATCTCACTTCGAGCTGCACGACGTACTACACGTTCAAGCAAAATTCCCTTTTGCGCCGCAGTATCTGTCCGAACGGCTCGGTCGAGCCGTATCAAGTCGAAGACAATATTTCACGTACCGGGAACTGCACCACGACAAGCTAGCAAAAGGCGTTGACAAGCTAGGTCTGGAGGCCGCCAAGACCGAGTTCACAGCCAGCTCAACAGAAGCCACAACGCTTCGACGGGCCGACAGCCTTAGCATCATGGATGGCGACGACGATGCTTTATCCATGACATCCTATGCAACTTCCGTCAACGCTACATTGAGAGCCCCAAATCTGCCCAAGGAAGCTCGCGAGAAGGAGCATTACAACTGCCCATTGTGTTACGGCCTGGTGGCTATACATACGACAACAGCTTGGAAGTGAGTCAAATCTTGAAAAAATCTGTCGATCCTCGCTAACCCACGAAGACGGCACGTATATCAAGACCTACACCCATACTGTTGCACGTACAAAGAATGCAGCACTGCCGACAGGCTCTACGACTCGCGCCACGCTTGGTTCGCGCACGAGGTGGAAGCACACCGCTCAATTTTCCAGTGTGTTGAGGGTTGCCTCGAAGGGTTCGAGATTGAAAGAGACTTTGAAGATCACGTCAGATCGCGGCATGAGGATCTCGCAGCGCCGGGCATGTTTTCAGCACTCAAGAGGACTTCGATCAAAAGCCCCGCCCTCACGGATATGACGACATGCGGCCTGTGCAACAAACGTATGTCGCTCCGCGCTCTCCAGAAACACCTCGGTCATCATCACGAACAGCTCGCGCTGTTTGCGATTCCGTCGAATCTAGATGAAACAGTAGATGATGAGGGTGAGGAAGAGCAGGGTTCGCTACTGAAGAGTGGAGTAGCTGAGGAGGACAACGACGAGGAAGTGACCGACACAAGCGACGCCTCCGGTGCAGAAGACTTAGTCATCGGTGATGATGTGGAAAAAGCGATTTCGGGCTACCACTCTTTTGCAAAGAGCGGAGGAGTTCAACTCGACAATAAGGCAGAGGGAGCAACGCCAGATGAGGAGCTGAACAAAGTGGGGGAGGTTCCTGGCACCGAGGCGGAGGTACAAGGAGGAAAGGACAACACCGGGATGGGAATGAACGCCATGCTCAACGCCCAAGGAATTCAGGACCATGGCGGCGGTCGGAATCACGACGACTCTGAAGAGAATGAGTGGTACTCCTTGGCTAACTATCACGACGCTCGCAATGTTCGTAAATCACAGCCGGGTGAGCAGTTCGCTCGCCGCACCTCTGAGACCCTCGCCCCGGAACGCTACTACGCAAGTGACCTGCACCAAAGTAGGCATGCAGGTCCAGCGCCTAGACCCGAAGATAGCGGTGCTGAGCCCAGAACTCGTCAACTGCTAGAAGATTGGGGTTCTGAGGACGGGGTTCACAAGCACGAGCTTCAAATGGAAAAGAATCGCGAGGCTCAGCGCAAATCCAGGATGGAAGTAGCAGAGCAAATAGATAGAGACGCGGCAGATGCTTTAATTGAAGCAGATGAACGCGACCTGGAAGACGCAGACAGGCGCGAAAGAACGAGAAGGCGGGAGATGCTCAAATTTAGCGAGTTTATGGCAGGAGGAAAGGATGCTGAAGCACGGATTCGACATGTTGAGGAACGCATTCGCGCAGACTTGGAACTGGAACGCGAGAGGGAACAAACGCTTGGTGGACCCAAGGCGAAAGCACAGAAAGAGCAAAGCGAGAGGGGTACGGAACGCGAGAGGACGATACTCACTGAATTCGAGCAAGAACAGAAAGATCGAGCGTGGACGGGAGACGAATTCGAGACACCCATACGTAGGCGCCTCCAACAATTCAACCACCAAGCCAACATGGTTCCACATAATCCGCAACCCGTCTACGCAAAGATCCGGAGAGAGTACCTCGACATCGAAACCCTCCATTACTATGATATCCCGTATAGGATCGACGATGACCCGAACTACATCATCGTGCTGAGGGAGATGGACCCTAAAGAGACAGACATCCTGTTTGAGCACACGCGCCGCCTTCGCAGCAATCATGGGGATCGGTTGTTCGTCGAAGCAGACGGAAGGTCTCGTATTGGGAAAAAGAAGGCGCGATCGAGGGATCGCGAACCATCCCGGGGACCTGGAGATTCGAACAACGTTACTCTCGGAGAAATGTTCTTTAGATGAGGGATTTTTTCTGCAAATTACAAGTGAGCGGTGACTTTCACGCCAAGAGCAAGATGAAATGGGAAGAAGAACAATGCCAGTGTTGAATGAAATGGGAAGAAGAACAATGCCAGTGTTGAGGACAGCGAGATGCGTTCCTAATGAGGCATCTCCACGTATCACTCGACGCACGCATGGAGCTGACAGAGCGCAAATATAGCATGAGTACGACTTGTGGCCTGCCAACCAGTGAGGTCAGCTGAGGACATGTAGTGCGCTAACCGCAAGCAGAGAACGGCTGAGCGGCTTAGCGCCGCGGCGTCAGCCCTACGCAGGATGCCTGCTAGCGGCCGCGGCAGTCGCGTGTGTCCGATGGGATCGAGGGGAAACGTGGTGCCTATTCTTGGGGGCCGTGTCGAGTGCAGATGGAGGCTGTTTGTGATTGTGGCCTTGTGCTTGTCGCTGTTGTGGCCCCGGGGTGTGTCTGCGATGTGCGCTGTGTACCACCAGGATGCAAATATGGCATGCCAAATATATAATGCGAGAGAGAGGCTTTGCGGATGCTGTGCCTGGATGATTGCCTTGTCGATGTATTCGTGGTCCCGGGCATGTTTGACGACGTTGAAACCTCATTGCTGATGCATCCACCTGCTAAGGCTGATTACATTTGCGGCATATCCTCTAGTCTAAGCTCGCGTTTGGCAGCGGCCGCCATCCCAATCTGGGTGCGCCGCGACCAGCGCTGGCGGGTACCTGAGGCACAGTCGAACAGGGAGCGCAGACACTCGTCAACAAATAGTGCACGCCGTCCCCGCGATGCTAAGATGCCAGGCATTGACGTGGCGCGTGCGTGCGAGAAGACGTCGGAGAGCCGTTGGTCAAAGACACGCCGGCGCACCGCTCGTCGAAAGCTGGAAACAGGACGCTCTTGCAGCGCCATGCGCTGCATTGCCTCGACCGGGAACACGACGACTGCAGCGATTCAGCGACCGGAATACTCCAGCCTTGGGGCGGCCTCTATCAAATGGTCGGCAAGACTGCAACGTCGCGCAAATCAAGAACTTCGTGGCAGCACATGGCCTTGCGGGCCCTTTGCTCGTCGCCGCAGTCTGAAAGACAACCCGTTAAAGACGCAGCTGCACGACCCGAGAATGAGACACTCGCATGCCCAGAAGCGGCAATACAGCAGTGTCCCAGAAGCGGCATTACAGCAGTGTCCCAGAAGCGGCATTACAGCAGTGTCCCAAAGCAGCGGTTCCCGGTTCCATTGCGGCTCTCGCTCGCTAATCGCGGCGCAGCTCACACGAAGACGGGAACGCGGTTGTGTAGCAGACATGAAACGAGCGTCCTATTCGCGGGCTGGTGAGCAGATGAAATGCGCAGGGCGATGCTGATGACTGTGTCGTGCGCGCCAAGAACGAATGACAAAGCGGACGTGCGCGTCAGAGATGCGATTTCGATTCCGTGTGCCTGGGGGGAAGCGTCGAGCGCGTGTTTGCGAGGACTCGTCGAGAGTCGAGAGCGCGCTCTGCCTAGGTCGAGGTGAGGTGCAGGCAGCACTCGTCCTGGCGCACTGCAGCAGCCCCAATACCGCCAGCACCCTTTGTGTTTCTATTCCAACCGCAGTACTTCGTGCCGAACTGTCCACCCGTCTTCCCCGATCAGCACAATACACTTCAGGGTCCAGCACCCCTGTCACGGTCATCAGCCGCACGCGCACGGCCCCTCCCAAATGTGGCAGGGCAGAGCACACATGCCAATTTAGTCCCCAGCGCCGGCGCAGTGTGTAATGCACCGATGAACGACTCGCAGGACAGCGGGTCTTGCGCGTTCTGACAAGCCGGCTCGATGCAGTGCCGGAGGCTAGCGAGCGCGCTGCGGGATTGGTGTGTGGGACGCGTGGTGATATAAAAGATGCCTGGTTAGGCAAACGGTAAAGGAAGCATCAAGTCACCAACCAGTACACAGCGAGAGGCCGTTTATTCGCATTTCAAACTGTATAAGACTGTTGCATTCTCAGAGACTGGTGGTTGTTTGTATCTTTACATTTCATCTTCTATCTGCTATTTCCGCGGTCTTTGTTGCGTAAAGACTTGCTCGATTACATACGATCGGGACCACGATACATGTTCATCTCCTCCAGATAATGGGCCGAGGCGGATACAACTAGAGCACTCCAAGCTCACAACAAGCTACCCCGTTCGCTCAACGCTCACAACAGGCTACCCCGTTCGCTCAACGCTCACAACAAGCCACCCCGTTCGCTCAACGCTCACAACAAGCCACCCCGGTCGCTCAACGCTCACAACAAGCCACTCGGAACCCCTCGCTCGCTCACCGACTTAGCCAAGAGACTGCTCCAGCACCTCCAAGCACGCAGGAAACCCACGCTCAAGATGGCTGGCCGCGGAGGATACAACTAGGCGCCACGCCCATCTCCCTCGACCTCGCACATCATTCTCCTTTATCCCCAAGATCCCCGGCCTCGGCTGTGTATTTGTACCTGTACCTGTGCCTGGACCTGTACCTGTGCCTGGACCTGGACCTGGACCTAGACCTGTACCTGTACCTGTACCTGTACCTGTGCCTGTGCCTGTGCCTGGACCTGTACCTGGACCTAGACCTAGACCTGTACCTGTACCTGGACGATCCCGTCTGTCGCGTGTACAGTGAGCTGTTTTTAGCGGCATGTTTTTGGTGATGATATCAAGCGGTGTTGGCATAAGCGGATAGCGGAGTTTTCATCTCGTTTATACCCAGACGACCGGCTCTTCAAGAGCAATGCATTGGCGGCGTTACCGGATTACGGGGCGTTGGTTGTTTGTTTCGTTGCATTCTGTTGTGTTGCTAGATGACTAGTCCATGTTTGTTTGTGCGCCCTGGCGGTGTACAGTACTCTCGAATGAATAGATGCAAGATGCGAGATGCAAGATGCAAGATGCGAGATGCAAAATGCGAGATGCAAGATGCGAGATGCGAGATGCGAGATGCAATATGCAAAATGCGAGATGCAAGACGCAAGATGCAAAATGCGAGATGCAAAATGCGAGATGCAAGATACTGAGCGCTGCAATGCCGTTGCACGTTGTGGTGCACGTTGTGGTGCACCTTGACGATGCGCGTGCTTACTTTCCTACGCAGAACCTGGAATCGAGTTAGCGACATGTGCATGCGTCCCCCACAGAGGCCTGGGTGTCTCGGCGCCTGAGCCAAAAGGATGCTTACTTTTCGAAAACTACACCCAGCACCTCCTCGACATCGCCCCCCTCTCCCCTCCCGGTGATCCGCGCCAGCGCGTCGGCGGCGCTGCGCAGACTCTCGGCGGCAAGCACAATGTCCACGTCAAAGTCGCCCGCTGCGTCGGCGAGGAAGGAGTCGAGGTGGGCGAGGCATTCGGAGACGAGGATGCGCTGGCGCTCTGTTGCGCCGAGGGACTCTTGCCAGAGGGAGGGGTCAGGGTCAGGGTCAGAGGGGTCAGAGGAGGGGTCAGAGCCAGAATCAGAGCCAGAGTCGGGGACGAGGGCGGCAGTCATGTCGCAAAAGGTACGGGTGAGGGTGGAGAGGAAGGCTTGTATGTTCCCGGGGTCTTTTGGAAGTGGGGTCGAGGCGTCGACGCAGGAGATGAAGGAGACATGCGCGGCGGCGATGCCGAGGGTCGAGTGCAGCTGTGCTCTCCATGCGTCTTCGACGCCGGGTGTTGAGGGGAGCTGGTCGATCTTGTTCACGGCGACGAGCACGTTGATGCCCGAGTCGATGCACTGCTTCGCCGTCTCTGCGACTTCCGGGTCCATGTCTGCCGTGGCGTCCTGGACGACAATCAGGACGTCCGACTCGAGGGCCCGCTGTTTGGCGCGCCTGATGCCCTCCTGCTCGACTGCGCCGACCCCGTCTGCTCCGACCAGGCCAGGCCTGCGCAGGCCGGCCATGTCTCCGATCCGGACCAGCCAGCCGGCCAGATCGAGGCTGACGTCGACAATGTCTCGCGTTGTGCCAGCTTCGTGCGAGACAATGGCCGCCTCTCGGCCGACGATGCGATTCAGCAGGCTGCTCTTGCCGGCGTTGGGGGCGCCGACGAGGGCCACGGCGATGCCGTTGCGGAGCAGCTCGCCGCGCACGGCGTTGGCGACGTGCGCCTCCATGTGGGCGCGCAGGACGCGGACCCGGTCGGCGACGGACGCGCACAGCTGCACGGGCGACTCGTCAAAGTGCTGGTCCTCGGAGAAGTCGATCAGCGCCTCCAGCTCGCCGCGGGCAGCCAGCAGGTGCGTGCGCCACTGCTCGTAGCGGGCAGCCAGCGACGAGATTGTGCCGCCGACCGCCACGCGGCGCTGCTGCTCGGTCGCGGCCGACAGCGTCTCGCCCAGCGACTCGATCTGCGGCAGGTCCATGCGGTGGTTGGCAAAGGCGCGGCGCGTGAACTCGCCCGGCTCAGCATATCGTATCGGCTGCGGTGCGGCGCACTGGGCAATGGCAGCCAGCACGGCGCGCACAATCGCGGGGCCGCCGTGGACGTGCAGCTCGAGCACGTCCTCGCCCGTGGCCGTCGTCGGGCTGGGGAAGAAGAGGACGAGGGCGGCCGAGTCGAGCAGCGTCGCGGGCGACGGCGGCTGGTCGGGGCGGTACAGCTTGCGGACGGTGGCACGGCGGGGCCTGGGGAGTGCCGTCGCGGGACAGAGCGCCGAGTAGACCTAGGGGCGCATCAGAACAGCTGCGGGGGGTTTGGCGGGGTGGTGCAGCGCCGACCTGCCTGCACGCGGGCCCTGAGACGCGGATGACGGCGATGGCAGCCTTGCCCGACGCCGTGGAGAGGGCGAAGATGGTCGGCTCGTCGAGGTGGGATCGGAACTGGCGCTGCTGCGCGACGACACGGCGCGACGGCTGCGCGACGACACGACGCGACGGCTGCGAGACGACACGACGCGACGGCTGCGAGACGACACGGCGCGACGGCTGCGAGACGACACGGCTCGCGGCATTCGCACACAGTCGCTGCAGGCGTGCGCCAGTCGCCGGTCGCTTGCTGCAGCGCAGCGGTGCAGTGAGCGCTCGCATGCGGAGAGTTGGTGCGGGTCGCGCAGGAGAGTTGGTGCGGGTCGCGCAGTCGGGGAGTCGAGCAGTCGGGGAGTCGAGCAGTCGGGGAGTCGCGCAGTCGGGGAGTCGCGCAGTCGGGAAGTCGAGCAGTCGGGGTGTCGCGCAGTGCACGCGTCGTGGTTCGCTCTCCTCCGCGGCCTCGTCCGGTTAGGGTTAGCGCACGAAATATTTCTGAGCGCCCTCACCAGCGACCGCCAGTTGCCAGCCAGCGACCGCCAGTTGCCAGCAGCGACCCGCGCAAACGTCCCGCACAGTAACCCGCGCCGCATCCCGCGCAGTAACCCGCGCAGCCCCGCCCGACGACCCCAACATGGCTTCCGGTACGTGCATGTCCACGGCCGACACAGCTGCGGGCCCGACCACTGACTCCCTCCAGACGAAATCGTGTGGTCCATCATCGGCACCGACTTTTGCAGCTACAAGCTCAAGACCACAAAGGACCAGACCTTCTGCCGCAACGAGCACAACGTCTCCGGCTTCTGCAGCAAGCAGTCGTGTCCGCTCGCCAACTCGCGCTACGCCACCATCCGCTCCGACCCTGCCACCGGCGACCTCTACCTGTACATCAAGGCCATTGAGCGCGCCCACCTGCCGAGCAAGTGGTGGGAGCGCATCAAACTGCCCAAAAACTACACAAAGGCCCTCGAGATGGTCGACGCCCACCTGCAATACTTCCCCAAGTTCCTCGTCCACAAGAACAAGCAGCGCCTGACGCGCCTGACCCAGGTCAACATCCGCATCCGCAAGCTGGCCAAGGAGGACGAGCGTCTGGGAGAGCGTCTGGTGCCCCGTCTGGCGCCCAAGATCCGGAGGCGAGAGGATGCCCGCGAGCGCAAGGCCCTGGCCGCCGCAAAGGTCGAGCGCTCCATTGAGCGCGTGCTCATCGACCGCCTCCGCTCCGGCGCCTACGGCGACCGCCCGCTCAACGTCGAGCCCAACGTGTGGAAAAAGGTCATGAAGGGCCTCGAGAAGGAGGGCCAGCTCGAGCGCGACGAGGACCTCGACGACGGCGAGCAGTTCGACCAAGACGACGAGGAGAACGAGTACGAGTACGAAAACGACAACGGCGTCGGCCAGGTCGAGTACGTGAGCGACGTCGAAGGCGAGTCGGACGACGACATGGAAGACTTTGAGGACTGGGTCGGCGGCCAGAGCCCCGACGAAGCCTCTGGCGACGACACCAACGACGGCGAGAGCGCCAGCGACGACAGCGACGGCGACGACAACGCCGGCGACGACAACGACGACGACGAGGCACTCAAGAAGGCGCTTGCCAACCTCAAGCGGAAACGCGCGGCCGCGCCTCCCTCGAAGCCGAAGAAGAAGCCATTGAGAGATGCAAAGGCCGCGAGGCGCGAGATTGAGTACGAAATCGAGAGGGAGCCCGCCGCGAGGGACACTGTGCGCAACTAATACCCTGCCTTTAATCCAGCATCGTAGACATGCTCCCATTGTAGAGAGGGACGGAAAGCACCGCCGCGTCTTGCCGCTGTGTGTTGCCGCCACTGTCACAATCTGAGCCTTGAACATGCAGCACCACATCTTGCGCTGCGTGTTGCCACTATTACAATCCACATGCCGGGAGTCTTGAACATGCAGCACCACATCTTGCGTTGCGTGTTGCCACTATTACAATCCACATGTCAGGAGCCTTGAACATGCAGCACCACATCTTGCGCTGCGTGTTGCCACTATTACAATCCACATGCCAGAAGTCTTCAACACGTTACATACAGCCAGCTCAAGATTGCTCTTCCTTTAACCACCACAGCTTTGCCACCTGAAACACCAATCATGCGTCGGTCCACCGTCAAATGAACCATTCGCCGAAAACACGAGCACAGGGCCCGCTCGGACTCGGGAGCTGTCAAACTCCCCTGCTAGCTACCACTAGTTCTATTTTTAGCTTCTATGCATACGAGACGCCAATCTCAACAGCAATAACGTTCAGGCACTGTATAAATTCCCTCTGTCGGCAATCCCAGACGCCTTCAACCGCCTCTCGCCTCACACTCGCTCCAGTCTCTCGCCTCACACTCGCTCCAGCCTCTCGCCTCACGCTCACTCCAGTCTCCCGCCTCACGCTCACTCCAGTCTCCCGCCTCACGCTCACTCCAGTCTCCCGCCTCACGCTCACTCGCTCCCAATCATGAAGACGGCCGGAATGCTGGCTGCGGCTACAGCTGCGGCAGCGTCTGTTGTCGAATTGCCAGTCCGCATCAAAGACACCTATGTACAACCCCCTCCGCCCTCAGCCATCTTCCCAACTAATCCGTCCAGTGTACGGCAGAGGTATCTGTCGGCACACCTCCTAAACCCTACCGCCTGCTCTTCGACACCGGCTCCTCGACCTCCTGGTTCACATCTACAGCCTGCACGGCCACCTCCTGCCCCTACCTGGCATCATACAACCGGACTCTCTACTCCGCCAACGCCTCTTCAACGTCCACAGATCTGCACTCCTTCTCCCGCATCTCCTACGTCGACGGCGACGGCGTTGCAGGCGCCGCCACCCGCGACGTCTTCTCCGCCCCCGACGGCAGCTTCGAGTGGAACCAAACCTTTCTCTCAGCAAACGAGAGCTCATGGCGCTGGATCACTGCCGACGGCTACCTGGGTCTGGGCTTCAGCAGCATTGCCGAGAACGCCACAACCACGCTCGTTGAGACGCTGCTCTGGGACGGCCAGCTCGACGAGCCGCGCTTCTCGCTCTTCTACGGCACCAACCTCGAAAACAACGGAACCCAGAACGGCGTCCTGACCATTGGCGGCAGCCACGAGGACAAGTACGTCGACGGCGAGATTGTCTACGCGCCGCTCAAGACGGAAGACCCGCACCAGCTCTGGCGCGCGCCCCTGCGCAGCGTCAACATCCTCGTCGCCGGCCAGGCAAACTCGACCGTCATCACAAACACAGGCTCTCTGCCCCACACCACCGACGCAAACGGCACCTTCCCGCAAGCCAACACCACGTGGCAAATTGGCAGCTCCGGCATCGCCGTCTTCGACACGGGCGCCGGCCGCGTCTCGGTGCCCTCGAGCATCATCGACGTCGTGTACTACAACCTCGGCTGGAACTTTACCAAGCTGCTGCACGGCGAGGAGCGCATCGAGTGCCAGCACCTCAACGCCTCGTGGGCGCTGACGTTTACCCTCGGCGAGGACGACGACACCGCCAAGGACGTGTCCTTTAGCATCCGCGGCGACGAGTTCATCGAGCCCGGCTCAGAGTGCATGCCGCCCATCGACACCAGCGACCAGGGCAACTTTGCCCTCGTCGGCTCGCCCTTCCTGCAGCGCTACTACACCATCTGGGACTTTGGCGCCGACAAGGTCGCCGACTACGCGCCCAAGATCGGCTTCGGCAAGCTCAAGAAGGAGTGGGATTACCTGTACCAGTAGGCTCGCAGTGGGATTACCTGTACCAGTAGGCTCGCAGTGGGATTACCTGTACCAGTAGGCTCGCAGTGAGGCACTGGGGGAGGATTTTTGTTTTTAGTTCTTGGACAAAATCACGCTCTGAACGCGTCGCTTTTGTGGCCTCTGTAGATGAAAAACTCTTCACAACTCACATCAATCATAACTAAATCCTGTTCAAGCTCCATGCCGAGCGGGACCTGCAGTACCTACCCCAAACTCGGCAGGAACGAGGCGAAATAGTGAGGACCCCACTGCGCCAGGCTCGCGTGTCGGAAGACGAGGCTTGCCCGGAGAGGTATCCAGCGACCTCCTTCTCGAAGCCGCGTCGAACATGCACCGTCGTCTGCCTCTCGCGGCTGGTCACGCATCCCCCAGAGTATGCGAGAATGTGTGTGGAGCGGCATCTCCACTTTCGGCAACTCGCGGAAGAGGGCCACGGCTGCGGTGAACGCATTGACACGTGGGCGGGAAAGGTCGTGTGAGGAGTGGTGTTCGGATAAGCGTTGTCCGCTTTTGTCCAAGGTCTTGAGCCGCGGAAGCATGTCTCCGCCCCATGCTTGTCGCGCGACGGTGGATGAGCCTCGTGCAAGGCCTGGAGAGAACCACACCCGTGGGAAGTACACATGTAGCTGTCGCTGTCGCCCAGCGCCATGGCTTGACAGCGGTGATCTTTTCGACCATCGTTCGTCCGTAACGCAGCGTCGGTACACATGTCCGCGAAGCCAGAGAAACGCAGACAAGCAAACCTCTCATACGCCGGCAGGCCTTTTGCGGCTTGATCGAACTCGGCACAGGCTTGATTCCAAGTCTCCGCCTCGTCACGAAGCGACTCCAGAGAAGCGCCGATGCTTCATCAACCTGACGCGACTCCGGCACTACCCAAAGCGGCAATCCGCCGCCGGCTGCCTTGCCAGCATGCAGCACGGCCGTTGTGGAGCAGCGAATCACGCATCGCGCCCGGCGCCGTTCGAGATCGACGCGTCTGCACCATCCCCCAAATGATGCGCTGATCCCCGCCTCCGCAACGCGGCTCAAGGACGGACGTCATCGCTCCCCACAGCCTGAAGGGTGATGCCCGTGGCTTGCGGGTGCCGCACGGCAATAGCGCACTAGTGGGATATGGACCTGAGGACGGACGCGGTTACATCGCTGGGACGGCGAACGGATGCTGCTTCAAAAGGCGGGCCAGCGCGCCGTTTGTCTTTCCTGTTGCATCTGCTTTTGCTTGCAACGCTCGGCTGGGACGTGATCGTCTCGTGGAATTTGTCTTTGTTCTTGTACGAGCGCTGAGCGCGTGACGGTTTCCATCATGGGCAAGAGATTCTACGGCCTCACGGGCACCAAGCTGAACATTGCCATTGCGGTGGTTGCGGGTACCGATTTCGCGCTTTTCGGTTATGGTACGTTCACCGCGAGGTCCCCCGTGCTAAACGCTCACTGCAATCTTTAGACCAGGGTGTCATGGGTGGGCTGCTCACCTTGCCCTCATTCACGCGCTACTTCCCCGAGATCAACACCCTGGAGCCGCCCAACGGCGATGCTAGCCACACGGCGACAATCCAGGCCATCACGGTCGGCGCGTACACTCTGGGATGTTTCTTCGGCGCTGTTGCGACCATCTGGCTCGGCAACATGCTCGGACGCAAGAAGACTATTTTCATCGGGAGTGTCATTATGATCATCGGCGCAGCCATCCAGACAGCATCGTTCAGTCTCGCCCAGCTCATTGTTGGACGTTGGATTACCGGTTTCGGCAACGGCATGAACACCAGCACGGTTCCCACATGGCAGTCCGAAACATCGAAACCGCATAGAAGAGGACAAATGGTCATGATTGAGGGTTCACTCATCGTATTTGGCGTCATGCTGAGTTACTGGCTCGACCTGGGATTCTCGTTCCTCGAGCCCAGTTCCATCGCCTGGCGCTTCCCCATTGGCTTCCAGATCATCCTCGCTATCTTCATCCTCATCTTGATCCCCGGACTGCCCGAGTCGCCACGCTGGCTCGTCCTCAAGGGACGAGATGACGAGGCGTGGGAGGTCTTGGCCGCTCTGAGCGACCTGCCAAAGGAGGATAAGAAGATTGTCGCAGAGTTGCAGGCGGTCAAGGACGTCGTCTTCGAGATGTCCAGGGGCGGATTCCGAGAGTGCTTCAAGACCAACCGCAACAGGAATTTCCACCGCACAGTGCTTGCATACGTCAACCAAATGTTCCAGCAAATCTCGGGTATCAATTTGTATGTTTCGAGGCTCCACTAGGTAAGAAGAGACACTGACACTGACCCAGGGTCACGTACTACGCGGCAACTATCTTCGAAGGCTCGCTCGGTCTTTCGCCGTTCCTGAGTCGTCTTCTAGCTGCTTGCAACGGAACAGAGTACTGGATCGCCTCTTGGATCGCCATCTTCACGATTGAGAGGTTCGGGCGCCGCAAGCTGATGATATTCGGTGCGGTTGGCATGAGCGCGACCATGGCCATCCTCGCAGGAGCCACCAGCAACGTCGAGAACAAGGCCTGCGCTCTTGTCGCAACCGTCATGCTGTTCGTCTTCAACTCCTTCTTCGCCGTCGGATGGCTGGGCATGACCTGGCTCTACCCCGCCGAGATCACGCCCCTCTCGATCCGTGCTCCGGCAAACGCCATCGCAACCACTGCGAACTGGGCTTTCAACTTCATGGTCGTCATGGTCACACCCGTCGCGTTTGCAAACATCGCGTGGAAGACGTACATTATTTTCGCCGTCATCAACGCCGCCATGGCGCCGAGCGTGTACTTTTTCTTCCCCGAGACCGCCGGCCGCTCGCTGGAGGAGATGGACGAGATCTTCCACAACACCACCAACCCCTTCAACTGCGTCAAGATTGCGAGAGAACTGCCTCACCGCTTCGACAAGCGCGGCAACTTGCTCATCGACTACAACGACACCGAGGAGGCAAGGGACGTCGAGAGGAGGAGAAGCTCGGTCACTGGCGCGTCGCCGGGTCTCTTTGACAAGGACAACAGAGAGCACAACGAGAAAGCCTAAAACGGCAGTTGTATTGAGTGGAAGCTGTGGCAGAGTTATATGCCGGCTGGCAGGCAATTTGTTGCCAGTCAGGTAGAGAATCAAATTATGCTCCTCAACTTGGCCGCTGCTGCCTGAACAAAGTCCTGGTCAGGGTCCAAGACGACTCAACCGTGGTACTGAATTCGCTAGCGTAATACGGTCTTGCACGATTAGATCCATTGTTTGCTCGTCCATCATCGCATCCTTCCCCCATCCGGTCGTATCTAAATATTCAAAGTCTTCCAAAACCAACCGCCCTCGTGTGCGAGGTATCCCCGTTGCGACTCCGGGTCTCCATGCACAGGTAGCATCACCTTCACACTAATACACGCGTACACTCCACGGCGCCTGACAAATGCAGCTATCACCTGGTAAGCCAAACGCAAAGCCCGGTTTCCAAAACCACAGCGCAGCCAACACCCGCGGCCGAGTTCCTCGTACTCGCTCGGCGTGAGCACACATGATAACCACCTCTCCTCTCAAACTCCCCGTTGGAATGATGCCGGGGCACCCTGCTCGCGGTAGTACCCGCAACAAGTCTGGGTCGATCTCGATGAGAAGCACGCAGGGGAGTATCCTTTGTCCAATTCAGCGGGTTCAACGTCGCCGCTGGTGTATGTCAGTGGAGGCTTGCGCATGTGCAAAGTCACATCGAGACCATTCGATCAAAGTATTGCAGATCCTCTCACCTCGCTAGCCTTGGCAGGTCATTGTGGGAACTGAGAGAGGGACGATAAGAGGGGGGAGACGCTGATGCGATGCCCTGCCGGAGCACTGCTTTGTGGTGATGACAGTGGAGTGTTGGCTCATACATTTTTCATGACGATAATGGGTCGTTTTAGTACACGCTGAGATTGGACTTTTTGTGCCTATGTAAGGTGGGTATGTATGTACGACCGGCTAATGGTGCGTCTGGTATGTGCAGATTCACAATGTTTTCAGTGTCGATTCGATGCCGGCGCGCTCCTCCCCGCTCACCGCCGCGACAGCATGGCCGTCATCGAGACCTAGAGCGCTATTGAGCGGAGGCTCGATGATATCGTGCTTCACTCGACCCCTGTCGCCCGTGTGACCTTGGGTCGTGATGCGGAGGAAAGGAACGAACAGCACGGCAAGGAAACAGACACCGAGAGCGAACCAGAAGACGGCGGCGTACGGCGCGACGGCATTGTTGGCGTAATATCCGGATTTCGGCGGGTTTCTCTCGACAGTGTCGAAGATGGCGGTCGCGATGCCGTAGCCGACCGCGGTGCAAAGGCGAGTCAAGGTCTGTAGCAGCGACCCTGCTATCGACTGCTTGTTTGCGGGCATGGAGGACAGAACGTACATCTAGTGACGTCAGTGAAGATCCTGGATTTCACAGCAGGTACCTACGTTGGCGACGATGAACTCAAAGTCCGCTCCAATGACGCACAAACACAATGCAGGGAAGGAGAAGGCCCAGTATGAATCGCCCTTTCGTTGTACTGCAGCGAGAACGAAAGCACCAACGTATGCCCACGCGCCGATGCCCATGATGCGCTTGTTGGAAACTTTGTGCTGGATCACAGCGGCGATGAAGTTTGCGAGCAGCCCTACTACGACCATGGGCAGCATGTGCACACCCGTCATAAGGGCGTTGTAGCCCAGCTCGACCTGGAAGTAGAGCGCGAGCCAGAACGAGAACACCGGGAAGCCGAGGAAGCCGAACGATAGGATGAGAAGGAGCTACACGTAACACCAGTCAGCAAATGTCCTGACACATTGCGTTCCTCCAGGGCTACTCACCAGAGAAAAGTCTCGGTCTTTGAACACATTCATGTCTACGATGGCGTACGGGTACTTGAGCTCCCACGCAATGAACGCGCCGATCAAGAGCAGGCCGACGAGCAACAACACGAGCACATACGGCGTCTTCCAGCCGTTTGGCGCGTCGCCCGCGAGACTGAGAGCTGCGCAGAACATTCCAATACCAGCGATGGTCATCCCAGTCCCTGGTAGATCCAGCCTCCTCAGAGTCTCCGCATCGAGCTTCTGCTTCGGCATCGTGTCGGTAGGCACCGTCACATAAGCGACAATCGAGGTGATGAAGTACGTGATTGCAATCAGGAAGAACCCAGCTCTCCAGTTGAAGAGCTGCGTGAACAGCCCGGACAGGATGGTACCAAACACGAAGCCGAGAGGGTTCCCGGCGCTGAAGCATCCGAATGCTCGGTTCTTGCGACGACTCGGTCGGTCGTAGATCGTACCGAGTACGCCTTGAGCCGGTGGGACAGCGGACGCAGAGAAGATTCCGAGGATGCCGCAAAGGACGTCAACGGTTATGCCATCCTTTGCGAAGCCAGTACCCAGACAGACGATGGAGAAGAGCACCATGGACCCAATGAACATGGATTTGCGACCGAAGAGGTCTGCGATGCTGCCAAAGAACAGAAGTAATGCTCCTGCAGATAATGAGCATGCGGCGTTCATCCAAGTGACTTGTGCATTAGTCATGTTCAGGTCTTTGGCAGCGAAAGAGCTCATCACGGTAATTGAGCCGGTCAGAACGCTGGTCATGGCGACCGCCATGGTGACTGACAGCACAAACAGACACTCTTGGAGCGTCGACTTGAAGCATGCTGGTCGTGCATTGGGATCTTTCTCGTCGTGATCGCTAATTGATAACGGTGGAGGACAACTGCCGAGCTCGGGATCCGGGGTTGACATGGAGGCGGGAGGCGGGAGGTTGAGTGAAGCAGAGGTAGAGGTGGCGGTGGTGAGAGGGCGTGAAAGTTCAAGTCTACAATAACATACTTAAAGCTCGGCACAAAACAAGTGAAAATTGAAGCTTCTAATGCGAAGTGAAAGTGTGAGCGGTGTCCACGATTTCTAAGATGCGGCGTCTCTTCCGCACCAGACCCTTGCTAACCGGAACCGGGAACGCTTTTCTGGAACCTGGTCCTTCACAAATGGAAATATTTCGCGGCGGCACACAATTGAGGCACGGCTTTGAGTTGCGAAACGGTTGGTCTTTTGTTGCTTGTTCGTCCCGTGCCTGCGGTGAGTGTGCCTCACTGTTTGGATCGCTTAGCCTAAGATGCCTATGTAAATGAGTTGTTCCATGTCCGGGCGGCAGTGAGGGTGCTGTTGCCGAGAGGTTGTGTCTTTCATGTTGGAGCAAAGTACAATCATGCGGCTGATTGAGCACTCGATACTACTGTCAAACAGTAGGCCCTCTTGGCTAGCTTTGAGCACGTCCTGCGTTCCGGATGTTGACAGGCTGCATCCAGCTCGCTCGCGACAGGAAAAAGTGCGAACATGGGTATCATTTTAGTAGTGTACACGTACTCTTACAGCTTGAAGACTTTCCAGTCTCCAAGATTCATCTCCCTCAATTCGCCTCCGAGTGGGCCTTGCGTCTCTCGGCCATCGACCCAGACCTTTCTGCCGGCCCAGTGCTCGATGAATCCATCTGGTCCAGACACGATTATCAGCTTTGAGCCCTTCTCCTGTGATGTGCTGGCCATCCTCTGCATGACGTCCTCTGGCTGGATAAAGGTCTTTTCCTCATCAACGTAGTATTGGACCTTCAATCCCTGTGTTGCAATCGTATTGTTCGCCTTTAACGCATCTAGCTCCTTCACGATGAGGCCTTTGTCTTGCAGTATTTCGCTTTCAACAGCGTCATCCTTCGAAAGGCCGACCAATGTGGCAGTCTCGCTTGATCCAACGAGGATGCTCTTCCACCACCCCAATCGGTTCTGGGGTGAGCTTGCAGTCTCACGGTCGTCGCTGACACCACCGACGCACTCCTCTCGCTTCCGGTTTGCCCAAAGAACCTGCATTTTACTTCCTGTCCTCCTGCTTAGAGCCTGCGCAACTTGCATTGCAGGTGCAATGCCCGTTCCGCCGGCCAGGAAGATGACTTCTTTGACATTGCGAGGCAGCTCAAACTCAGCGTTGGGACCGCGAAGCTCTAATGTTGCTTGCTCAGGCAACCGGTGCAGATATGTCGATACCTCCCCTCCGGTCTCTTGCCGAATCAAGAGCCTTATGTTCTGAGGTGCGTCCTCATCCTTCCTTCCATCGGTGGTATGTGGTAGCGGTGTATAAGCACGAGCAATTTGCAATTGTGGCTGCTTGATTTGTATGCTCCAGACGCTTCGCTTTTCCACCTCCTTCACACTTTGCGAATCTGGCGCGCCGTTTGCGTTACGTAATGTGAATATAGCGCTGGTCGACGACACAGGCTGCTTGTTGATGAGTGTGTACGGCGTGAATGTGTGCGGATTGAGCGATTCGTCGGTGGGTCTCGAAGGACCAAAAAAGCGGTACGCTGCGCCGCCTGCTGCGGATGTACCGAGGACGATCAGGGGACCAGCCCGCCGCCTGACCCAGGACATTGTGAAAATAGGAAAGTGAACGGGCGAATGTGTTTTGAAGATGACGCTGGCATTATTGTCGGAAACCTGGGGAAACCTGAATCCAAGGCTGGTGGCCCAAGCTCTTGAGCTAGTGAAGACATCACCTTCGGTCTGACCTCTGCAATGGTTTCCAACCATCTCAATCTTGGATCAAGTCCTACAGACGCTACAGAGGCGAAATGGGCGTTAGGTGCCTCATACGATCCGCCTTGTCAGCACCACCACTCTCTGCGATGAGACTACTAAAGACTACGCAGGCCTATCAGTCGACGGCAACTTGCGCCTGACATCGTGTGAAAGGTAGGGAACGGATGGTGTAGTGATTCCTCCGGTTCCTGCAGATACAACTTACGCCTTGCCAACGGTAGCCTGCGTGCGTCGTTCCTTGATGTCTTGGTCGGGTACAGATCTGCACTGCAGCGACCACGCTCTCATTACTCCGAATCGGATGCAGTCTATCAGCAAATGGAAATGATAACCGCGGATTACGTTGAGTGGTTCGAGGCGAGGCTCTCCGTTCGTGTTGTGCATGCGTCGGCAAGGATCCAAGACATATCTGTTGCGCGTCTTACCACCCTCTACACAACTTGGATCCAACGAACGCGCTTGCTCCCGCTCCTTTCTGGATTGCTCAACTTCCAGATCTTCAGCCACCGAACTTAAGTCTTCCAATTCAAGAGCTAGATAGCGTGGGGTTCATTATACTGCTTGATCTCTTCATAAACGATCACAAACTAAAGAGGCAAAAATGGCCGATTGTTTTAGCTTCAAACTAACCTTACGTTAACGAAACGATCAGGCTAAGAATAGGATACAGCTTACGAGCTTCACCGATTGCTGTCCAGCCCCAACATGTCTTGGCTTTCAGCCTGATTGCTACTCTACTTTGATCGAGCAATTGCACTCAAGAGCTTCGGGGCGCGATCGAATACACGCCTTCCGAGATCATAGGTGGCTGTTTGTTTATGAGCCTAGTGCTTTTGTGTAGCGAGGAGCAACCACAACAAGAACAGTGACGTCTTCCTGCGTACGCCGCATTGCACACTGGCCGAACTGTTCTGTCGTGATACACAATGCGAGCATCGATTTCCCCTTTCAGTGCATTCAACCCGTATCTCTTCAACTGTAAATTGTGCACCCATGTCCGTGGCGGCTTGGAGCACAAGGCTCTGCATAGATTTGGGGGCCGATTCGTCAGCTCATACGCCACAGCCTTGTGTCTACAGTGCACCCCTCTTGGTTCACCAAACGTGATAAGACTAGATAAAGCCCCGACATCGAATGATGGATTACTTGCTATAACAGGTCTTGTTCCGCTTTGTAGCGACGTCGAACGCTCGCAGTTGAAGCAGCTTTTTGCCCAGCATGAGTCGGTCTCCTTCGCCAATACCAAGGCCAATGTTTTCACCACTGCAGCTGGTCTCTCCACCCATCCTGCAAAGTGCACCTCAGAGTCCCGATGTTACGTTAGGCCGTGATGGATCAACGGTGGCATCGACTTTCGTGCCTTCCACTGCGTCGCTAGATCGCACTTTCAGCTACGACCGCGAAGGAGCATTCTCGAAGCCAAACATCCCAGAATTTCGAATAGAGATGGACCAAGGAGATGAAGAGTCCCTTCTCAATCCAGGTAGTAGCCAGAGAAGCCAGAGCACGAAGCATTACGAACAGATGGATTCCTGGATGGAACTCGCGAAAGTTGGGACCATCAAGTTCCTGATGACCATCTTCCTTGGGGGTGCGCTCTGCTTGTGTTTGAAATCATGGGAAGGGTTTCACAAGCCTGTAGCGCTTTCCAAACACGATGTCCAGATCTTTAACGCGCTCACTATCGCTCTCTCGATCTGCTTAGGTCTCAACCTCCTGACTTCGCTCAAACGCTATGCAATCTTCTTGCGCTGGGCGATAATCACGAGATACTGGGTACCTATAGAGATATTTGACCTTATTCTGGGCATCGATGAGCTCACGAATGTCGCCAAACTTCTCGTTCTGTCTACGCCGGCACTCGAGCATAAATGGCTACTGGGTAGATCTCGACCATGGCGAAACTCTCATCCGGGTTGTAGGAGGAAATTCGCTATCGCTTGCTTCATCTGGTTGCTCATTAACATTGGTAGTCAAGTCTTGGTAGCCTCCATAAGCTTGTTCTGGCCCATGGAGTCGTACAAGTGTCCACTTACAGAATACGGATCCGTCGCGGTAGCGGACCTGTCGAAATGGGATAAGGCAGAAGCCGGTTCCACTGTTCATTCCTCCCGGGAAGCAGCCTGGAGGTTTGGCTTGGAGGCACAGTCTTGGAGCAACTTTCCTGTTGCAGAAAAGGCCCCCGACCTATCTCAACTACCAGGGACCCCAATCTACAAAGGGGAAGACAGCTTCGAGTATCGCTTCTACTATCGTAATCCAGAACGTCTTTACAGCGACTACCTACCTAGCAATCGCATTATGAAGGCATGTGCAACGTGCAAGCAATACCAAATACTGAGCATGGCTTCTGGAAGTCCTAGCCCTGGTTTGCCAGAGACTCTCTTCGCTAAGGCAAAATTTCTGGAAGAAAACACCAACGTTTCGATACCCCTCTACGGTGAAGGGATGGTCCTATGGCAAGCTATCGTTGGCGAAACGTGCGGCGCGCGCTGTACGCAGCTCATAGTCTTCCAGAAGAACGGATCGAACACACTCACAGCAAAGAGCGTCAACAAGGATTCCTTGTGGATATGTGAGAATGAAGTGACTAACATCTCGACAACTGGTTTTGGCACAAGTCATTTTGGCATCAGTACTACAGACACGGCAATCTATGGGACGGATACCTTTGCCAAGTTGGCAGCGGGCGCCATCGGCTGGACTGGTTATTCTCAGGGAAAATGGTTAGATCGTCAGTGGCGCTTGTACACACAAGATTCTCCGTGGTCTCCGAAGCACGTGCTCAACACCCACGACGTCGAGGAGATAATAATGCGCTTCAGCATTGGTGCAATCGCAGCCTTCGATAACCATGGTACTCGGCACAACATCAAAATAAACAACGAGACTTGCGACGAGAAAAGCCAAGCGCTCAAAGTCACATGGAAATACATCTGGATCAATCTGGGCGCAATAGTGACTGTTCAGTTCAGCGCGTTGTGCTACCTACTCATACGCGCAAACAGAAGTATCGTGCGAGACTCGAGCTACTTCAGCATGGCCATGCTCCTGCGGCCTATTCTCGAAGTTATTGACGATGTGCCAGGCCGAATGGCGATGAGTGGCACTGAGATCGCGAACCACCCCAAGTTGAGAGGCAGGAACATTCGGTACGACTATAAGGAAAAGTCAGACAAGACGAAGCAGGTAACAATCTATTTTGAGGATCAGTTTAGAGGCCACATGAGGAAAAAGTGGCCATCTGGTGATTACAGTGGTTAATCGTGATGTTGAGGTAGTCAGGTTGAGCACTTGACCGGACGGAGCCAGGCGGATTTTATCTTACCTACAGCATTCGAGAGGTACGTAGGTACAAACCAATCTCCTCACTTCAAATGCTCTCGGCCTCGCTTGATGGCACTCGACCCGAGGTCAAAGTGTCAATCTTGGTGGAAAACAAGCGCGCACGAATGGGAAGGAACTCTTCGAAAGGGGTCTGCCTCATTTAATGTCCTGCGAATAATCTGGTGAAGCATATACTCAAATAATGTTGAGCCTTTTGCATAATGTCCTTGTCTCAGCCCTCTTCGTTTAGATGTACTGCAGTCTTACACAAAGGCTGACGGATGCCATATTGCACAAGACTCTGAGCCTATCAAGACGTCATCTCTACTGCAGCAACGCTGACAAGTCGCAACCTCTGGGCATGGCTTATCTTGAGCTCCTTGAGAAACAGCAGGTGACGCCTCCCTCTCACATGCAGACCACTCTGTTCAAATAGCCACTTCGGCCCCAAAGCAGGATCGGCTTATTGCGACTCGCGAGGTCCGACGTCCTCAGTCTTGCGAGATGTGATGTCTTCTTACCCTGACCGATGATGAGTATCAGGCTAGGTGCATGCATAAAAAAGGATCGCATGGGGCCCGGAGGCGTGCACAGCCTTTCTCCAGACAGCTAAAAACAGGATCAACCCAGGTCGTTCGCACCTGAGCGTTTTTATCTCCATTACGAGTGGCAATTTCTCATCGACACTCACTTTGACTGATAGAACATCAGTTCAACAGGCAGTATGTATCAGACTCGATCTAGTTCCTCACTGTCTGTTTCCAGTGCAGACAGTCGCACCTTCCGAGACACGACGGGCGAAGACATTGCATTGCAGCCTATCTAATGTTTATCTCAATCACCAGATCCATACTCTTCCGCTTACACAACAACACTGACCGATCAAAACTTCATCCCGAGCCTCGCCTTTACTGAACGTGAAGACTCCCTTCAGCAACTGTTGGCAGCACATAGCAGCGACGTCGGTCACAAACAAGGCAAATTTTGATAGCGCAGAGGCACGAAATAAGCTATTCAGAGTCAGCATACTGCGCTTTCCCGCAACGGTCTTCTGCAGCGGTGTCCTCTGTGTCTGCCTGAGGCCTATGCGGGATGGCACATAGCTTACCCACTGTCAAGGAACGATGTCAAAGTTTTAAACGCTCTAACCATTGCGATCTCTATCTGTCTAGGTCTGAATCTCTTAGGTTCGCTAAGGAGATATGTTGTGATCCTTCGGTGGCCGATCCTCTCACGCTCCTACACGTCGGTCGGAGACTTGACCTTGTGCTAAGCATTGGCGAGCTCACCAATGTCGCGAGATTGATGCTGGGATTATTTCCCTGGTTCCCTGCCCTGCACTGGCGAAGGAAGAAGAATCCAGGCCATGTGTCCAAAATCAGGAGATCGACTAGACATACAACAGGAACACTCTGCCTCATCTGGCTGCTGATCAATCTCGGGAGCCAAATCTTGGTCGCAATATTAAGTCTATTTTGGCCAATTGATGCGTACGAATGTCCTTTGCTATCGTATGGAACCGTTTCGGTTGCGGATCTCAGCCGATGGACTCTCGTTCTTGATGATTCTAGCCCTGTCCTCTCGTTGAACGATTCTTACAAGGAGGCAGCTTGGACTTATGGATCTGAAGCCGCGAGTTGGCAGAAATTTCGCTCCGACGAGACCATAAGCGATCTATCAAAGCTTCCGGGTACGTCACTCTACCATCACGGGGATGTCCACATCTGAGAATATCGCTTTTTCTATCGGAATCCAGAGCTGCCATGTGGACACTACCTCAGTAACCGTTTCATTCAGATGAATGCATCATGCGAGCAAATAGAGGTCAATAGAACCGTGGTATGGAATGCAACCGACCCAGAAGAATCTTATATCTCCGCTCGAGCAGCGAAAGAAAAGTATTGGACGAAATATGGCGTTTTCGAGTGGATGGACTATAGCACATCATAGTCTGCGATAGACTATGGTAAATGTGGCCCCCGCTGCCTCTACATCATGGTCCTGCACATTCCTGGGATTATCGCCCGAGATACCACACGACCATCGTTGTGGATATGCAACAACACCGTTTCTCGCGTTACCAAAAATGACTGGGAAGGAGGCCTAAAAATTCGGGACGGCAATGAGAAAGTTTACGGAACAGGTGAATTTGCGAGGATCGCGGCTGATGCCATCGCCTGGACCGGTAACATTCGTACCTCAAGCTCGAGTTCATCAGGTGGTCAGTGGGCTGACGGTATTCAGACGCGGACTTATCTCCAGAATTCGGCATGGGGACCGACTGCAAATGCAAGCACGGAAGAGATTGAACATAGGCTTATGCACTAGTTATACCACAAAGCTCTCGCTGCTTTCGATGACCATGGTGTCCGCCATCAAATCAAGACAAACGAACTTGTCTGCCCGAAGGATAGCCAACAGCTCAACGTCGATTGGTTACATATCCTCGGCATTTTGGGTAGCATATGTGCTATCCAGCTTGCTTCACTGATCGGTTTAATCGTTTTTGCCAACCGTGCGATTATCCGTGACACAAGCTGCTTAAGCACCGCTGTGCTTTTGAGGCCGGTGGTGAATGTTCTTTAAGACGAGCCTGGAGCTACAGCAATGAAGGATGTGATATCAGGGAACATTCAAAGCTGCTATACAGGAGGATAAAATATGGCTACAGAGAAAACGCAGACGGTATGCCGTATAAGATCGCAGTCTTCTTTCAAGGCCGAGATCCGAGCGAGATACCTCCGGAGTGGGCTTCGGGTCGATATAGATGATGGAACCGAGTGCGAAGACAGTTTCGGTATCTTCAATTTTGAATGCAGAGAGGAAGCATGTATCGCACATGCGGATGGACTTACTATATGGAGTCTGGGCGGTTAAGGATGTGTGCAAAAGGTCTGGCCAAGATGACGGATGTTCTCCTTAGTAGGTATCGAGTGACTTTCAACGCGAGTCAATGTCTACATTTCGGCGTTTGACTCTGGTCTCGCGTAGTGGCATTCTGTGTTCATTGGAACCGGGCAAACTCACCAGAGATTACGTCAGACGCTAGCACAGCCCTAGGGCGGTGCCTTTCTCGCGACTTCCCAAAGCGTGCTCTTGGCCATCGTTCCTACTCGAACAGGCACATGCAGATACCAGACTTGATGAGGCTTTTGCTAAGGTAGTCGCCAATGCGATAGTCAGCAATGAGTACATAGGTAGGGCAACCCGCGCCAGCGTGAAGAGCCCCTCCACAGCCATTACCCAAGCCACCACATAGTAGCATAACACACAAAACTGTATCCGCATGCAAAATGTTCGATAGAATACGCGACAAAGCTCACGGTCGCGATGAAAAGGGACCTTCCTTTGATGGCACTCAGCAACAGCAAGCACCCCAACCTGCGCCGGCCTACGTATTATCTTCATCCTACCAGTCACCTCCGCCGTTCCAAACCCACTTTGCTTCCATGTCGATGCACTCAACAGACGATCTGCGCTTCCTACGCTTTCCACCCCAAGTAGTCGACCAATGCCGCAAGATAGTTTTGAGCGTCTGGCGCGGCGGTATCCAGAAGGAAGGTATGTACGGCAGTTCGCAAGAGTTCAAGCTGTCAGGCTATCCCTGGTCTGCTATGGGCTCTGATGCCATGGATGCACGTCGCCTGATTGCTGCCCTGCTTGGAACGCTGCACAGTATGGGTTGGGTTCTGACGTTGAATACGGATGTAAGCAAGAGTCTCAACGACAAGGACACGCTCCTCTTCCGCTACCAGTCACCAGCGCCTGCTCCGTGCGATTGGTGCAGCATAAGCTTCTCGCGGAGCGACAGGATCCGTTTGGTCGATATGTCGCCCGAAGTATGCCAGGCGCTGCCTGCCAGACTCGGTCAAGAGTGGGTAAGCAAGGTCAGCCAGTATGGGCCTGGTATTCAGGAGATCAAGTTCCATGGCTACCCATGGGCTGCAGGAGGAAAGGAGACGATGAGAGTTCGTGAGATACTGCTCACTATGCTGAGCGTGTTGGAGGAAGAGGGCTGGACGGTGTATGCGAGCATTGATCAGAGCGCGTCTGGAGGCAGCCAGAACACATCTGAGACTGACACAGTGAGTCCTATCTTGACGATAATTCAGTGATATTCGTTCGCTGACTCGAGCAGTGGCATCTCTGCCGACCCAAGGGTTGGATTCGAGGGCAGCCTGTGTATCACGGTCGATGATAGGGTTTTCTGTCTGACTGCACTCAAGTGTGAGCGAGAGTCAATGAGTCGATGTAGGTAGATGCTGATGATGGAATCCAGGTTAATTAGTCTGCCACTTGTCAGAGATCGGGTGAAGATGTTGCCTCGTGTGCCGTTCGCTTTGGATCGCACCGAACGCGTGGGTCAGATCCTTGTTCGTGCTAGTGACATGCTTCCCCAAACACGATCATGAATCAGTAAAGAACATGCCACGCGTACCGACGGCGCTCCTGCGCAAAGCGCGTACAATAGATCTATTTCTTCCAGCCCTTCTCGCACCCTGCCGCGACCTGCATACCGCCCAGAACGAGCTGCGATGGCTCCGCGAACATGTCGAGAAAGTCGCGAGAGCGCGACGCGCCAAAGGAGACACGCTGGCCAAGGGCGCTTTGCTAGGCCAGCTAGTCGGAGAAAGAGCAAAGGGAAAGCCACTCCAGTACATACTCGGCTCAGAGTATTTTGGGAGCCTAGAGATCAAGTGCAGGCCTGGGGTGCTCATACCGAGGTGAGACGCAACCAGGCGTATACACAATAGCGTAGAGGCTCACGACATGCATAGACCAGACACAGCAGCTTCAATCACACATCTGGCGAATCTCGTTCGAAATGCGCAAGATCTACCGAACGAAGTACGAGTCCTAGACCTCTGCACCGGCACGGGTTGCATCCCAATACTCTTTCGTCATGAATTCGCTGCGAAAAGAAAAGACGTCGACCTGCGCATCATTGGCATTGACATATCACATGAGAGCATAAGCCTCGCGCATCACAACCTGCGCAACAATGAGATTGGCAACGAAAGAAGAAATGGCATGACGAGTTTCGCGAAGGCGGATGTCCTCGCAGACCCCTTTGACAATCTGACTCCAGGAGCTCCGTTGCCGGTGAAAAACCTATTGAATCACAACAAGTGGTCACCATTTTGGGACATACTCATTTCCAATCCACCCTACATCTCACCGTCGGCTTACTGGAGGACTACAATGCGCTCAGTACGCAAGTTCGAGCCAAAGCTGGCACTTGTACCTCCACCGAGAGCAAAGTTTGACGACACACAGCAAGGGGACATGTTCTATCCGCGGCTCTTGAAGATTGCGGAGGAGATCGAAGCAAAGATCGTGCTTCTGGAAGTTGCGGACCTGGAGCAGGCACTCCGAGTCGCACGGCATGCGCAAAAGCTAGACGTGTTTGACGGCATTGAGATATGGAGAGACAACCCGGATACCTCTACCTCTCCCGGTCAGCCCACGAGTGAAGATGGTTTCCAAATTCACGGGGACGGCAACGGTCGCTCTGTTGTGTGCTGGCGCGGCGTAGGAGGCCTTTGGCTAGGCAAAGCGATCACCTCGAAGCCGCAAGCACGGCTTCAAGATGCAACTAGGGACCATAAATCGCGCGATCACTTTCTGTCCGTATTTTCGTTTTGACTTGAATACCAACAAGCTTCAGCTCAATAATGGAACATCGAGGTTTGCCAGAGCCTTGGGAAGATGGAAAGAGACCGAAGCCAAACGGTAAGCACCCCTTGTAGGGCTCCGATGAGGAAAAGTAGCGAATAGCGCCCTGTGGACATCTAGCCTACGCTAGAGCGGCGATTGGACGCATGCGGCCTCACACGTCATGTGCTTCGCTCACCGACTACTGCGACGCGTGCCTGTCACGCGCCCGTGGTACAAAGACCAAGTTCCGACGGCGCTTGTCCGACGTCAGCGCTTGTCGAATGCAGGCTGACGCAGGGAGGGGCCCGTGAAGATCCGGGGTACTTGATGATCGAGACCCCAGACAGCGATTGCAATCCCACGCTCGACTTGAACGCCTTGAGGAAAATTGAAGACGCAAACGAAGATGCATTTCTCTTTGCGACTATATACAATTGTCATGATGTTCCTTGCAGCATGCACCTTTGCGCTAGCGGATCCTGAGGTACACACAACTCTTACCTTCGAGGTACGTACCTGCATCTTCCCCACTCATTGTATGTAGCTGACAGGAGCGCAGGGACTGCACCAGGATAACTCTAAAGTGCAGAAACTGTTGAAAGGTCCACACTCCGTACACTCCTACGCCTCTGCAGAGCACCAGCCCATGCAGGCAGCATCTGAAGCGGGCTCAGCCGAGCGACCCGTTGGCAAAATCGTCGTTGCAGTGGTCATCTCAGGTGTGCTATTTGGCTTAGGCATGGGAATGTGAAGCATTGCTACAATTTCCAACAGCATCAGAAGAAGCCTGTAGTCTACTCTTTAATGGACGTACAGTGGCTGAGCCGGTGGCTGAGCTCACCGCACAGGGCCATGACATCCCAGGTAACCCTGATACAGAAACGCATCTCGAGTGGATATTCCCACCCTTCATTGTGGCGATATTTCTCGAGTTGTGCGTACACTGCCAGTCTGCTCTCCGGTCCGGCGGTGCAGCTAGGATACTGGGCCCGCGCCATCGGCTTGAGTTCCAACTCAACCAGTGCGCATTGTGCATCCGTGTGATGGCTATGAGTAGCCTTCGTATTGAGGGTCTTACAGGAAATATCATCCCACGAGCTTGGCTGCCATTGTCGACCCGCTTGCGACGATGCTTCTAGGTCCCTAGAGGGATTGTGCTTGGGTCGCTACCACAATCACCAATTATCAACCGGGCTGATGTTTTGCTCACATCATTGCGGATACGCCATACTCGTTGTCGATTTCGCTCTGGGAAACCGCCCCGCCACCACAATCTCATCCTGGACAAGAAATACCTTCGTGCAGTCCCGAAAGACTCGATCGATAAGACTCTCGTTCGGAGGTCGCTCGCGTACTGTGAGTCCAACCACGAGTCATGCGACGTTCCACCGCCACATAGCGGACTGCAACTGCTGCTTACAGACGAGTGAAGTGGGATTGTCTCATATCGACGGACAAAGCTCACTGCTTTGCATTATCCCACGTCTGGGGCAATGCCACTCAAGTGCAGCTGAGGGAAGCTGATCTGAAGAAATTCCGACGCGTTGGGTCATTGCGGAGGGTTTGAAACACATCGTCGCCCGTGGTGAAGTCAACCATGACTTTTCTGAAGGGTCTAGAAGAGTCCTATCTCTGAGTCGGTGCTCTTTGCATCTTGTAGGATAGCCCAGGCCGCCACACATACCTTGCGAAGATGGATGTGATTTACAGCGGCGCAGTGTGTACTCTCGTGGCTATGGAAGGCCAAGTGCATTCTCTTGCCAGGGGCATTACCGAACACAAGGCCATTCGACGCACGGTTCGAGAGCGCCGACTACACCATAGCTCGTCGCCGTTCTGATTTGGCTAGTGCATGTTCATCGAGTACGCATGAAGGCAGGGGCTGGACTTTCCAGGCGCGAATGTTGTCTCTAAGGTGTCTTTACTTTACCAATGAGCAGCTATAGTTCCATTGTAGGGAAGCGATCTGGAGTGAGGATCGCCTCTAATGTTTCGACCAGGATTTCGACGCTGCCCGCGTTCTCCCGTCTCTCTACTCAATACGTCAGAAGTCGGACACAGAATTAAACAGCTTTGACATGTCCTTCGCTTCGGATCAATGCTTTTGCAGAGATAATATATCTGGGATAGCAACCTCTGAAGATGCATGAGGCTCGAGGCGTACCGCCATGCTCCGTAGATCGACCTTGCACTTGCAATGAGTGCTTGCAGGCCATACTCCATTTGTCTCCCAATTTCTGTCCCAAATAATTGTTCATGCATCCCTGTTGCGTACTCTTCAGTCTCTTTGCAGGCCTCGTATGTTGCGCTGCTGGATGACCGAGGGCCGACGCCTTCGCCGCCATCTCCGAACTTTAAGTGCGTCATCATTCGCGGAAGGCCCCCGAGCATCTGATTACTCCGCCACTTCATCAAAAGCGCCTTCTTTTCGATACAACAAACATGTCTGTCGCTTTCTTCCGCTTGTCACGGGCTCGAGCGCCTTGTGTACGTAGCTCGCGCGCCTTCTCAACAACAATTCCACACCTACAGTCGCCCGCACGATCTATACCTTACACGGAAACATGCCCATCGCCAACATGCACATGCGCCGCTGCACCGCCCGAACTCGACATCGATCGAAAGACGCCGCTGTTGAACACCATGGCGCCATATACTGAGCAGGTACTTCTCGCCACAGGGAAAGAGGATTGGACAAGCAATCTCGACGATGACGAGGGCGTCACGGCAGACTTCGTCAAAGGCCTGAAGGGCGTGATTGGGAAGGGTGGCGAGGCGTTCGATGTTTGTAAGCTCCCTGCAGACTGGAAAAGCTGTAGTATGCATAGAGACTATGAACACATACTGACACCTAGTAGCCATTCACCAACGTGCTAATCACCGCGAGCTCGTTACCAGCGACTAAAACCCCCAACTCGACAACCGCATACCTATTCCCAAGCTTTCAGCGCATACGGTCGATTTCACATACCTCAGAGGCTTTCAGGAACTTCGCAACCGCATACCTCAAAGCGCCGAAGCTGCATCCCATGCACGACGGTCTCTCCGCTGCCCAAAAAGCCGCCCTTACACGCAATATGTCGAAAGCCACGCTCCTGCCTACACCGGAGCCTATCACCAAGCCTATGGTTCTGATCTGCGGACACGGCGGCCGCGATCAACGATGCGGTATCCTTGGCCCCATTCTACAGTCATCTTTCCGCAAGGAACTCGAACGCAGAGGGATAGACGCAGACGTTGTGCAAATCAGTCACATCGGAGGACACAAATACGCTGGCAATATCATTATATACTTACCTCCAAGCTTGGACGAAAATGCGCTGAAGGGGAGCGGGATATGGTATGGGAGGGTAGGGCCGGAGCAGGTCGAGGGAGTGGTCGAGGAAACAGTGATTAAGGGGAGGATCGTGGGGGACCTGCTCAGGGGTGGTGTCATGCAAGGCGGTGGGAATATTGGGAGGATTGTTGAGGCTCAACTAAAGGCGGAGAGGAGCGAGGAGGACCAAGGGAAGCTGAGGTTGAGACCAAGGGCAAGAGCTTAGCATTGCGCGCTCTACAAATTACCGAGGCGCATCTTCTCTCAAACACGGTGGAGGCAACATGACCACCCGTCTTCAGCGCAACACGAAAAACCATTTTCATTGACTTGTTCGAACATGGTGATAAGAAAAAAAGATTCGATCCCTGTATGTTCCCTGTCGGCTCGCAGATCCCCTCTCTCTGAAACCCCAACTGCCCAAACCGAGCCGCACGCAGTTTCACACCCTGTATCCGCTGAGCCTCTTCAGAAACAACTTTGCATCAACGTCCCTGCCTCGCCAAGCCCACCGGCAATCGATTCGCCATGGGCGAGGCCTCTGCACCCGCTGTCCTGCACCCTCGACGCAGCTTGGCCCAGCCAGGTCCAACGTGGACTCAATACTGACTTCCGGTATTTCGCTCCCCGAGAGCAAGAGCTTTGCGGCGGGGAGAGTGCCGGTTGCAGTGGCGTTTCGGTGTGTTGGGAAGGCTTTTGACTATTGCTGGCAGGCGATGAGTCGTTGGATGGTCGTATATAAAGAGAGATGATTGGGAGAGATGGGACGAGCAACGAGCGCGACGTTCTTCTCTGTCTCTGGCTTCATGGCGAACCGTTGTTCAGCTCTTCATCTTGGCAATAGACCTCTGCTCCGACGGATTTTACTCTCCCAAAGGCGAGCCTTCGCTTCCAGGCTTTTTGGTGGCCTCTGGGACTAACTCAAAGCCCATCCTACGGTGTGGAAGTCGGCGACAGCTACGTTGCATACAACGTCATGAGCTTCGCAGCAGAAGATTGTTGAGTAAACAGACATTCACGCCCTGATGTGGAGTCCAATCGACCAAGTCTACTATGAACAGCCTTTGCAGAAGCTTGTTCAGTACCTGAGACGGATAAGAACTTCAAGCCACGAATTCCTCGTCCAAATGAATATAGTACAGCTTCTTGATAGGCAACTGAATACATGATGTTATTATACTAGAGTGATCACATTAACGAGAGAATGGCCGCCCCATTTTGTGAATGGAAAGGATCAAATAGCCCAAAATTGAAATAGCCGTGAAACGCCACGTCCATATCCACCTATTCGTATAAAGATCGTAGCTGCAGAGAAACGCAGGCGTGGGAAAGTTCTCAGCACACAATCATGATAAATAAAGGCAAGTTCGTGGTGACAGTTCTCGGGTAAGATTTGCCAAGGCCTTAAGGATCCTGAGCTATAATTACTGCAACGTTGACTCTATAAGTCGTCAAATCTGGCCTTGGCACGCAAGATGTCAATAGTGCCTAGCAGCAGGGGTCACTTAGGCAAACGCTCCTACGATCGCCATACTATGGAGTATTAGCATGCGAAACAGTGGAAGGTCTAGATGAGAACTTACCCAGCAGCACCCATGAGCACGTAGATGAAAGCACGCGTCTTGTCCTTGCCGGTAAGGTTGTGGTTGGCCTCCTCAGAGAGAAAGTCCTCGGCAAGTAAATCGACAAGCGCAGCGTAGATGAGCAGACCGGATGATATGGCGTTGAACACACCTACAATGATGAGACCGAAGGCGCTATTCGGATCGTACGTGCTGCGGGTGAATAGACCGATAGCCTGGCCGATAGGAGCAGTGGTACCAAAAGCAACCACCAACGCCCATGGCTTCCAGCTCCCGTTGGGGTAAGGCACAGCTGCGATACGCGATCCGAGACCCAGACCCTCGAACATCTGGTGGAACACAATGGCGGTGAGCAGGACGATGAAGCCTTCTGCCGTGATGGAAACGGTCATTCCAACGAAAACGGAGTGAAAGAGGATGCCGCCTTCGATGAGGGTGATCTGGAGAGACTGCTTCTTGAGAACCATAGGGTCGACGAATTGGTTCTCGACGTCCTCGTCGAAATGAGAAACCTGCGCATCAAGACCCTTCTCTTGAGGATAGCTTGGGAGTGCGGGCATCGCGCGGTTGACCATGCTCACCATCTCTTCGCGCTGGCGGACGTACTGCTCGTAAAAGACAATGAACCATGGTGGCATCTCGGATCGCGGCTCAATCTCATCGTGCTCCTTGGGGAAGGTGAAGTTTTGGGCCGGGTATGTATTGTCGACCCAGCCCTTCTTGTCATCGCGAATCGTGAGCATGGTCTTCTGTGAGTCGTAGCTGTTCCTCTTCTCCGTGATATTGTTCATTGCAGCCTGGATGCCTCGAGGTGCAGCACCTCCGTTGAACTCATCGCCAGTTGCGCTTCCATGTGAGTGGCCACCAGTCTTTGCATTCAACCACATCTCCACCGTGAACAGGATAAAAAGCGAACCCATCATGATGACACCGGGAAGAGCAGGGTATTTGTCCGTGAAGAGGTCGGGAAGACATGGATTGTTGAGAGACTGGAAAGCTGTGGGGAGAAGCTGCAGATATCAGAAGCCGTCAATGAACCATGCTGCTGTACGTACATGAACAAAGGCAGTAGCAATCAGGACACCGGTACCGAAATGCTTGCAGAAGAAGAAAACCTTCGGCGGAATCTTCATCCACTTGACCTTCTTTGCGACGACTGGGAATCCACATCCTCCGATGGACGCCGCGAACACGATGACTATACCAAGATTAGGATACTGCAAATACAGTCCAGGAGTGCTTACTTACACACTGCAGCCACGTGCAGAGGAAAATCGTACGCGGCGGCGTCTGTATCGCTCCCGCACTTTGGCTTCTCTACGGGAGACATTATGACTTGAATAGGTATTAAAAATTTCGAAAGAATCACAAATTATGAATTAGAACTGCCAGCAGGGTTGTCGCCAGCGACAGAGTTTGAAAAGAATTAAGAGAGATAACGGAGAACGACACTCTTCCGGAGAGTGTTGTTTGAAGGTCGGACCCCAGGTTGAATGTATGGTACAGGCTGGGCACGAAGAGCTCGAGGCTATATGTTCGCCTCCGGGGTTCGATCCACCACAGAACCACTAACCACATTCTGACTGATCAGTACGACTCTATAACACATCAGGTGGAATAACAGAGAATGCAGTGATCCCTGCCACAGATCTCGCGTTAGGGCAGGTGCTCCACATAGGAGCGCGGAGGTTCAGACGTTGCCAGGAAGTGTCAGCGAGGCTTATTTCAGGAACGTGTGGACCACAAAAACAACAATGATCATGAGGCTGCAAGGCTGCACACTCGCCGTGATATCCAAGCTTATTGGCAAGCGGCTGACATGCTAGGCAAGTTGGGGAGGCGGCTGGGCACGCCCGCGGGAGATCTGGGGAAGGACCCTCAATCATGCGGCTTGCATTGTTGCGGCTCAAGTCTCGTTTTCGCTGAGTGGGACAGCTTGCGTAGTGTGGGAGCACTCGCGCATCGACGAGCCTTTCTGCGGCAGTCCCAGTTCGAGGACCTCGGTGCACAAACTCGGCTAAGCCAATAAACGTTTTCGTGATTGCCCTGATGTGACTGGCCTAGACTAGATGGTTTCGCAGTGGATATGGCTGAGGAGTCTTGAAACCCGGGTTAGCCTATGATTGAGGACGATGTTGTTTTCGCGTACGCGCCACAGAACACCCTCACAAACCGCCTCCTGTTGCTAGCGCGATCACATGAGCGCCGCGCCCCTGCCGCGCTGTCGCACATCATTGCCAACCTGCAACATATCCACTGTTCTTGCTTTTTGCTTCTCAGAAGTCTCAATAGTGTTACCAAGCTTTCGCACTACCCGCACCTCATCATCACAATGGTCTCGGTGCTCTTGAGAGCGGGCGCCATCCCCGGTTCTCCGCACCTGCAGCCCGCCAAGCTCGATGGAGTATCAACACCATGCCAAGGAAGCCTTAAAATTGCCATTTGTAGCTACACGATTTGCTTGAGCAGGCTTGGTGGATGCTTAGCGAGTTTCATGCTGCGGTTGCTCCTGCCCTTGCTGTGCAGAATTACTCAGGATCATAGAACCTCGCGGCCTCGAAGCGAAGCCGCCACAGGACATGACTATCATGCTCGAACATAAGCCTCCTCAGCGCGGAGTGGCGGACCGTGATAAGCTCTTTAACTGTTTATTACTTCGCTGGCCCGTTGCCGTGATTGATGCCTTCCTGCTATCCTACCACCTCTCGACCGACCGACATTCAAGTCTAGCAAAAGGTAGCACACCGTAGCCCGGAAATCATGTCTTCAGAACCACAGTGTAAGCCCCAGGCAGTTGCCCAACATTTCTGTCTCTGACCACCTCTCAGCCTCTGCCAATGAGCAACCTCAAAGCCAAGTGGCCGGCCAAGTCACAGCGGCATTCACTACCTCTTCGGCGCCAGCAGATACCATACAACACGTGTCATTTACAACAGCTTCTACACAAGTTGCCAAGAAAAAAGTTTTTGTCACTGTGAACAGCGCCGATCCTCTAGATCTTGGCAAGCACCGTCGATCAAACCTTACCCAGGCTCAGATGAAGGCAGAATACCCCCAGGCAAACAAGAAGCGCATGAAGGTATGTGGTTGTGTATTATGTCAAGTTAATCAGCATTGACAAGTACAGAAATTCTACACGCGGCAGAACCAACTTATCGACCAGTTCCTTCAAAGCGGTGACGAAGAGCGGTTAGCTGCTCTCGACACTCTGGAGAACGGACCGAGTGTGAAGTTCGCCATCAATGCGTCCTTTGTTGTCAACTTCTGTCTATTCGTCATTCAGATGTACGCTGCGATCTCGACGGGCTCGCTGTCTCTCTTCGCTACAGCAGCAGATGCTTTCATGGACCTTGTGTCGTCATGTGTTATGCTTGTCACCAGCCGGATGGCAGCGCGGCCGAGCATCTACAAGTACCCTGTCGGGCGTACAAGGATTGAGACTATTGGGATCATCATGTTCTGTTGTCTGATGACTACTGTCGCCATCCAGCTGATTATCGAGTCCGGTCGAGCACTTGGTGCTGGCCCCAGAGCGTCTGAAGAGCTCCATATCATTCCCATCGCTTTCGTTGCAACAGCTAGTAAGTCATCTACACTCCGCTACCGACCTGTCTTACATTGACCACTACAGTCTTTGCCAAGAGCTCACTGTGCATCTACTGCTACATCTACCGTCGCTATCCTTCGGTACATGTCTTCTTCATCGATCACCGCAACGACATTGTCGTCAACTCCTTTGGTCTGGCCATGTCAATGGTCGGTAGCCGCGTCGTGTGGTATGTCGATCCAATTGGTGCCATTCTGATCGGCCTCTTAATTCTTGTCTCTTGGGCGGCGAACGCCTTTGACCATGTCTGGCTCCTCGTTGGCAAGTCAGCACCTAAGGAGTTCCTTTCCAAGCTCGCCTACCTGGTAGTCACACACGACGATCGTATCGACAAAGTTGACACTGTAAGTCCACCCATACGCCGATGCTGGTCCGCTACTAAATGAGTACAGTGCCGCGCATACCACGCCGGTCAAAAGTACTACGTCGAGGTCGATATTGTAATGGATGAGAGCCTTCCCCTCAAGGTTACCCACGATGTCAGCCAGACTCTGCAGCGTAAGCTTGAAGGTCTTGCAGACGTAGAGCGAGCATATGTCCACGTCGATTATGAGAACGATCACGACATCAAGGAAGAGCATAAGCCTTTGTATGAGGTCACTCAGCAACGGACTATCAAGGAGCGCGTACAGGCATTGAAGTACATCTTCAAGAAGAGTAGTGCATCGTGAGAGCGAAATCGTCTCACTCTTCTCCCAAAAAGGCACCCCAGTATCGAGCAGAATCGAAGCTCAGCAGGCAAGCCCTCGCTTCACAAGTAGTGTTTGCTTTGTAGTCATTTTCATGGCCCTCAGCGGCACAATTAGATACCCAGCGCGATCGATGACTTGCAGCTCAAATGCACACGAACATGTCAAGTGCCTTTCCAATTCCTTCGTGATCTCCTGTTGTCACACCGGCCAGGAAACCCAAACTCCGAATACACTGGACTCTTGTTCACATTGTCAGGAAACACATGGCTTCGCCGCAATGACACAAGTCCCTCGCGCTCTGATGCCATTTCCTGCACGTTCTTCGCTTTGCCATCCCACTTCTCGTTCCACTCTGTTCTGTCCCACTTCACAGGATTCGGTGGCTTCTTTAGCTGTGGAGGAGAAAGCCATCTAGCTGGGAAGATAGGTCCACTAGCGAAAAATCCTGTAGAGGAAGAAGAAGAAGAAGGAGAAGAGGCTAGTGAGCTACATGGCGAGACAACTGCCTCGATGCACTCGATTATGGTATCTCTACGCGGTCTAGATGCAGCTCCTATAGTGATCAACTCCTCGCGACCCAATCGGTACTTAACCCAGTGCTCCTTGAGAAAATGGGTAAGATGGTACGGATGACCCTCCTCTTTTAAAAAGAAGGTGCACAAGTCTGCATGCAGCCTACCCTCCGCATCAGCATTCAAGATGTTCCAACCTATCATCTGCAGATACACTCTTGTCAACCCCGGCGTCCATTTGGCGCCTTCGGGAGAAATGAGTGCACCGTAAATCCAGAACACGTCTTTGAGTGTCAGAGTATGGGTTTCGAACTCCAGCCATAGCTGCTGCAACAGGCTGGCGGCTTGACCATCGAGTCCAAAAAGTTTGAAAATGACGTGAAGCTTGATTGACTTTAATGGATCTTCCAACAGCTCGTGGGTGTCGATCTCAAAGACTTCACCGGAGCAGTGCTTATCGACGATGAGATCGATCAGATTCAACAGGAGTGTCCGGTCTACTGCTTCGCTACGCGGCAAGAGTATCTGCGCGCCGTCGATGGTGAGGTACTGAAGGAGAGTGGGTGTGGTCTCCTCAAGTGGCTGTAGTGGGACACTGGCAGCGATCACTTCTCCGCGGTAATGACAGGGATATCTGACTGCGATATCGACGCGGATTGGATATTTTAACGTAGCATTTGAGCTCTCGTCAGGTAAGATGAGTTCGGTGGACGATGTGCCTGTGAATGCGTTCATGTCCTTTTGGGGATATTTTGTAATTGTAGCGATCTTTTCTGAGGCAATCTGAGATGGCGATGGAAATGTTGCGTACATGCGCTTGTGCGATAGTGCTCTCAAGAGAACTGGCATTTCTGTGAGCAGTTTTCGGGACACAGAATCTACACATTGTGAGGAGATGGAGACATCATTAGGTGTGGAGTCGTGCATCGTCTTAGTGACAATGTCTTGGAGCGGTGGAACATGATGCACGAGGGGAGAAACCTCTGCAAACACTTCGACCATCATTTTGGATGTTCGGTTTGGCGCAAGTTGCGAGGACAGGGATCGGTTTGTGTATTCAAAATTTCATGACATCAGATGCTGGGTCAAGTAACGGCGCAGCAAGCCTTTCCTTTCACTTCAATCCCGCCATGGCCGCACAAAGTTTTTTCTGCAATAACAGATTCCTTCTCGCACCAACATATTAACCGCTTGGTACACAATGTCTCACTTCCTCGAGGTTTCGTCGGTACTGCCTCTTCCACATGACGTGAACGTACCACCATATACCGTTTTTGGCATTAACGGCAGTGACATTACGTCGTCACTTCCTCCGCGCATCCCACTCAAGCTTGTCCTTCATTTTGCGCCAGCTCTACAAAGATGGGTGTTGCCAGCCCCAGATCCTACAAGCCTACCGCGCACCGTTGCGCGGCAGTCCCTACGCACTCCTTATATTGGCATCGACATTCAAGCTCCGATTGACGCTGTAGGCTTGGGTTGGGTCATCGTACGCATGCTTCACCTAAGCGGTCGATTGCCGAAAGAGATGTTCAGCCTCCATCCAGACCTTGCGACGTCGATAGCCATACACAACGCTTGGTTCGCGCTTGAACTACCCTGTGAAGGCCTCCGCGGTCTGCACACACATATTTACAGTCAGCTCATATACACTGAACCTCCAGTTTCTATATGGCGTATGGGTATGCTGTGGGATGCCTTCCCAGCCGACTCGGAGATCATCAAGGCGATGGGTCTGAACTTCATCCGCGGCCACGTTAATATGGAATACTCGGCCTCTCAATCTCTTGAGATCATCGCATGGTTTCAGTCTACACCTGAGCGGTACGCACTGTTCAATAGCCTGAGGTACGCAATGCCAGATGTCCCCGAGCCGGAGGTCGAGACGATTACCATCGCAGCTGAGGAGGTGAAATCAAAGGTCAGTGGGTACAAGTCGATTGGCAGAAAGGTTGGCAAAGCCATAAAGGCGGTGGTATTTGGGGAAAGTGCGACCGAGACCCGCAGCGTAGGAATAATGGAGCGAGGCACAACAAGGAAGGTCAGCCCGCAAGAGAGGCAAGAGCGTGAGGCGAGCGATTTCGACGCGTTGAGGAGGAGACTGAGGCGAACAAGGAGTGACGACAGTCTGAGGTCAGTCGACACTGCGATCTGGGACCCGCAGACAGCGGAAAGGATGGCGGAAGAGGATGAAGAGGTGTCGGTTAACGATGACATGGACGACAGGAGCAACTACTCGGGCGGGCATATCAGCACAGAGCTCGCTCAGACTCTGGATTCGATTCGACTGCGGCGAGAAGCCCGGAGCGCGAAGCACAAACATCCGCCATCATTACCAACAGCGGCGCTAATAGCAGAGAGCTTGAAACACCGTGGCGATGAAGATGAGCCGGTCGGCAGATCTCACCCGCGACGACACCGCCGATCCTCGAGTACAACAACGACAGGAAAGGAGCACAGCCTGTCCATCACAGACCTTCAGAGGAGGATCCAGGTCCTGAAGGAGAGGCGGAACGGCATTGCTTGAGCAAGGATTCAGGAAGGCCACCGCCATGACGGACGACGAGGATGAGTTCGAAGAAGGCACGACGTTCGTCGATTTTGAGGAAGGTGGGGGGTTGAGATCAGGCGCGATGGAGTCGGAGCTGTCCAACTTCAGATGAAGCTAAGTGCTCCATGCAACAAAGGGGCGCTCAATGGCACTTGCCATGATCGAGCCCAGCTGCACCTAGACTTCACCTCTTCCAATTCGAGTCCTTGCCCTTCCGTCGGCATCATGTCATGCAACTGCTCGTATCAGAGGGTCTTATCACAGCGATGTCTGGTTGACATAATAATTGTGGCTGATGGCTGCCTTACGGGGCCGGTGCCGCGTCGACGCGGTGGTACAAAGAGCGGGGTACCTCTCTAAACACTTGCACAAAGAGCGAATATAAAACACAAGATCAATCCAACCAAATCGATTCTCTGAAATAAATACTGTCAACTCTTCTCCAGAACCACACCAGCCCTCCCCAGTTACAAAATGGGCCCTTCAAGATCCCCCCTTCTCCCCTACATGTCCACACTCTTCAGCACAATTTTTCTGGGCTTCGGCCTGACATACATGCTCTCCCCGCGCACCGGCTACGCCGTCTACGGCTTCTCTTCGCAGCCCAGCAACGCTCATGACTGGGCAATTGTGGAGCGCATCATGGTCCTGTACGGCGCCAAGGACGTCTTCATCGCAGCAGCGGTCTACAGCTCGACTTGGTTCGGCACGCGGAGGAGCGCGGGGATGGTTTTGGTTGCGGCGGGTGCGTGTGCGGGGGTTGATGGATATGTGGTCAAGAGCGAGGCGGGGACGGGGGAGTGGAATCACTGGGGGTATAAGAGTGTGATGGGGGTCGTGGGATCAGTGATGGCTGGGTTGTTGGGGTTAGAGATTGAGGCATTTTGTATTGATGGGAGATCTGCGAGCTTGGCTCATCCGTGACATTGAGCTCGGAGGCACAATCATGGAGCCTTCTCCCATCGGTTGGGGGGACGCTACGGATGTGCGAGCGAAGCTTTAATATCCGTCCATGTAGATTGGCTCTTGTCTGATGAAGCTGCGCAATACTATGTCGACCTCTGCAAGGCTGGTGGTGCGCATGTCCATTCGCCAGTCGGGGTTTGCGTAGGGCTTGACGGGCTTGTACGCATCGTTGGCATCATAGCTGTACATCTCGAGCCGTGGTCCGAAGAACAGTATGCCATGACCCCTCTGCATGCCCCCGATGATGCCAGGCAAGTCGGCGAGTGCATCGCCACGGTGATTTAGGTTCTCTCGAGACCAGCGAGGGAACGTGGACATGTCATCGAGGAGTATGACGAGATTAGTGTATGCGCGCCAAACGAGCGTCTCTACACCTTCGTTGACCTCCACAGTACCCTTCTTGACGGCAAAAGCGGCGATGTTCTCGGGCAGAATGCTGTGCCATGCGGGTTCGGAATGAACAGCTTTCTCTTTCTTGTTGGCATACTTCGGCCTCTTGGTTCGAGGCATGTCGGTGTCGGAATCAGGCTCGCCATCCGTCTTCAGCTCAAAGTTCAGGCCGTATTTGGTGAGAGGGCCAAGAGCAGACGCTTCGACTCGGTACTGCTGAGACGCAGGGTAGTGTCGCTGAAGCAAGGCAAATGCCAGGTCTCTGGCATGCTGCATGTGTGCTGACTGCGCCGTAATGGGGCAGGTATAGCTGGTGTGGTAGGTGTTGTACAGAGTCTGCAGACGGTCGTCAAGGGGCAAGACTGTCTCTTGCGAATCTTCCACTGTTTGTTCGTCGTTGTCTGCTGCGGACACCGCGCCGAGGGGTCTGTTCATTTCTGTCGGGGAGAACTGTAGCTCAAGGTCGGCGGGTAGATCGTGTAGATTCATTTCCGATGCATCGGACAGCCTATGTAGAGCCATTGTGATGGGTTGTGTATTTGCGATGGAGTTGATTGTTGTTGGACATGCTGCTAGGTGAGACAGTCGCTTGAGAGCTTAAAACAGTCAACGGTAACAAACAGGCCGTCCCAGTTCCACAAACAAACTGCAAGTGAAGGTGACTTGAGGCTTTAGAGTGCCCCACCTTTACTGCTGCAGCCTGCCTATGTACATATGTACATCGCAGTGGCCTGGGCGATGTAGGATATCCATACGCACGTCTGCCGCGAGGTTGCGTTGACGTTGGGATTCGACCGATGGAGAGGCTGTTGTATACGGAGAATGAAAGGTTTCAATGCTCCATGATCGCACCCGCCTCAGTGTCTGCTGGCGCCGTGGCACCCTCAGTTGCTTCACCCTCGGCTTTCTTAGCCTGCGCCTTAGCCTTTTTCTTGACCTTCTTCTCCCTGTTTCTCCTTGTCCTCTTCTCGCGCTCAGCCTCCTCCTTCTCAGCAGCAAGCCTAGCCCTCTCTTCGTGCTTATCTTTGTTTGCCGCCTTCTTCTTCCTGATCGCAATCCGTGCCTTCTTGCCCTTTCGTGTGCGCTTGTGCTCTCTCTCTTCCACTGCAGCCAACGTAGGAGGGTGTCCAACTAGCACCGCCTTCTTGATGCCATCTTTCGTGATTGTGGTGACCTTCCACGGCATTACGCATGCCGGCCATGGCTGCCGCGACAGCTCTAGCACGGTGCTTCCATCAATTGCAGAGGCCTGCAGCGCCAGCTCTTCGTCACTGGTCGGCTCGTCGGCGAAATAGTAGGTCTTAGGCTTTTTCAACAGGAACCCAGATCCATCTCCTCTATCTAGACCTGGCGACGTTAGTCGCACTTTCAACGTCGCGGGCGCAGCATTGGCGGGAGCTGCGAACAGGCGCAGCTCTGCCTCGTCCTCATCGCTCTGCGCTGCATCTCGGTCATCGCCGAAATCGTGCTCCGTGGTCGTGAATGCAAATTCGGTGGATATCCGCTGGCGCAAAAGTTCCTCGATGTCACGGTCTGGCGTCGATGGTGGGGACTCATCTGGCGATCGAAGCTCATCGCGGCGCACCCTTGCCCGCACATTAGTAACGAAATTAAGGCCGTGAAAGTTGGCAATTACCGTTTTGCGCTGGGCAGATCGAACATGGAAGACATGGCTGCCTGCGTCTGCGCGTGTCTGAGTGGTTGGCTGCGCTTTGGAGTCTTAAAGAGTGTGTCGAGCGCAGGTCTCGCGAGGGCGCATACGCGACACACGCGAGGGCACGGCCAATGTCAGAATCGTTAGCAGCACGGATGGAGCCGTCGAGCATCCAAGGAGACATGGGTGCCACTGGGACAGGGCCGGCTATCCTGCCCGGATGACACCAGAAGACAATCTTGGAATTTTCTTCCACGCATGCGCACGCAACTGCCATATTACTGCGGTCTCATGCGTACTTGCAGGCCCCCCAGGAAAAAGATCCAGGACCCTGAACGAGCCAAATTCGGAGGACACGGATGAGGTCTGCGGCGGCTGCGTGGACGTCTTCTGGCGTCGAGTTAGAATTCACTAGAGTGCACGCCTTGCCCGAAGCAGGGGCGTCTTGGCTGTGCCTCTAGTAGCAAAACGGCTTGGTCTGTTGTGGCGCATTGAACGGCTGTTAACGATTCTCGTCCAGACCATCGTCGATGCCGAAGGATCGCAGTTTGACTGGCCTCCACAATGAGTCCACAACACCACGAGCCTGTTAACGGAGTGCTAAGCGACGAGGCCATGTCCAAGACAGGATCGTGCGCCGTCGCTCCCGGTTATAGTTAAACGCGTCACGCCCGCAGGCGCTGCCCTTCGTTCGGTGCATCGCTCCGCGGACATCAGGAACATACACCGCACGATTGCGGGCGGTGTCGTTTGTACCGAGTACCTTCCTGATTCCTGATTCCGATGCCCTGTGGTCGACTCTCCCCCACGCGTGCATAATTCCAGATAATGCCACGGTGAAGACGACTAGACTCGAACGATGCCCTGTACGCTTTCCTGGCCCGAGGCAGCTCGAGAGCGCGACCTCCAAAGGTGGGTTTTCTAGTGGCTGCGTGGCTTGCTGTCATTGTAGACTGCCACGTGCGAACTGGTTGCTGACGAGGGGTCTGCCCTGCAGATACTACCGCCCATGGCTCGATGCGCAGAGCCTTGTTGACAGCACCGTAGGCTTAGCAGAGAAGGGCCTCAGCAATGCCGGATACCAGCCAAAAGCCTCACGCGACAAGAGCTTGACTGCCTTCGCCCAGCTTGCCGCCTTGCGCCTCGATGTGCGCCGCTGCATGGTGTCCCTGATCGACTCGAACCGCCAGTACATCCTCGCCGAAGCCACCAAGACGGTCTCGCTGTTCGATGCGCAGGCAGAGCGCCCGGAAGACGAGGTCTGGCTGGGCAACGCTGTGGTCAACAGATCCGACGCTGTATGCTACCACACCTTCTCCTCTACATACACGGCCAAGGCGGACAATGGCGACACAGTCACCGCCGAGTGCATGGTCATCCCAGATTGCCGACTGGACCCTCGATTCGCAGATAAGGACTACGTGACGAGCGAGCCTGGAGTGCGCTTCTATGCGGGTGTGCCTATCGTCACCAAGGCAGGGCACCGCATTGGTGGTATGTGCCGAAGTCACCGCAGACAGCCTGCCCTGCTGACCATGATCCAGTGTACGCCGTCTCTGATGAGCGACCCCGCCATGGTATCAGCGCCGCCGACATGCGCTTCATGCAGGATGTAGCCGCAGCCGTTATGGAGCACCTCGAGCTCGCCAAGGACAGTGACGACCGTGTCAAGGGCGAGCGTATGGTCCGTGGTCTGCAACAGTTCATCGAACGATCTTCCGTCGCCGACTTGCGAGACGAAGCCGGCCCGAGGATGTCCACCATGGAGCGCCAGACAGAGAACGCACGCCTCCAGACCCTCGAGGAAGATGACGCGTCCGGCACCGCAACCCCGTCAACTGCTACCAAGCATGTCCAACGTAAGGTACATGCCGAATCCGACACTGCTCGTATCTTCCACAGAGCTGCACGTATAATGCGTCAGTCTACCATGGCAGATGGAGTCGTGTTCTTCGATACATCAGCGGCCGGCATCAAGGGCGGACTATACGACGATGACGCCTCGAATGCAAGCAGCGACGAAGAAAGCCTCACCAACAACACGACTGACTTCGATACCGCTGACTCAACCGCGACAACGAGGCGACGCAGGAGGCAAAAGGTGACTTTTGGGGGTGACGATGCAGCAGACCAGAAGAGTTCTTCCGATGCTGACAGCAAGGCATGCCCGGTCGTTGGTCTATCGCTGCGTCAGGGACAAGGCAGTACTGTCATTGCCCACAAGGACTTTGCTTTCAACGAGGCCGCCATGGAACGGTACATCCATCGCTACCCATTCGGCAAGTTCTTCAATTACAATGAGGAAGGTGTTGGCATCAACTCGAGCGATGAGAAGTCAGAACGTTCGGAGACTGACCAGTCAGATCGTACAGCCACCTCACCAAGCGGACAACCGAGGAGGAGAAAGCGCAGGGAGAGGTTTATTCCTACCGAGTTTTTGAAAGTATTGCCTAACGTCCGAACACTCATTTTCCTGCCCTTATGGGATCCCTCGTCCGAGCGCTGGGTCGCTGGAGGCTTCATCTGGACCACTCAAGCTGGAAGGCTGATGAGCCCTGAGAACGAGCTTCCCTACCTCCAAGCTTTTGGTAACAGCATCACAAGCGAAGTGGCACGCCTAAGTGCACAGAAAGCGGACCGAGCCAAGACGACGTTCATCGCCTCCATCTCCCACGAGCTTCGATCGCCCCTCCACGGGATTCTTGGATCAGTTGAATTTCTGCGCGATACGGTCGCTTCAGCATACCAGGAGTCGCTGGTGTCTTCGATCGAAACCTGTGGTAAAACACTGTTGGACACGATCGACCACGTCCTCGATCATGCCAAAATCAACAAATTGCGGAACACGGGAGCACGCAAAAACAAGCGTGGCCCTGAAGGTAGAACGAAGAGGCTGCCATCTGACAACTCGATCTTAGGTGTCACGGCCGACTTTGACTTGGCGCAGTTGGTCGAAGAGGTGTGTGACACAGTTTGCGCCGGACACACCTTCCGCAAAAACCACAGTATCAACACAGTATCGACGGAAATCGATACTGAACATGTCGGCGTGAGTGGAGCGACAGGCGAGGACTCGGCCACGGCCAATGGCGGCAAGGTTGTAGTCGGCAAAGACAATCGATCTGTTATTGTTTCGCTGGTTGTAGCGCCGTACGTCAGTTGGGCAGTCCGCTCACAGCCTGGCGCTCTTCGAAGGATCGTAATGAACCTGCTCGGCAATGCCCTGAAGTATACCGATTCCGGCTTCGTTGCTCTGAATCTGGTCCAGTCCGGGAATACACCACAGCACATCGATCTGACTTTGACGGTAGAAGACTCTGGTCGCGGTATGTCTGCAGACTTTCAGAAGACGAAGCTCTTCTCACCTTTCAGCCAAGAAGATCCATTTGCCTCCGGTACTGGACTGGGTCTCAGTATCGTCAAGCAGATCGTGGAGTCTCTTAAGGGTGAAATCAACGTCAAGAGCACTGTGGATATTGGAACTCAGATCACCGTCATACTACAGCTGCCCATCGGTTCCAATGAGACCAGGAAGGTCAGCCGCAATCTCTTGGAGGCACCAGAGTCTCTTAAGGGAGCGTCCGTCAGCATTCTTTGCGAGTGCGACTCGATTGGTGGTCAACGCGGTATGAAGGTCAGGGAATCTATGCATAATGCTTGTCAAGGCTTCTACATGAACATCCTTGACATCTACGACCCCAACTTGTCGAACAAGCAGGTCGATTTCCTCCTAACTGATTCAACCTCTCTGAACCGGCTCTTGCAAGAATCGAGCTCAAGCTGGGTTAACGAGACACCGTTGACCGTGGTCTGTGTCTGCACAGATACAGCCGAGAAGACAAATCTGGAAAAGCGACTTGGCAGGCAAATTGAAGCGCTGGGTTGGACAGCAGAGGTCCTCACTCAGCCGTTAGTCACATCAAGCATTGGTGTCAAAGCCTTCACAGCTAACAAGTACCAGATGTGGACCCCGCAAACTTGCCCGCACCCTCCTCCAATGCCAAAAGCGTGCTACCAAGGCGGCCTATGACCACCAAATCACCCGTTCCATGACCGCCCTCGGTCTGCACCAATACCAAACTCTTGGTCCACCCGGTGCCCTTACTGAAGAACAGCGCAGCATAAGTGACAGCGTCGCCATCTCACCACCGCCCGAGGACTCTTCGGTGACCATCTTCGGCGCTCCCTCACCACCTCCGGTTCTCCCATTCTCCTCAACGCTCACACCACCCCAATCCATCACCCCCGGCTCCCCTGGCCCAATTGAAGGAAGCGAGTACTTCAATCCCCGCGTGCTTCTCGTCGATGACAACGCCATCAACCTCAAACTCCTCGTCGTTTTCGCAAAGCGCCAGAAACTGCGCTACTGTGAGGCCATGAATGGGCTCGAGGCTTTTGAAACTTTCAAATCCGAAGCCACTGCTTCTACACCTGCTACGCGGCCGTTCGACTTCATCTTGATGGACATCAGCATGCCGATCATGGACGGCTTGGCGAGTACGAGGAGTATCCGTAAGTTCGAGAAAGAGAATGGACTGCCTAGGAGCCATATCGTTGCCCTCACGGGACTGGCGAGTGCACAGGATCAGCAGGACGCACAGGATGCGGGCGTGGATATGTATCTCGTCAAGCCTGTCAAGTTTGCGGATATCAAGAGGATCTTCGGTGGAAGGTGAAGATCGTGAGGAATGAAAAGGGTGGAGTTGTGGCTTGGATGGTGGGGTTCGATCTTGGTACGGCAGGGCGGAGGAATGAGTCTTGCGTTGGCCATTATCTCATCGGCGTTTCTGCATGTTACAGCATACGTATTGGAGTTGGCGTTTATTTTCTGCATTACAGGCGGTCATGGGGATCAAAGGGCTGCAGATCTAGAAGTACTTGCTAGAGCGCAGTTCGACACTATCAGCATGCAAATGCTAGCCTCAGCCACTTCATAGCGGTTTGTTCGATGCTTCATTATTCATACATGCCGGCCTCATGACCCAATCAAGCTGTGCATACCTCCATTCTATTCTGTGAGATTTCAAGGCACATTAGCGTAGTCCACAGCCCACATTGGGCACCGTCTAGGGGTGGCGACCTATGGCGATGCTTTGCACAAGCGGCTGCCGTGCCTACACTTCCTGAACCTGTTTAACCTGTTCCAAAGCGCGATGACCTACGGCAGTAGCAGTGGTGCAGGTTCGCGAAGGTAGGTGCCTGCCCTCGAAGGCATGGGCAAATGCAAAGCAAGCGGATACACACACGCTCGAATTAACATGCCAATAAGCCATAGAATTCGGTTGTTTATAGATGTAATGTTGCGCACTCTTCTTATCTAGCAGACAAAGGTCATGGCGTACGGCCTGAAGGAGTTGGCTTAAGTTGCTGGGCGAGGGGATTTAATAAAATATTGCCCATTTCAAATTTTATCTAGGCACTCTAGACGATCTGCCCACCCCGGGGAGACATGATCAATATTGGCCCGTTCGTGCGGCGGTGCGAAAGCGCAGCTTGTGAACAACCGCTGTGCCGGCCTTCACTCCCGCCACTCAAGGTCTAGCAAGTCTACGCGCCTGCATCAAAAGCAGCGTGGCAACAACAGACACTCCTCATAGAAAACTAGGAACGCGCCCGTAAAGGTGTAGCTCGTGTGACAAAACACACAAACTGGCGAGGTCATATTATTAGGCATTTGTCGTAGTTGGTGTAAACTTTCTTGTGTGCTATGGATGTGATTTGACTTAATTATACAGCGCATTATACCTCCTCTCTAGACCTATAATCTCAAATGCCAACCTTCGATATCTTCCAACCTGACACTATCTTGGCCTGAAACATGCCAGTGGGATCGTACTTCAGAGCAACCTCGCGGATGAAGTTTATGTTCTTCTCGCCGTAGCTCTCAAGCGGGCGCTGCGTCTCGTCGACGTAGTTCAGATATTGCCAGTCCATCAAGAGATTTCCACATCTCGCAAACTCCTCTAGCGCGGTCTTGAAGATCGTCAGCTTCTCCCGCATGATTGCATGCTCCGCGGCAGTGTCTGTTGAGCCAACGACCGCCCACAACAGCGAGTTCTCCTTGACGTAATCGAGACCCAGTACATTGCCCCCTCTTCTAACAGAGTGTTGAGCGAAAAGTTTTGGCCAGGGTTGGAAGATACATTGGGTGGAAAAGTGATCGCTTGGTAACAGGCTCTTGAGCTCGTCTACCATCACATCGTGCAGTTCCGCGGCATGTTTGATGATTTCGACGTCGTTCTTGAACGTGAGTGTGAACCATATTTGACTGGATATGTTAGCTGGTTGAAGAGCAGTATGAGAGACCAGAAACTACACTTACTGCTGATTAGGTCTTAGAGTTGAGTTTGCAACAAGCTGTGCCATGCTCTGCTTCTCCAGTACACTGTGGACAGCTGGTTCCTTTAAAAGGCTGTCAAATGCAGGTGATTCGGTTGTTCCGCTGGTGTCCACAAGCATCTGGACGATGGAAATCATTCCCGGTAATCCAAGATTGAAGGTATAGTTCAGGATTGTCGCAGTATGCGGCATTTTGTGGTTCTCGTTCGTAAAATCGACCGTCCACTTTGCAAGCTTATCGCCCTGGTCTCTGGTTGTGATTCGAGGACCACCCCAAACATCTGGCGCTGGGAACGTGTAAAGTTCAAAACGCGTAACAATGCCAAAGTTCCCTGAGCCACCCTTCAATTCCTTCCAGAGGTCAGCGTGCGAGTTGGCATTCGCGTTAATGATTTCCCCAGAAGCGAGAACGACCTCGAAGTTGGCTACGTTGTCGCAGCCTAATCCATTCTCTCCGGCATGATACGATATGCCTCCTCCAGTCAGGAAGCCACCCACCCCAACGTTACCATCGCGGCCGCTAGTGACACAGACATGGTGCTTCAAGAGCTCCTGGTAAACGCCATGCCATCGGACTCCGGGCTGAATCGAGGCCAGCTTCGTCTGTTCGTCGTAAGTTACTCCAGTCATTCGACCAAGGTCGATTGTAACTCCGTTTTTGACATCGTTGGATCCCGCCACTGGGTATGACCACCACTACGGAGGGCAAGGGGGCCGTCGACTTTGGCAAGCACTCGGACGATGCGCGATACATCCTCTATTTTACGAGGCTGGACGATGCAATTGGGATGCATGGGGACGTTAGCCGCCCAGTAAGAAGCCTGGCGGTCTGCGTAGGGCTTTGAGTTGGGCGTGGAGGCCAGATACTGCAGACCTGCAGCCACGAGGGCGTCGTACTGTGTGGGATCGTTCTCTTGCATACCTTCTTCTGTGAGAGGTCAAGTAACAGAGAAAGGAAGAGGGGCAAAGATGGTTGTGATGTGGCGTGGATTGTGGGGTTTCAGCCCCTCCGTTGTGTAAGAGCGGATGCGTTGGCGATGCGTGCCTGATTGGCTGTGTGAGGGAGGACCATGCTGGCGACGCAAACCCTGGGATTTGCAGTTGCGAACGCGCTTGAGAGTTGTGCATGGGCTATCGAGACCTTAGGATTAGCATATACCCTCGATCAGGTGATCAAACTTGACCATATTTACCGGATCCTGAATACCTGCAGATAATCTTGTCTCCACGTCTTATGATCGCTCCTTTCACACTCCTAATTTCTTGAACCGGCCACGTGAGTGTTTCCAACCAGGGAATAAGGGACATTAGTGATTAAGCGAACGAGGACCTTCATCGATGCTGGCCGCAAGCTTATTTTCTCCACATACGTGACCGTGATGTACATCGCAGGTACGAAGAGTCATTGCGTATATTAGAGGTATCGACCCCGAAGGAAAGTAACAGCATTCATTACAAGACATACTAGAAACATAACCTCCCATCGCACTCTCGTGACCTATAAACGCCTCTAATAAACCATAATCATACAATCATGTCACCCACCTAGCAATCATTACTCGTACATCCGCTTACTGCGAAAACCGCCATGTCTCTGCGCTATGCATCTGGCCAGGCACTGCTTGTATCGCCGGCGGTGGAGGAAGGACTGATTTCGTAGCGACAACACCGCCCTTGCCGTCGTCACTAATGGGGCTTGGTATAGGCCGTTGTGGCTCTCCCGGTTGTGGAAGCGGGGAAGTGTGTTTCTGGAACGGGCCCGGCGCGTTCAGCATGCCGTAGCTTGTGCTCGAGCGCGGGAGGGGCGGGTATTGCGGTGTCTGCGACGTCTGCGACGTCAGTGCGGAGGGTGTGGCGATTGGACCCGTTGACGTGGCGAGTTGCTTAAGCATCTGCTCCCATTTCGGAGCGCCTGTGGACGATGATGAGGTTTGTGTGAGACCTCGTTGGAACGCGTCAGGGGACTGGAATTGCGCTGATGGCCTCGGAGCTATTGAGCTCGGGCTGGGGCTGGGGTAGTAGCCATGCGAGCCAGTCGATCCGTTGCGCATTGATGTCGGCGTTGCACCGCTGGCGATCTGCGGAGGCTTGGGCATCCATTCCGGCGCGATTCCACCACCAGGACTATAGGGAGAAATGTAAGTTTTTTGCCTCCTGAGATACGCGTTCTTGAGGTAAGGGTATTTCATGACGTAGGCAAGGTATTCAGTGGAGTTTTGGGCAGCAGGAACAACAGAGGAGGAGGGTGTGACGGCGTACATTGGAGGTTTGGGAGTCCCAGTTGGGGTGCTCAGCATGTTTGGGATCGATGCACGACCGTGTGACGGTGGTGCTTGACCGTGCTGTGCAGGAGAGCCATACGGCGCCGTGCTTGAATCTGGGTAAGGTAGCTGACGAGGAGCTTGTGCACTGCTTTGCGTCTGATATGAATATGGAGGCAGTGCCTGATGAGACTGGTTTGTGTGAGCATATTTGTCGAGCCCGTCAAGCAATGGCCCTGACGAAGCAGCCTTTGATGCATAGCCTTGCGCAGAGTAGTTGTGCGGCGGAGGCGCGTAAGGCTGGTACTGATGCTGTTGCGGCAAAGGCCGAGGTGGAGGGTAGTTATACTGAGGACTAGCCCTGTAGTCGTAGGTGACGTTTGGCTGATGTGCCACAGGCGAATTAGGGTTCTGCCGGGTATCTGGGTTGTATGCAGGTGATTTCCAAGTCGTCATCATGCCATCCTTTGGCTTGTACGTGTACGGTCTTCCACCAGCAGGAGCGACCTGTTGCTGATAAGGAATACGAGCCATACCAGGAGGCGCCGGCTGGATGGGGTACGAAGCTGGGTACGACTGCCGCTGGAAGGTCGGAATCGGTGGAGGCGGAGGCTTGACGGTATCCAGGAAATTGCTCCTGGGGTTGTTCCTTGGCTTCGTGGGATCTTCAGTATACTGTGGTTTAGCTTCGGTAGAAGGCTTTCCGAGATAGTACCACAACCTGTTCTCTTTGTTGAAGTCGACCTTTTTGACTCTGTGTTTGACTCCTGGTGCGGTGCTCCACTCCGCCCACTTGTGTTCGGAGTTGGGATCATGGAACGGATCGCCCAACTCAGGAACACCATCTGTGCGATTGGCCATACCGAGGGATGCGTCGTTCTCCTTGAGATGTTCCGGTAGCGATTGAGCATTCTCGGAAGGCCTTGGACGTTGCGTTTCGTCTGGGTGCAGCTTCAGAATGTACTTCCACTCAACCTCCACGCGGTCGCCATCAGGAAGCACATCCACAAGCACAGACTGCTCACCAGGCCTATTCTCGACAACCTGTGCTCCGTAGATCTGGTACATCTCGCCACCAACATACTGGAACTGGATGACGTCCTTGGGCTTCAGGGTCTTACCGTAGTTGAGTATCCACTTGTTCTTCTCCAGCGCATCGACATCAACGGTCTTGTTGTTCCTCTTCTTCGGTCGGTGGAAGCGGCAGCGGAAGTCGTACCCATCGTAGTAGTACTCCGTGCCCTCTGCATCAAACGTTTGCATAATGCCCAGATCGACCTGCACACCAGCAGCCACAGCGCACGTGGCGTGAAAAGCTCTAGTACACCTCTTCTGAGAGCACTGGAAAACAGCACCGCGCTTGGAGCGACAGTAGTTGCACTTGAGCTCCAAGCGGTCCTTGCCAATGTTTGCGACGTTGCATACGGTCTCGTTCTGGATGTATGTTTCTGGAGTGTAGTCGGCGCAAATGCGGTGAGCTTTCAGACCGTTGTCGGTCGGTAGAAGATCGTCGTAGTCGACATCGTTGGGACACAAGATACATGGCATACCACGTCCAGGAATCTTGAGGCGAATGCGAATCTTTCGGAGCTTCTGGGGCCTCGCTGCTTCCTGTGGCTCATCCTTTCCGCGCTTGCGCTTGGCGGCAGGTTTCCTGCCAGGCTTCTTCTTCGTCCTCCCACCGGCAACACTAGCTGGCGGGCTTGGTAGTCGATCGGCGCCATCCTCTTCGTCCTCTTCATCGTCGGTCTCTTCGTAGTACTCGGGTGTAGGCTCGCCGCGCAGCTTGCGCTCGATCTCGTCAACATCGACCCACACGCTGTCCGACTCACAGTCACACTTCTTAGCGATCCTGCCATAGCTCAGCCAACTTTCAGTCGCAAAGTTCACAGACTCTGCGCAGTTGTAGCCGATGTTGTACCCGGAATGGTAGCCGTAAGGGTAGGTGATGACGAACTCGCCCTCGTGATGGACCAGGCGGTTGACCTTAATGTTGAAGTCCTTCTCTAACCGCTGCGGTGAGATGAGGTACGTCTTATGTCGCAGGAATTGGGAACAATTCTTAGCATCATTCGGCCAGATGCTCTTCATCGCAGCTTCGAAGCGGCGCGCATCTTCTTGGGAGATGCTGTACCACTGCTTAGGTGCGCCGAAGTGGATGTAATTGATGCTGTAGAGATCAACATCCTCAAGATGCCAGGCGAACGATGCCTTCCACATGCCAAGGTACAAGTACGCGGTATTGACTCCAGGTACTTTCGTCCCGAGCACATCAAGCAAGTTGGGGAGTTTGGCGACATTCCATGATGTTGTTCGATCGTCGAAGAGTGAGCCAGGCATGTCGGCACCATACATGGGCTGTCCGGACCAGATGGTCTTCCAATAGCTTTCTTCGAGCTCCTTGCATCGCTCCGGGGTAAAATCTTCAAGGCCCTCTAGATGGTAGTCGAAATCCTCGAAAGCGGCCTCGTCAATGTAATCATTCACGGCTCCCCTGTTGTTCAGTCGTCGAGATGAGACGGACATCTTCTCGTTGTTGGCCCTGGGTTGGCGACCGCGAGGTCTCGTTGGTGTGTCTTCTTTCTTGACTCTACCACCACGCCTTGCAGGCTTCACATCTTCTGCACCGGGCGATGTAGGGGTCGGAGGAACGTCGAGATTTTCTGCTTCGTCGTCATCTTCATCTTCCACTTCCTCTTTCTTAACACTTCGTCGTCCACGCGCAGGTCGGCCAGGTTTACGCTTCGGTGCTGGCGTTCCATCATCGGTCTTCGGAGCGGCTCGTGTGGATCGCGTGCGCGTTGGGGGTTCTGCTTTGCGGCCCGCACGAGTCTCACCTCGCTTCGCAGGCGGTTGGTGATGCGGCTCATCTGTGACTGCCCGCCATTCCGGAAGATTGTATGATCGCTGCTTCTCGACGTTGGCGCCTGTGTATACACCATGCTGGCCTGTGAACTCCTGCGTGATTGGGTTCTTGACGCGGATCGACTTGATGGCTTCATGGAGATCTGGTAAAGAGTCGCGCCTGCGTCAGCATTAGCAAGTGGTTCGCGCGCCTTCTGGGTGAGTAGGAATCTACCATTCTGCGGGTGGAATGACTTTGACAATACCGGACTTCATTCCGTGCTTGTCCACCTTGTCAATGAAGCGCTTGAAGTTGTGGAACTGTGCCATAGTCTGCGCAAAACATCGTCAGTGCTCGTTTCGCCTTGTGCGATTCCTAGCGCATCCAGCAAATATACTGCAATCTATTTGCAGAAGGCATGCAGCTCTCATACGCTTGCCACGTACCGGTTTGAACACAGGAATCTTCCCCTCATCCCAATAGTGATCCGGCTCAATATCCTCGCCATCGTCGCTATCGACATCAGACAGCTCTGACGATGCCCTCTCCGCCCTCTTCGGGTCGTTGTCTTCGCTCGTGGGAGGCGTCAGAGCAGCTTTGGGAATGGCATCGTGGAGCTGGACAGCAGGCGGCGTTTCAACCGACTGAACGACATCTGCAGGTGTGTCCATGGTCGTGGTGCAGGCGCCGGGGCGTGCTGCGTGTGGCAGGGCAGGTGCGCAGGAGCACTGGGGCTAGTGGCGTGGATCTCGGTGCGATCAGATCGCAACCTCGCCACCGCAGTCGGGCGTCGCTGTATCGAGGCCGCAGAAATTTTGCGGGTTGCGCATCGACTTGGACGAGTCGATCGTGCAGTGCAGGGACGATTTTGCTAGGTGTGCAGGTGTGGGGAAGGTTGTTGTCGTTTCTGAGGTCGAAGGGCAGGAACGAGGAGGTGCAGGTCTCTGATCGGCTAGAGCGGAGCTAGCAGGCATGAGTCGTTCGATGATCACGCACCTTTGAAAACAGCAACCGCAGTTTATCAACGTTTAAATCCTTCACATCATATGCTGGATACATTATAGCGTGCGTGAGCTTGAGATCTCACTCGAGGCTCACTGTGCCAAAGCGCATACAGTGCACATATGTGCTAAGGGCTACATCAGAACACTTCATCCGTGCACTTGGCATGCACGTCATTTGAGACACCGAAAAACCGTCACTCCACCTAATCTTATCTTCCATCAATCCGAATCAGTTTCCCATCTCCACATATCTGTTCCTCACCCAGGTGGTCTTCACTAGCACCAAACACCTAGCTACCATGGATGAAGCGTCTATTGGGGGCAAGGAAAATGAGATCAATGAACCCGGTGCTTACATCTCTCCCATTCCAGAACAATGAAACAAACCTGTCAAAGTGCATTTAAGCTTTGCGGATCGGTGGAGCGCGTGCAGCACGGCAAGATCCCGCTAGCTTATCGTGCCTGCATCACTGCGCAGCATTCCGTGCCACTCCCGCCAGAACAAAGCGCTGTCTCAGCTCTTCTCACACAAGCCACTTGATGTACGTACAGATCGTAAAATCTGATGGAGCTTGGACTACTAGTGATGTCCTTCCTGAGCGACTGACGGCAGCGCTCTGCGCATTCGCTGGCGGTTGTGTTGGACTGATGCAGATACGGCGACTCACTGACTGATTGTGAAGTCAAAATCAGAGATGAGGCCTGCGCAAGCGATTAAGCTTGTCGGGTGATGCTCTTGCAGTGGCCTTGGAACGTTAGGTGGATGGAAATGGATGATCGTGAGGTTCTTCGCAAGGAGATGTGTCCCACCAAGCTTGCAGCCTACCCATCAAGAGAATCGACAATCCGACTTCTTCGCTCAAGTAAATGCCATGCGCTAGGCTTTTGAGTTGAGATACGATGATTGATGTATATTAAGAGGCTCTAGCAGCGTTGGTGTGGATACTATCAACCAGTGTGTTTGGCTGGTGATACGCCATTCTCCGCCTCCGACTCAACACGGGGCTCCACTCGGCACATCGCCTGACAGATGACGCGCAACACATCCCCAACAATTTCTCCGGATCGACGCAACGTCCCGCGGGCCATCCTTGTAATTTCTGACCCGAGATAGTGGTCCCAGTCCGATAGTTATGATGACAAGCACTTTACGACTGCATAATACGCAAGAGATACGACAAGTCCATGTTCATTACCGCCCAGTCGTTAGAGTACAGTGGCCGCTGTAAAAGGCCGGTGCTCCGATGCTATGCAGTAAACAAATTTGGTTGTACAAATGCCGTGAAGCTGTCCTTTTTATCGTTCCGCTCAAATGCTCAAATGGGACGCGAGCTGGGTAGGCCAAACCAAATATGGAGGCTTCGCGTTCCTCATAACACCCAAAGTGATAGAGAAGAGAAGTTTTGGTAGAAGCTCTACGCAGTCGACTCGCCGCGAGGAGCACCGCGGAAGCTACTTCGGCCTCCTCTGAAGTCACCACCACGGCCGCGCCCGCGACCACGGAAATCGCTTCCACCGCGGGGACCGCCACGACCACGGCCCCTGTATCCACCTCGTCCCTCACCCTGGTGCTGCCCTCCACGTCCACGGCCGCCGCGGTTGTGCTGGACCTCGGAGAAGCCATCATTAGCAGGGGCTGGAGCTGCTGCGGGCTCGGGGGTATCGTCAGCCCAGCTCTGGGTGCTGGTCACTGGCGCGGTCTCGTGAGGAGTCTCGACTTCAGCAGGGTCGCGGGGAATGATCTCGAAAGGCTCGCTGAGAGGCTCATCCTGGCCGCCGGCCTGCTTGTCCCACTGTGCGGCCGCAGCAGCGTTAGCAGCCTCGGGCTCAATGCTGGCTGCCGCCGGCGCTGTCGACTGTTCAACCACCACTCCTCCCGTTGTTGCTGAGCCGGTATCGAGCTCTGTTAGGCCTGCATGCGTGATGGTGGGGTCGGACACTACCTCATGGGCCTCTGTCTCAGGAGCTGAGGGCTGGGCTTGCGCTACGTCGTCGACCCAGGCCTCCTCGGCAGCGAAGGGAGCCTCCTCGAGCGCGGCCTGCTTAACCTGCGAGTCTATCGAGAAGTTAGCGTATGATTCTTCCAGGCTTGTAGTTTACATACAGGTTGTGCTCAGCAGCACACCCTCGGTGGAGGGCACGCCATCCTCAGCACCGTCGATGAGCTTCTCAGCGGCAGCGACAGCAGCAGCATCGCCTCCGTAGACCTGCAACAGAGCTCCCTCGAAAGCCTTGGTGAGGTCCGAGTCGTCGTCCTCCAGCTGACGACGAGCAGCAGCCGCCCTCAAGAAGCGGGACAGTGTAAGGAGCTTCTCGCGGAGAGCCTTCTTCTGCTCAATGGCGGCCTCAGCCTTGAGTGTGTCCCTTAGAGCCTCGAGCTCGCCGGAGTGAGACTTCTGCAGGATCTCCTTCTCGCGAGCGTGCTTCTCCGAGAACTCCTGGTCAAACTTCTTGTACTGCGCAATCTGCTCCTCCAATTGTGCGAGCTCAGCCTGCAGCTTGGGCTTCCTCTGTGCCTGGGCCTTCTGGTCGGCGTTGATCTTGCGGGAAGCAGCGAGGTCGTCGAGTGAGACGCCGGGGTTCTCTGCGATGATGGAGTCGACCTTCTGGGTAGCATTCTGGCGCGACGTGTCAGTTGGAGCTCCAAAGAGGCTGATATGAAAGCGAGTTCCCTACCAGCTTCTTGTTGATGTTGCGGATGTTCCTGCACGCAGAACGTGTTAGCACATGAGCACTTTTCATATGTGGCCTTGAGCTTGAGAGCTGGGCTGCGACTTACTTCTGAAGCTCCTTGATGTAGGCGCTCTCGCCGTCGCTATTGACGTTCCCGGAAGGGTCAGAGCCGCCGGCACCTGCTTCAGAAGAAGTCTTCTCGGTCGCTGCTGGGACGGCGGTGGCTGCGTTCTCCTGTTTGGCCTTCTTCTTGCGCGCGCTCTTGGACTCGCCAGTGACGAGGTTCTGGAGCTTCGAAACAACTTCGGAAGCCATTTGTGGTGATGTTTGTGTGTCTGGTGGGATCTTAAGTGTAATCTACGCGTCGGTCGCGAAATATGGAAAGGTAGAGTGTTGGTGGGGCTGTTTGTAGCTGAACGAGTTGGACTGTTCGATTGCTTGCTTGCCCGGACTGCTTCAGGCTATGACCGACCGCTGGTTAGCGTCGACGCTTTGGCCAGGAGATCGTCGTGGAAACTCCTCGAATCCTACAATCTCAGGCAGCCCTGACAGAGGAGTGCAGTACTTTCGTCTATTGTGCACGAACCACAATCCCTGGCTCAAGAATCAATCTCAGCTGTCGAGGTCTTCAGATGTGAACGTCGCTGCTGTGTACACTTTCACACTGTCACATCTGTCACTAGCATGTTGCGAATGCCAGGGTCTACAAAAAAATTCTAGCGGGAGAGCGGTACTAAAAATTTCCCATTTGTTAAAAAGGAAACGCACAGCCCATGAGTCGCGCCAGATAGCATTAATACAGGCATAATGTTCGTCTCTACAAATACATTCATAGTTCTCTCATTTGCGAGTGCTCTTGTACAACGATAGCCTATCACCCTGCAGTGGTATACCCAGCCGTTAATGCTTTACACATCCCCCTTCATAATCTCGTTGTTCTATCATTCATCACACACTCCCCTCAAAATCCAACCCCATCTCACCCTGCCCTTGCCCCGCATCAAGCATATTCAAATCCACATTCTGCCCCTGCCCCAACCCGAACCCATAATCCGCCGCAGTCTGACTCTCAAAGACCCCATCTCCGGCACCACCCGTCATCGGCTCAACGTTAAACGGCACGAAGTAGCTGCTCATTGGATCGAAGAAGTTATTCGCGCCCATACCCATGGCTTCTAGGTTCCAGAACGCGGCATTGTAGTCGGAAGATAAATCAGGGAATACAGCCAAGTCCATGTGGTTCGGAGTGTGGGTGTGCGGGTTCGAAAGGTGAGGAAGGTGTGTGAGCGAGGGCGAGGTGCCGGTTTGGAGGAGGGTGTGGGGGCCGGCAAATTCGGCGATGAATTGCTGCGAGGTCGATTGATTTTGTTGCGGGAAGTAGGTGGAGGGGTCGAAGGTTGTGGTCGGTGGGGTAGACATGGATGTGTCGTTTGTAATGGAGATGTGTGATATTGGTTGTTGAGGTTGAGGTTGCGATGTAGCGGTTTGCTGTATTTTTGTGCTATTTTGGCGTTGAGGTTTGGATGCTTCTGATGCGTTTGCAGCTGCTTTTGAGACAGATTTCGACTTCATCTTGCGTGCTTGCTTGCGTTGGTCTGACCTGGAGGGCGGTGAGAGCGAAGCAAAGAACTCTTCGACACTCTGAAGATCGCTCTTCTCGCCAAGTACAGCATCTGTGCCAGGCTCATTTGCCTTCGACTCCACAGCATCCTCGTAGTCTGTTTTCGAGACGCCGTGTGGGTATCGGTCGAACCAGTCGCCATACTGGAATATATTACCCTTGCTCTTTCCATCGGCGCTCGCTGCAGATCCTAACATCTGTGCGTCCGCATGCTGTCGGTACAGGTCCTTTAGATTCTCTGCGATGTACTGGAACATGCCCCAGTATTTCTTCATCTTCGTCAGGTACTTGACGTTGTAGGCCAGGTACTTCTTTGACTGCGCCTCGAGCTTAGCGTTCTTTGAAAACACACCGTGTACGTGGACTGTTGATGAGAAGAAGGCGGAGTATCCAGCGAAGGGCGCAACGACATTGTGATCCATAGCCTCGTTGATCAAGAGCGAGATCTGGTTCGCCGACTCAAGCGCTGTCCGTGCTGAGTTTGTGAGAAAGTCGTGCGGCATATCTTTCGGTGGTCGGGCGCCCGCCGTCGATGGTAGCGCAAATCGATGCATAAAAAGCATGATCTGCTGCCACAGAATGTGCAAGTACAAGAACGAGTTTGCGGTCTTGCCAATGGCATGGCTCTTCAAGTTCTCCGGTGTGTAGACGAGCATCTCAGGTAATGAATCTTTGAAGTCCATGGCCTCTTTCTTGATGATGTGGAACGTCGATTCGGGCGACCACATCGGCTGTGGTTCCCGCTCCTTGCCACCCAGGTTCACGTACTTGATGAGCTTGCCCCAAACGCACACCAATCGAACAGTGTACGCTGTGACGCCCATGTTTTCTCGCGGGTTCGCCAATTGCCCACTGTCAGGTGGAACGGGGTTTGGTACAGCACCTTCTAAGTTCTCGGTCGGTGCGTGGATCTCGTGAACATACAGATGCTCTTTGATCGGCAGCTGCACCTCGATGTACTGCTCGTGCACAAAGAGAGGTCGATCAGTACCGGACGAGTTGAACCGATCCATTAAGAAGCAGGACCACATGGTTCTCCGTCGAATCTCGCGGTCTGTTGCGCTAAGTGGCTTCTTCTCCGGATCGTTCACCAACGGGTCGTATTCGTTCTCCTTGTGTAGTTGCAGAGCGTACGCCATTCTCTGCGCCATGCCGCCAAACATCCAACTCCTCCCACCCTGACATGTACCAAACTCATGAAGACCAAGTAGCAAATACACAATTAGAATCGTAATGTTCGGCAAATCGTAGCGCTTTAGCGCAATCTCTCTCGCTCGTTGCGCCCAATCATCACCACGCAAGAAACACGGCTCTGTCCGCAATTGCGGATGTGTCGAAAAGCGTGCCGAGATGGCACACATAGCCAGGATAAGCACTGGTGGGACTTTGCCTTGATTCAAGCGTCGCATGAAACTCGGCTTGTGCAGCAGAGGGTAGCTCTGACCGTACACGTAGTCGAAGTAGACTTCGGCAAGGTGCTCCTGGATCTCTTTCGATGGCAAGCTCTCGGCGCCTTCTTTGAGCAATACGTTCTCGTCTGACTCTTTGGATCTTCCTGCCTGTCCTGTGGGGTCCGCGTCGCCGCCCTTCGACTTGGCCCACTCGTCCAGCTCGTTTCCGAACGCTTCTTCTGCTTGTCGTTTCTTGGTCGATTGATTTTTCGGTGGCGCGCCTGGTATGGCGGGCTTGACGACTGATCTTCCGACATTCGCCACTGAGGGCAGGCTCTCTTTTGGTATGAGTTTGATTACTCGATCTTCCATGCGCTTCAGGCGCTTGTCCAACATGGCCATGTAGTCTGTTCGCGGCGCCGCTTTTCTCGCTGTGACTTTGTACACGCACGGTATCCTGCTTCTGACGCAATGCTTGCACGCTGGCTTTTCGCCTGAACAGCGGATCTTCTTTCTTCTGCACGCAATGCACGCAAGCGGCAGTCTCTTCCTCTCTTTCCCAGCTTTCGTTTTCATCTCGCTCCACTGTGGCGTGTCTTGCTCTGCCTCCTTGGTGCGGCTTGCTGGAGTGCCAAGGTTGAGGGCATCGTTCCTTTCGAGCTTCAAGCCTGGAGTAGAGGAGCTGTTCATGTCGCCCATGGCCAGCATGCCCATTGCGGGCGCGCTCTCAGGACTCGCATTGTGTCCTTCCGGGGCCAGCACGCTGGGACTGCCGCCAATACTCAGTCCCCGCGGATGCACACTGCCTCGGCCGCTCATGTTGTCCTCACTCATGCCGCTCGCGCCGCCCACGCTGCCCCGGTGGACCTGACTGCCCGGATATCCGGGGTTCTGGGTGTGCGCAAAGGCAATGTCGAATGCGGGGAATTGCCCTATCATGTTGGAGGGGCTGGTGCCGAGGGCGTTGCTGGTCGCGGGCGCAAGACCGTACTCGGCCAGGCCCAGGGTATCGTCGTGGACGAAGTGCGGGTGCGAAGGAGTGGTCATGGTGGCTGCGGTTGCGCCGGAGTCGGCCATGTCATCTGGGGCAGGAAAAGGCAAGGCAATGATCGCATCGAGTGTGGGGAGGGAGAGCCGAGCGGAATCTGCAGCAGTGTACGAAGTATACTCAAAGGACAAGCTATGGTCAGTGCAGTGTCATGTCGGCCGTGGTGCGGGAGAGCGAGAGGCTCTCGGAGGTATCGCTAAGTGGAGAGAGCGAGCATAGTCCGCGCAGACAAACCACGCAGGGCTAGAGGGCAAGCTTCGTCTTCTCCGCACCTCTGGGCGCAGAATAGGCGGCTCTTCCTGGACTTAACGGGCAGCACGGCGGGACCCTCGGCCACCACGCCTCTGCACGTCATACCCATGGAGTAAGGAGCCAGCACCCTTCGTATCAGCGTAGCGTTTCTATGCAAAGCAGCAGACACCCCAGAACATCGCTTTCAACCGTCGTGCATGGCCTGGAATCGCGCAGTCAGGATTCGCAGCGAAGTCCACCTAGGTGTGGGGCATGGCTTGCGCTGGGACGGCAGGATGGAATCGCGCGCCTATGATTCGCTGGCGTGCTGTTGACGCACGCGGTTGGGAGCTCGAGCTGCTTTCTCCTACTGTTTGATTACATGTGTATTCAGACATCACAAATCCAGCAGTCGTGATTGATCCCTGCGAATATCTTCGTATAACCCCGGCACGAAATGCCAACATGTAGACTTCTCTACACGACTGGCGACGTCCTTGATGATCCGACACAAGTCAGCGGCGCTGCAGGACCGGCGTTCGTAGACCCCCGTCGTAACGCCCTTGAATGGCAAGCGGTACACATCGGCCGAACGGTCAATAATGTGCAATATACAGAGCTCGCAGAGACTCGTGTTTTGGGTATGCAAAGACAGGATAAACGTGGGAATGTGCATAACATGGCGCCGTGGATGCGTCGTACATCTTGGAGCACCCCTGCTTGGCTGTCTGCAGCCCGCGCAGAGGCTGGGAATGCTGGAGTAGACTTGAGACTAGGCATTATTAAGCACGGCCTTGCCCTTGGATGAGCGATACGTCTCGATCTAAGCTTGAAACGCTTTGCATGTGACAGGATGAGGGGCCCCTTTTCTAAAGCGAGTGTGTTGATCTATCCTGATCTTTCCTTCATTTCTGTCTGTCTCTGGCATGGGACAACTATGCCATCTCCATCTTCGCCATCTCCATCTTCTTTGCCTCCTCCTTAGCATCACCTGGGTACTCGCCGTAGTTGGAGTACTTGCCGTACTTGCCGTACTTGCCGTAGCTGGAATCTGCAGCCTGCTTTGCGTCCATGTTCGCAGCCATCACGTTCACATCCTTGATCATCGTATCTTTTCGCATGATCTCAGCATTCTCCAAACTGTTCATGTCCGCGGCCTTCGCGTGCACCATCATGCTCTCCTTGAGCATCATGTTGGCCATGGTGGCATCGTTCATCATCTCATCGACCTTCATGTTGTCGCGTTTCATGTTTGTCTTTGCTGTTGAATTGTGAGTACAGTGTTGTATCCGAAAGAAGAGAGGGAATTTATACCCATAATTTTGGCTGCTACTTCGGGGTAGCTGACGTATTCACTGTACTTCCCGTATGCGCCATACTCAGTGTAGTCTTTGAAATCGTCGTTGGGCTTCATTGCGTCCACTGTGTTCGCAGTCTTCACGTCCTTCAACTCCATGGGGAAGGCGATGGCGGCGGCAGCCAGACTGGCGAAGATGAGTGAGTAACGCATGTCTTTCTGAGAAAGCTTGGTTGGGGTTGGAAGCTATTTTGACGATTGCTCATGCTGGGTTCGACATCTTTTTGTACCTGACAGAGATGCTTCCAAGAATACGGGTGGCGAGCTCGACGATCATGATGGCGAATCAAGGGTACCGGCACTGGTGAGGAGGTACCCGTATATTGGAGACTACAATCACCTCCTTTGTAACCAAGGGTAAGACGTGACTGGTTGCTGTACTCCGCCGCGGAATGCCTCGGTAATGTACACCTCAGTTCCCTTTGAACATTGACAAGAAATGCGGACCTAACAATTTGATGGATTGGATCATCGTGAGCATGTGCTGCGGATTGTAGAAACCCTTGGGCTGTTCAGTGGGGCAAGCCAGTCACGAAAGTGAAGCGCTGTCCCGTGTGCAACTTGAAGACGGATATGTGCATCCGAGTATAAAGGGACAACGGTCGACTCCGTTGGTAGCGATCACCGAGCTTGTTTCTGAGCCAACAATCCACCTAGCACAGTATCTGAACTAGATGTCTAGCTCCTCCAGAGCAGAAACCTTGTGACGCACTGCCCGACTCAGACGGGTGCCGCAAGATCCTGCTGACTGGAAATTTTGGTCGAGACCCAAGTCCCTGTCGCAAGACTAGAGTTTGTTCTTGCACCTCACTCCGTTTGATTTACAACGGGCACTGCACTTGCAACATGCTTGACGTGGCTGACGGTCGAAGCTGTGCCTCAAACATCGCACATGTATAGTGTCGTGGTACTGGGGGCTTTTTTTGGTGTACAAGTCATACGCGCGGGTAGCCGATAAGACTGAGTATGGACTGATAGCGGCCTGCGTTAGCACATTGAGGCCATTATTAGCGTTCTGTTCAGTTGTTTCTCTTTAGCATCTCACCTCCCGATAGTCCTCAAGCTACAGTTTGGACCACGCCGATGATGTTGACTCGGTTGTTCCGCAGAGCGCCAAACCACACTCGCCTCACTCAGAGCGACACCGAGAGCCTTGACAGCGACACACTTTTGCAGAGCTTAACGACTTCACTCGCCCCGAAGATCTCTCCCTTCCCAGATGCTGAATACCAAGCTGCATTCAAGACACTTGTGATCTGCAGTGTCGTGTACCTGAGCATAGGATTCTGGATCGCACGTAGCGTGCGCGAAGCGGACTTTGTCACTGATCCTGACGAGTTCTGCATCAACCATGTCAACCAATATTGTAGGCCGAACAGTCTTATGTTTTGAGTATGATGACTGATGAGGTGTAGCACCGGTGGTAAGAGACGTAGAGCCGAGATGGCACACCCAACAGTTCAACGGGTCATTTTTGCATGAGAACGTCTATCGACAGTCAGCTGGGCCGGCAGTGGATGCTGCATGGGAGGCGTTAGGAGTAGGCTGTGAGTTCCGCAACTACTGTGCCTCTCGAGTCCGTGCTGAACTTTGGCATAGTTCGAAGCGTCGTCGTTCCGGAAAGCGAAGCTCAGAAATCAGGAATTCGAGACAGTCAGGTGAAAATCAGTGAAGAATATGGTGGCGGGTTCCCAGCCAACGTCGAAGGATTGCATCATATGCACTGTCTGGTATGCGCATAGGGAGGATTTGGTGGTTGACGGTCGCTGACATTATCAGGATCTTCTTCGAAAGACTCTCCATTGGAACTACGATTACTACCTGGCCGCAGGAGAAGGTCCTTTCGTCAACTCCGAGTACATTGTACAAATTCACACCACTCATTGCTTGGACATGCTGAGGCAGGTGCTGATGTGCAAGCCAGATGTCGGAGTGCTAGGTCAGGTGTGGTGGAAGCCGGAAGGTGATGCTCACCCCATGGCGTTCGTCGACTTCAATACGAAACATCGATGCCGTGACTACGAGGGCATAAGAAGATGGGCCGAGGCGCACCAAATGCCGCCGGAAGAGGAAGTTGACATGAGCCGCTTCTACGAGCAACCAAGGCCTGAACACGTGTATCCTGCCATACCTTGATGTTTAGAGCAAGATGTCGGTGCTGGACAGCGTTAGCTCAAACCGTGGCGTGATAGCAATACACGATTGCCCATTACCAGCCTCCATCTCTCTGAATTTGGCGCAACGTGATCTCGACTTGAGTTGGCTGGAGTCTGCTTGTGGTGTGTGAACGCGTGCGATGAGTCACGCTCAGTTCTGGCGCGGCTTCACTACGCCATCGTGTACAATGTAGTAGACGACAGTACTGTCTGTGTCGACCGTAGCCAGCACAACCCTCTTTGTTGTCCTCCAAGGGTTCACCTGAGTGTCGTGCGTGGCAGCAGAGGCCTGTGGCGGGGCCATGCTGATATCGTCGAAGACCTCAGCGAGGCGGCGCAGCGTCCATTGCTCGTTCAGCCTGGTCGGCAGCACCCACTCGTGCTCAGGCTGCGCCTTGACCTCCAGACCGCTCTTCTCGCCCGCTGCCTCTGCGGCTTTTCGCTGGCGGTCGGCGTTCTTCAGCAGCTCGACCTGCTCGTCGGGGTGGACGTAGAGGCGGTGCGGCGGCAGACCAGAGACGAGCGGCCGCGCGAGAGGCTCTTTCGTAAGGGGCGAGTGCGTGTGCACCTTCAGGTCGGTCCAATAGTGCTGGTACTGGAGGTTGTGGAGGATCTGGAGGGCGAGCGAATGCAGACTGGGAAGGTGCGTGGACCTGGAGAGCTTGGCCGAGTCTGCGACGAACATCTGCACCTGCGCTGGCGCGACTGCCCGTTTGGTGCTGGTGAGCGTCGTCATGGCAGAGGGGGTGTTATGCGCTGATCTGCGCTGGTCTTCGCTGTTCGGCGGCGCTCGCTGGCAATTGGCGGTGCAGTGCTTCGCAATCGTCGAAGTAGAGGTGAGGAGGGTGACGAGCTGTCTGTTACGGGAAGGAGCGAAGAACTTGTGTCGATCGCTAAGCCACTAGGATACGAGAGCCGACTTGACTGGAGCGCAACAAAGGTCAGCCTACGACGCCTGCGTGTCCTAATAACTTGCCCACCTGCTCTCTGGAACTGTTCGCATACCCACTCTGCCTTGCATCGACTGCGACAATATATTGATCCCTCTACCGAGCATCTGCGACAGCCTTGACCATGCGTTCGACTTCCGTTGGCTCTCTTCTCCTATTGGCTGGGGGCGCCATAGCGCAGAGCGAGAGCGTCGTGACCGAGATCCCAGCGTCGCTCACTCAGACGACTGAGCAGGTCTTTACAATTCAGACATCGGTCCCGACGGGTGCGTCCTCCGTTTGCTATGAAGTCTGCGTCCAGGAGCCGTGCTATGCATGTGCGCAATCATACATCTTCAATCTGTCAAACGCCATCTGACTGACCATAATAGGCTCCGCTACCGACCCTATTATGAGCTTGCCCGTCGAGTCTCTGCCTGTGCCTAGCAGCGTACCGCCTGTCTCCATGCCAGTTCCCATTGAAACCAGTGTGCCGCCTGTCTCCATGCCAGTTCCCATTGAAACCAGTGTGCCGCCTGTCTCCATGCCGGTTCCCATTGAGACCAGTGTGCCGCCTGTCTCTATGCCGGTCCCCATCAGCGACGATGTCACCATGACTCTTCCTGTAGAGTCGTTGCCACCTGTTGGATCTGATGCATCAGTCTCCGGCAGCATGTCGATTCCCCAGGGAGAAACACCAGAGTCGACCGGCGTCCTTCCAACTTCATCAGGTTCAGGAAGCGCATCGGCCAGTGCGTCTCGATCTGCGCCAGCTGAGCAGACAACAGCAGCGGCGCCACCTTCGCTCAAGGGCGACAGCACATCATTCATATTTGCCCTTGGTGTCTCAGGAGTCTCAGTCCTGTTCGGAGCGGCGTGGACTCTGCTTTATTAGATGTGAGATGCGCAAGCTGGGTCTTTGTCCGTCCCTGTCTCATCGCCCCACATGGGCCGTTGTGCAGGGGTTGGGCAAATGGTGACTTAGGTTGACCGTTGATAAACCTCAGCATCTTCCGTAGGTATTGCAAACGAGATATGACTGAATGCAACATGGGAATTGATCAAGTAGAGTCCGGTCATATACATAGCACAGCCTACCTAGTTTGTGCGAATATGAGAAGACATACACTGGAGGTACGAGATACGCGTAAAATCGAGTTCAGTCTGCTGCGCCAACGGCCTCGCGGCCATTTTCGCGTATCTCGCCCTACGCCACAAGGCTCCACCGCTCCACTGGTGGGACCGCGACTTCCTTCCCCCGACAGCCATCGCAACCGTGATTGTTATGCATACAAGGAGTCGGTTCCCAGACATGTTACCGTTTCGCCATGCACTGCCTCCTGGAGTCACTTTAACGTGTCGCCAACCGTGCTCTACCCGTCTTGTATTATTTCCAGCAAACAGGTTGCCAAGGGGCCAGCCACTTGAGCCACCAGCCGTTGGCCAGCTTGGCTGACGACCGGGCGCGCGAGCCAGAGACGCTTCGAGTCTCCCTTAATTACAAATAGAAGGGTCGCCGATCGTTGTTTTGACCTTGAACACCATGGCAGCCTCAAATTCTCAATCGACTTCGCCGGGAAACGTGTCGACCCCCGTTCCTTTCCCACAACCCGACGCCCTCAACGACAGCTCAAAAGGCAAGGAACACGCACGAACGTCCACAAATGCGTCAACGTCAAGTAGAATACGAAGCGCTAGCATAAAACTCATGGAGGCTGATCCTCCGCCCGGCATGTGGGCAGCCACAGGCAGCGTTGCTTCAAAGGCGCCTTCGCTCGTCGACATCAGGAGAGGCTCGTTTGGCCCGGACGGGTGGGACGAGCAAAAGCAACGCGAACACCGCCGTGGCAGTCAGGGAGGCACTGAACGGCCTGTCAACAACAGGAGAGGGTCTTCTGGGAGACTAGGAGTGGAGCCCTTCCCGGCGCTCACAGAGGAGAGGCCATCGTCCGAGACCCGCGAGCGTGCCCCACAAAACGACGGATCAAATGATGTACGCGATGTCAAGGTCGTTCAGCATGGTGTTCAGCCCACGACATCACGCTTTACCGACAAGAGTGATGAGTCTGCTGCGCGCCAACCGTTGAACGGCGAAAGCCAGGTACGTGCCTTCACATAATGGAAGACTTGGGTGGAGGTGGCTGACCAAGATCTCATAGTACGCAAATGGCTACATGCCACCGCCCAAGCTGCCATGGACCCAGTCGTTCATGATCGGACTGAAAGGTTTCTGGAAGTGGTTCTTGACCATTCCCGGATTCTTGATCACGATATACGCCCTCAATGTTGTCGCGTGGGGAGGCATGCTCTTCTTGCTCCTATGCAATGCTGCGCCCGCGATGTGCACACCTACCTGCGACGATATCAATTCACCGCGGAGAAAATGGGTCGAGATTGACTCGCAGATTCTCAACGCTCTCTTCTGTGTCACTGGTTTCGGGCTGGCTCCGTGGAGGTTCCGCGACCTATACTGGTGGGCACTTTGGAGGCTCGGCGGTGCTCAGAAAAAGCTGGTTGGCATACGACGACTTGCTGGCATACATCGAGGATGGTTCCGACTGCCCGGCTCAGAGCAGCTTCCCGAAGAGGCAGATGCCACAAAGGTCAGCTCCGAGGACCCTGCCGTACCAATTCCAGCCAGCAGGATCCCAGATCCACCACCAACTGGTTTCCGCGCATCACCTACTAAATCCTGGAAGATGGACTTTGTATTGTGGATGAACGCATCAAACACGTTCTTCCAGGTCCTGCTCTGCTTCTACATGTGGCACTACAACCGTATCGAGAGACCATCGTGGGCAACCGGGCTCTTTGTGGCTCTCGGTTGCATCGTGGCTGGAGTCGCAGGCATCATGATGGCTGTTGAGGGGAAACGCATCAAGAAAGTCGAGGGTGTGCCTATGCGCAAGGAAGATCGAGATAGGCGCGCAGATGTAGAAGCACAGTCTGCCCAAAACGTACCGCTTGTGTCTTATCCTGGCGGCGTGTCAAAGGCATGATGGACGCCCAGACAGTGTTGCATCCGCGCAGTGGGTAGAAAGCTGCGTTGATTGGCTCTGGACATCGCAGTAACGCGTCGCGTGTGGCGAGAATTCAGGAAGTCCGGCACATTGCAGCAACTATCATGAGATCAACACAATCATACAAGTATCTTCATTATTATTGTCTGCTTCGTAATCTAGGTGATGACAACGCTGTGTCAGCCACCTTTTCTATGGTTCCCAGCTCCGGAGAGTGCTCCGTCTGTTTTGAGGCGAGTCATGAATGATCTTCGAGCCTTGCGCAGTCCGCCGAGGTCTCCGTCCGAGGCTGACATGCGCCGATGCTAAAATTATGATTTGTTGACAAAGATGACGTACCCAGTCACGAATAGGCTTGCAGCAGAATGTGACTGCTGCACGAGACCACTAATAGACTTGGCTTTCGAGCATAGCGCTGACTTCATAGTTTAGTTCGCTGTCTCTTGATCCTTTTATGGATTCGGTGGCTCGGGGACTCCGGCTTGATCTTGCCTCCAGCATATGTGTGGGAAAGCACAGCCTTGATCATCTGTGAATCTTCCTGCGAACGGTATACTTCCATTCCTACCTACCTGCGAATCCTACAAGCAACGCAAAGCAAAACTCAAGACTGAGCGAACACACCAGAGCAAGCAAGATGGCTTCTGCCGAATACTACCTAGGCAGTCAGGCGGTGCAACAAAACCATAACCAGCACCCGCCTGCGCCATACCCACATCATACGCCACCCCGACCGCAATACCAAAAGCAACAGCAGCCCCTGGCGCAGTCATGGAAGCAACAGCAGTACCCGACACCATCTTATGCGAACACTCCTCCGCCGTCATACTCGCCACATGCCCCTCAACATGAGAAACAACAGATGCAAACCTACCCTTCTACCCCTCCGCCGCAACAGCAGTATCCTGGGCATGGCTACCGAGGGGCAGCAGCACCATACTTTCCTCCTCCGTCACAACATAATGGAATGCTAGGGCCGCCGCTACAGCATGTGCGCAGTCACTCGCAGCCCGCCGGTCGGGTACAATTCGCAGACCAGGAGTCGACCGTGCTTGGTTCGGAAAGCGACTCAGACAGCGCCCCTTCGCAGCGCCGCAGACGCCGCCGCCGTCGAAGCCGCGACCGCATATGCGATTACGAGCATTCAAGGGACGTAGACCGCGGCTTCGACTACAGCGATCGAGACTACGAACGGTCTCGCGGACATCGAACCAAGTCGCATCAGAAGAAGCATGACAACAGAGACACATTCCTAGGCGCCGGTGCTGGAGGTATTATTGGCGATGTAATCTTCCCTGGTCTCGGCACAGCAGCAGGTCTGATCATCGGAGGACTCGGCGGCAGAAAGTACGCGAAAGACAAGGAGAGGAGCCAAAGCGAAGAAGGCTGCCCGCACCGACATCGAGACGCATTCCGCGAGGGCAGAGAAGAAGGCCGCGAAGATAGAGAGCACGGAAGACATAGACACCGCAATATGTACTACGAGGGAAAGGAGGACAAGTGGAGAGATAAAGCAAGAGATTCGGGATATGGGCACTATGACCTGAACTCTGAAGAGTATGAGGGCCACAAACATCGTGGGCAGCATAGGAAGTACGGACAGCAGGGCTGGGATAAGGGTAGTGCAACTTTCAAGAGCGGTACAGCTGTACGATAGACAATCTGAAGGCCTGGGGCCATTCAAGACCGACATGACCTAATGAATCAATCACAATTTCTCGAATCATTTATGGTTTTGTGGAGTCTCCAAGCAAGGCACGATTAGAAAGGGGACAAATTGACGCTACTGACTAAGCTGGCTCGAGCTCTGCGCGATATCTCCACGCGTCAAGCTTTAAGAGTTCTTCTTTCACAACATCTAGATGGAAGCAAACCGCGCAGATTCAAGCTTGCGCGCACAACTGTCATGAACTGTAAGTCGATCTCTACGTTTTGTTGTACCCTTTCTATGATGTTTGCACCTCGATAGAGGCCGCAGTTATCCCTGTCTAAAGAATGCTGTTGAAAAAAGTAAAAATCTGATATACACCACCGAGCCTGCCTTCCTCTTTCACAAGATAATTGGTTTTTTGCTGACCCAATACAGATGTCTAGATCTTCTCCAGCGCCACTCATGTACATGATGTAACTCCTGCCTCGCACCGTGAACCAGGCCAACACCGCGTTTCTATGCGCTCGCGGCCATTACCCACGTCGCGCCAGCCTTCGCCATGCCTTTCGATTGATCGGGCGTAGGAGCGTACAACGTGCCGTCGCTGGTGTCAGCAGAGCTTTCGTGGTTCCATGTCGAGATGCATCCTTCAGCTGGCTTGAACCCAGCGCCGCCGAACGCCTGCTCGAAGTCGTTGTGCTCGAGGCCGAGCGATGTGCGTATCAGGTCTGGTGTGACTGCCCTTGGTCTTCTCCTCGTCGCGGGTCTGTTGATGTGTGGTGCGCCAAGGCTGGACGCCGAGTGGCATTTTTTTCACATCGTCGACGTTGGCGGAAACTTTCCAGTCGTGTAAGATCCGAGATGATCAGTCATCGTGATCGTACATATGGCGGGATATCAAGCTACGAGGAACTGTGTATTACAAAATGGTGCCTTGGTATCCAGCGCGCCGGCCGCAGAATCGAATTAGAGGAACGGAAATATACAGACGAACAGCTAGACACCTGCGTGTTCGAACTTAAGCGATGCCCTCTGTGAACTCGTCGAACAGCGTGATCATTTCAAACCGGTCTGCCAATGTATCAATGGCGCCTGACTTGTTATCATTGACTGTAGGTGCCACAGTCCAGCCTCCCCTGCTGCGATCGGTGCGCCTATCGCGTTGCAGTGAAGTCGAGTCGACCTCGATGCGAATGGCCTCGGCCTTCGTGATTGCACCTTTATCCGTGGCGATTGCAAGAATCGCTCGAATGGTCTCGATCATGTATACGTAGGAAGGCAGAAGCCTCTGACTCATGGAGATACAGAAGTAAAGGTAGTTTTTCCTCTCCTGGTCAGACAAGTCATTTAGGACGGCGTTCACAGTGAATACCATGGCGCCACTAAGTGCAAGATTCCAGTAAGCCGGTGCATACTCAATGGCGAACATAAACAGCAGGCCTGTGGACAGAGTCAGATGAATGGTGTGTGCCTGAGGGTTGAACACCTGCCTTTAAGTTGCATGACTGACGCTGCAAATATAGTCCTCGGAGATAAACCTTCGGCTACATATGCGCGGAAGCCATGTTGCTCGTCCTCTGCGATGTACGGACGGAAGAGGTCTAAGACGACCATGTGTGCTGATGTACTGTTCAATGTTAGCTCGTCTGCTTGCATAGGCTAATCAATGCAGCATATCTGACATTGGAGAGTCCGAAAGACATAGTTTTGACTCATATCTCGCCATGCATCCGCGATGAACAGAGGAAGGCTATGGCCTTAAGTGTGCGAATGCTGAAACGTGGACGCAAGGCCAAAAAGGGGAAAACCTTACTGGAATATGAGAACCCAATGCGGTGTCTTGTCCTGCCTAGTCATTGGTTCAGGCAGTGTATCGATGAGGTCCAGAAGTTTGCGGTATTTCCCAATAGCGAAAGCCAGTGATCTCGCTCTAATCTTATTGTCCCGGTATATGAGGAAAACCTCGTTCACTATAGTCCAAAGTCTGCAGAATACCAACCGAGCCTGCTGCATTTCCGCCAAAGCAGGACTGGTACTGACTGTGTCCTGTTTGCCGCTACTTTTGAATCCTTCGTTGATCCTCGATTCCTCTGGCAGCGACATGACTGGTGGATGCTCGAGCGGCTGTACCACCTGGAATTGTACCATTTGTCTGGAAGCAAAAGTCAACATCGAGTCTAATGGGGGTATTCCTCAAATGCGCATACACGAGGAAGTTGAACAGCCCCCATGCAGCCTGGCTAGCTGCTGCTTCAGACTTGGGCGAATCATAGGTAGCCGAGTTAGGTCTGCCGAAGAGATCCATTCTGTCAGCTGCTTCTCTCGCTGCCGTCAAATACTTGATGGCTCTTGGCACGTCTCCATGAGTAGCAATGGTCGTATACAGTAAAGCTAATGCTGCGATAGTCGGTAGAGAATCGGTTTCTCCTTCTGCTGCAAACAGCTTTTCTGCCTGTTCTTCGAACTGGTAGCTGTATTTCGCAATTGCAGTATTAACGGAAGAATAGCCTTGCTGGGCCAGATCAGTGCACGCGCTGATTTCATGTATTCAGTTACTTACCAATGCAAAGGCGAGTAATGCACTGACCATGAGAGGCGAGCACGTCGACTCTGCATCGGTTTTGCACTCGATGAGATCGTTTAGGAACTGTGACGCATCGAAGAAGCACCATATTGGATGATGGGTCTCGAGATACAACGATATCGCAGACGCGGCATCTTCGTTTTTGAGAGGGACAGATGTCCAGAAGTCAATCTTCAACTCCTCAAGCCGCGTGTCGCAATACTTGGGATGGTTCGATGGTTGCTTCGTGCTTTGCACTTGCTCGAGTTGAGACGTGTACGCCTGTGACGACGCACCACCGAGGAAAAGATTACTCACGGTGTCCTGCGCAACAACAGGAAGATCAAGAGCACAATATGCCTTTGGGTGTCGAACGAGCAGTTCGAGTTCACCGTCCGAATGCACACCTGGGAGGATGGCCTTTGCTGCGGTTTGCTCTGACAGGTTGGCGTGCGGCAACCGAGTTCCGCGAAGGGCCTTCAGAACATCACCGGGATGGGTGCCCGCGCTCAGGCGCTGCATGGTATCGTGAGCAACATGCTCTGTTCGGCTCTGGAGATGTTCAAAAATATCCTGGAGAACGATCAATTTTTCTCGCAGTGCAATGTTTTCCCGTTTTAAGATGGTGGGCCGCATTTCCAGGTCCTCTTCGTTCATATAGACGCAACGCCTGTCGCGCCTTTCACAAGCCGCACATACTGGTCTCGATCCATCGCAGCCGATTCTCTTCTGTCGGCACTCATTGCAGGCGACCGAAACACGCTTCCTCTTGGAGCTGGGCCCAGCTGGCGGAGGAGACCGCGGCCGCGTCGCCGGAAGGAGAGGGCGTAGAGGGTTGTTGTTGTTCATCGCAAATTATCGAACCGGTGTGCCAGCGCAGCCGCCATAAAGATGTTTTGTTACTCACAATGAATAACTGTGGGTGTTCGTGTCAGGTCAGCTCCCGCAGTGCCAGCGCCACATCCAAACGCTTGACGGATGTCTTGTCAGCCAATGGTGTGAGAAAGATTCGGGCGGTAAGCTTCACGACATCATCTTGCAGAGTTGTGAACATTTCCTTTGTTTTAGGTAAGTTATCAAGAATGGGGCCATGGATGGAGCCCCACAAAGGAGGTGGATACCTAAGCACTTGCATCCTTCGCCACAGCCTCACGTGGTGGCGGACTCGCATTCGAGGAGACGCATCGAGACGCAGCAACTTCAGGATAAGATCTACAAGCCTCTCAGGAAGCAAGCACTAGAGCACGGACTGTGACAATCCCGAGCCGTCCGCTTCGAAGCACAATTTCACCCGCTTGTCATAAGGCACCCATGCACGGCGCATTACACATGGCCATTACCTATGCTGCAGTAATACTCCCTTCTCTATTCCGTGTGGTCTGCCCACAAGTCCGGGAGAGTTTCCACCCTGCTTGCACGCCCGTCCCTGGGTTTCTCCGGCTCGGTACTTTGCGAAAGTCCCTCACAGTCCAGGCTACCGGTGTCGCTGCTGCAGGACCAAGGCATGAAGGCGTGCGGCCGGTTTGAGTTCACCGATCACGCGAGGGTTCAACACTGACAGAATGCTAGTGCCAGAAAAGATCTACTCCTTGTCACCATGTTGCAGATTCGACCGCTGTACAAGGGCAAGCCATCAAACGCAGACATGTTGCCCTCAAAATTCAGAACGAGGCATATGTAGAGCTCCTCGCGCGCATCCAGACAAGCCCTGACAACGAGTTGCTCGTGATCACTCGGCGCATCAGAATGGGCGTCGATGTAGAGAGTGTCCTCACCATGTCAGATACGGAGGCTACTTATGCAATTGAGTGTCGAGCCAGAAACGAGGCTGCGCTACAACCTTCCCTACATAGACTCGATGCCTGCGTTTCTGTTGGTTCCGGACAACAAATACCTCACCACTCCCCTGTACGAAGCGATGCTCAAGCCACCCAACTCCTCGTCAGACCTCGTGACCTCTGAGCAGTCGCCACCGAGCAGATATATGGATCCCTACATGAAGCCAAGTCATGCAGCTGAAGTGGTGAAACCTATACTTGATTGCATCTACGCAACGCAATGCAAACGGTCGTACTTCGTAAGACACAATGTTTGCATGCTGACAACAGTGCCATATACAGAAGTAGTAGAACTCCAGCTTGACTAGATCCGGCTGTCATTACATGGTCCCTGTCTTCTCGCGACGACAAACGTTCTCCGGCTCTACTTACAGCCAATGCATCATCCAAGAGTTGCAGTTGCAGTCGTAATTGTTCGATAAGTTGTGTCATAGACGGTTGACGCTACACAACGCCAGAACTTTGGGTGACACAGCGAACCTGCATCATCGCCATTGTACCCTGCGTCTACGAGCAGCCAGGGTCCTGCCTCTCACTCTGCATCAAGGACGCTCCTAAAGCACTACTCTCGTGTTGTCCAAAAAGATGGCTGCAAAGTTCGAGCACTAGATGTTCATATCGTCGTGCCCTTCTGTGGAGCGAGTCATAGGGCCCTACCTAGATCATCAACAACACGCGAAGAACTCGCTGCAGATCTCCTGGTCTCGACATCTTGGACTTCGTAATGATTTCAACCAGTGCTGTAGTGGTCTCGAAACAGGTGGATCATTTCCGAACTTGTGCGACCACAGTCTCTTGCAAAGTCTGGCAGAATAAACGGTGCTCGAGCATCATTGGCTTCAGGTTATCAATATCAACAACACGCCATCGTAAAACCCAGTTGCACATCAAACGCCGCGCATATTCGCGAACAACCTTCTCAACACAGATAACGACTCGAACTCGTTCCCAAGAGTAACGAATGGCGTTTTGTCGAACGGAAATATATTGCTGTTGTGCAAGTCCTCCCCTTCGCACCTTCCTCGAATGCAAAGCAAGGTTCGGACGTCACTTCCACTGACCGCAACTCCTCACCTCAAGCCTCCACAAGCACCGGTGCACCTTCCATCATGATGCACAATGCTTGCTTAGAGAATCAAGCCTGCTTAAAGAGTCAGCCGCCAACGCACCTTTTGTTTGTCACCCACGATTATTTTCTTCTCACCTACAACCCAACTCCAGTTTCTTCGACAGCACTCAACTACCCCCAAAACAGTATCACACTTCCAACAATCCGGCCGAGTATAGACCATCCTCACTATGAAGCTTAGCGCTGTCGTCTTCACCGCTCTGTCTGCTGTCACCGTGGCGCAGGACGGCTACTGGGACGTCCCCTCTCCAGGCTTCCGTCTCATCGTGAGGTCAAACAACTCAACTTACAACGGGTGTGTATCCACAACCCATGTATTTGTTTTCAGCTGATCTCCAAAAAGCACTGCCCTCGGAGCCTGCCACCAAGGAGCCGCCATCGAAGGTCTCTGTCCTACCAGCGAGACTGTCCAGGATTCACCAAGCTCTTACACCACCTTCTACCACAACGTCAGCTCCTCCAGGAATGAGGCTGCGGGAGCTGCTGATGCCAACGGCCCCATCAGCTGGATCCTTCGAGCTGGTGGCAACCTTACAGTTCCGTCTGCGATGTTCCTTGCATTGACCGAAACATCCAACGTCGCCAATCCTACCTTCTACCCCAGCACAAGCAAGTCCACCAGTGTTGCCTTCGAGGAGGACGGCTGCCTCTACATTGAGACCAGCCTAGACGATACCGTCAGCCCTCCAGCTTACTTCAACACTAGCCGTAAGGTCAAGAACTGGTACGTCTGCCTCACCAGGTACTCGTATCTGTACACCACGCTGTCATGGAAGGTTGGCCTTACGGGCACGCCTCAGAACCCTTCATGTCAGAAGGTCGACGTCATCCGAGTTTTCAACTGAAGAGTATGGATCGCGCGACATGGGAAACCTCGGAATATGGAGTCGGTGATGACTAACCGATGAAGCATGGATTGTTGTCGCCAATAGTCACGACCTTGGAGGATGAGCGTCGCCCCATGTACATTATCATTACAGCCTGCATCGCATGATTAGCTTCTGTATCAATACAGCGACTATATCTTGAAACCACAACAGTTCATCTCTCCGCAATGGTAACTCTCTATGTGTGATCTAGTCTCTACAATGTGTCTACTGGTGTCTCCATCTTCTAGAACAAAAGGTCCGGATACTCGCCTAGTACACCGTTCTTGCCGCCGTCGAAGAAGCCATGCATGCCATCCATCTCTGCGAATTTCTCTGCAACCTTCAGCCCTCTCAGCCTCTCGGCCTCGATAATGTCCCAATTCCACTCTGTGCCCTCGACAGGCTTTGGCAGTACGCCTTCCACATGACGATTCGCATCGCCGTTCTGCTCAGCGCCTTGCCATACCCAGCCCTCCGGCTTCGCAGGTATCATATCCGCATCGATAAGCGCCTGCTCAGGCGGCACCGTAATCCTGCCCCTCTTGATGACATACTTGGCAATCCCCGTCGCGTACACACTCTTTAACAGTTCCTCTTCAGTAGCATCTTTGCTTGACCTCCTCGGTTTCCGCCACGGCTGCAGTGTCCAGCTCTCCGGCTTCCCAACGCCCGGCTTCACCAAATGCGTAATCAGGAAGAACCACTTCCTGTCCCAGCACAGCAAGCGTGTCCACATCTCGTATTTCCTGTACGGTAAGATTTCCTTCTTGAAATTACAACATATGCCCCCCAACGCTATGATATGGCTTCCGCGCGTGCCGTCCGTGGCACCTATCGCGCCGTCGAGTTGGGATTTCTTGTTGCCACCCAAGCGAGAGTTCTTCTTGATGCCGTTGCGGATTATTGCCGTAAACAGGTGTGTCCGGCTAATGTCCATGTCACTGAAGTAGGTGCTGTTGGATTTGTGCATGTTGTAATCTGTTTCGAGGAGCGAGGTATGGGTGGACGTTATTACGGGTTGGAAGAGCGCGTGAGGTGGAATTGCGGTCGGTTGGAAGTAGATGTGGTAGATCATTGCGCGGAAGATGCGTATCTGTGTTGCTTTCAGCTTTGTACTTGAGGGGGATGGGGAGTGGAGGAAAGACGTACGTGCCATACGAAAGGTAAGGTCTTCAAATTCGCCAGCGCAAGGATGATTGCTGCGATACGCCATAGTCCTCCTGGTGCGCCATATCCGGTTGCGCGCACGAGTGAGAGGAGGATGTTCTTAAAGTACGTGGAGTTGGTTGCGCATGCTGCTATCGAAGCTCCAGCAACCACAATGCTCAGTGCGTGAGCCATTGTGACCATGCCGGGACGGCCGATGGTCGCTAAGATATGTACGAGAAGGGGATTCAGACGAATGGTCTAAGCAGCGGCGCCAAGATGGCTGTAAGGAACGGTGGTGATCACATCCGAGCCGAGGCACTTCCTGTTTGGTGCTAGTCTCGATGATCCTCGACAGAGCCCTGGGGACTCTCGCAAGCCCCTCTATTTATTTTGGCTTAATGATACATGTAGTGCGATCGGTGCGTAGTCTGGTTGAAGCTGTGAGAACGCATACATGCGATACAGGACTAGTGCCGAAAGGCTGCCAGTAACAGATAAGGGTTCGGGCTCCAACGAGACAATGTCGTCCGTTGTTTCCAAGGATACTCCAGTTCTCTATGCAAATCACTGCTGGGTATCTAAATGTCATACTGCCTGCGGCGCCACTGGATACGGAAGCTCTACTTCTTCTTGCCCTTTGTCTTATCGACAATCTCCACCCAGTTCTTACTCACACCGCGCTTCTCAAGCGCCTTCAAGATGGCGTCCTTCTGCGGTCCCTGAACCAAGACCTCCATCACTGGAGCTTTGGGACTTGATCCTTGCAGCTTGTCGACACTGGTACTGCCAGCACAAGTCTTCCTCAGCTCGTCGGCGAGTGGTTGAGGTGCAATGTAGAAAGGTTCCAAGCCATGAACCTTGGTAACGGTCTTGTTCCCGCTTCGAGTCTCCAGCGTGATTTGAATCTTGGGTGGTGCACCAGCCTTAGGCTTTGCATCAGTGATATCGGCGTCGTTGCGAATGATTGCGTGGAAAGGTGCAGCGGCTTGCACCATACGATCCGCGAGCGCATCCCGAGCTATGGTGCCTGTAGACAGCGCTGCGTTGTCTGCAGCAGATGAGCCGAGTAGCACGTCTGCAAGCTGTGGATTGATGTTAATAAGTCGCTTGTTCTTCGCATTGACTAGGCTTTCAGATTCAATGTACGCAATGAGGTGCTGCTTAAGCTCCTGGGGAGTGTACAAACCGCGAGGATCGGCTCTTGATGCGTGAAAGATGGGGGCGAGCTTCTCTTTCGGTCTTAGTAGAGAGAGAACCTTCAGCTTCTGGCCTACTGATGACTCAGCAGACAAGGGTGCGGCTGGCTTGCAGTTCGCGCTGGCCCTTGTAGCTGCATCCTTCTTGGGTAGCCGGTAGGGCACAAACGCCTCGATTTGGCGGTCCTTGAAGTCGATGTCAAGTATGACAACCTCATTGACATCCCTGTCCTTGCACTTGACGACCTTCTGTTTGTCTAAGTACTTGATGAACTTCTTGAGATTCTTCCAACTTGATTTCTTGATCTGCAGCGACGCAGCGCGCGCGGGCGTATGAGTAGGGAGGAAGGGCTGTACGAGCAAAGTCATGACAGCCGACTGCGATAGCGGAAAGTCGAGGCCAAAGTTTGGTTGGTTCCTGTTCTGGTCCATGTGATGCCGCACGCCGAATAGGAAGGCATTCTTGAAGGCATCGTCAATCTCTTGTTCGCAGTCAGTATTCATGCGACAAGTAATCCTCAAAGCTATGACACCCACCCTTAGTGGTCAGCTCCTTATCATCAACAAGATCGACGAAATCCTTATTGCTGGGCGCATCCTCGCCATCCACCCCTTGTGCTTCCTCGGCCTTCGATCTCTCGGTGGGATCAGCGTTAAGCGGGACACCTCCATCTTTGTCGCCGATATCGATGGCTGCTGTTCGCCCAGCCAGACTTGCATCCCCCTCAACTTGCTCGTCCCACGCCTCGATCAGAGCAGGTGGGTCCCGGCCTGGATTGCTGCTGGTGCTCCAGGCCCATAGCTCATCTCCTGCCCAGTGGAAGGTCTCCACGGCATGCCCCTTTGTGCCTTGTGTACTTCCTAGTGAGCTTATGTCGATCAGACATGTGCCAACAGACATGGGTACGGTGGGAGCTTCGAGACTGGCGATGGCGACCACGGCGCCCTTGGTAGCCTTCTTGGGGAATGGGGGACCTCGTTGTATGCCGGGCGTCATAAGATCTGCGCCACCTTGTAACTTCTCGACGACATAAAGCGGTGTGTAGAGGAGCGGTACAATCCTGGGGTTCTGCCAGAGGGTGTACACTGTCGCATTTTTAGCTTAGACAGAGAAGCTCATAAACCGAAGAGCGCTCTGACCTGTTGGATACATTTGCTGCCCAATTTTGACCCAAAGTATCCGCTGCTCGCCTCCTGTCCCCTCGTGACTGCCAACGTACACTGTGCCTGACACTTGCTTCAGATCTGGGCCTGCTGTAGTTGTGAAGCGGGCAGAGAGCGCGTTCTCTGGTAGCAGCGATCTTCGTACTACTGTCAGCCCTACTGTGAAAGCTGCCTTGTCTTCTGGGTCGCCGTTTGGATTTACTGGCACCTCAATGCCAAAGTCGGCGATGATCTGGTCCGCTGTTCGGCGGCGATCGCTCGACTTTAGCGGCGAGAGCGGCTTGATCTAGACACTGTGAGCATGCAAAGCAGCCAGACACTCAGGCGCGAGAGATCATACATTTGGCTTCTTTTTGAACATGATGTGCGTTGAGCAGCTTGGAACGAATATGGTTGTGCAGCAATTGCGTTGGTGTTGATATGCGGCAACAATTGCACGCGGGGCTCTACGTATGACGTGGGGCAGGCGCGTTCACAGATTACAACGCGCTAGTACCCTTTACGATCGTCAATAATTAAGTCGAGTCCGCTCATACTGAAGTCTGTTGTGAAGTAATGTAATAATGTATTGTGATCTCCAGTCTTGCCTATGCTGTTTTTCGGTGTCTCTGGAACGGAGGTCATGTGGCCCAGTAAGTGCAGGTAGCCTCCTCTGCGTGTAGCACCAGATGTGTTTCCGCATCCCTGAAGCGCAATGAGCTTTTGTCGCAGCTATACTACACACACGCGTGACGACATTGATAGAACGACTAAGCTGCAGCGTACTGAGGTCAATCCGGTCGAGCGAACTCGAGCCTCATATGCACAGACTTTCGGGCTTCTGAGCTGGAGCTTCACGGTTTCCATTGTCTTAGAGAGCCTTGGGGCTTGAGCCAACATGGCACCTAGATGTGTTTTAGTGCACTCGTGACACGACTCCATACCGTGCTACACCTTCAGCTGCGTAGCATTCGATACCGTATAAACCCGCGATTGCTGTTTAGGCTAAGAGTTGTACCAAAAGAACGAACACCAGGCTCCAGCCAACAGCACTGCACCAGTCACTGCCTAAGTTGATTGGGTGGCACTCCTGCGTCGGAATCACTAGCCTAAACAGCAATCGCTGATACGCACGGTATTCAAGGTGATGCTTACGAGTCACACATTGTGGCCTCAATGATCCTGGCTCTCCGGTCCGAGTTCGTCTACCGAACTCAAAGCCACCCAAACTTCTCCAGGAACTGCGCCTGAAGGCTGAAGGATGAAGGCTGAAGGAGCCAATCGAGCACATCCCCCGGATTCCAGCTTGATGGCCAGGCCGCTCGGCTGCCACAGTCCAGTGAATGTGCCACGCCAACCGTTTTTTGGAAGATCGGCCCATGGCTCGGTCGGTTTCTGGATCACCTCAGCAGCCAACAACCAAGCCTCCGAAGAACGAGCATTACGAGCACTGCGCCTGTGTGCCCTCACACACGGTCGTGTTGATTGCGTGCGACTGCAATCACAACGCGATGAGACGCCCTCTGCACCACTGCGACACGCATTTCCCGTCAAACGCAGAGCCTGACGCGTCGTCAGTGGGCAAACCATGCCCTTTGTCAACGAATCGAAGGATGACAAACGCCGCTCGTGGACGGCAAATCACTGCAAGCCTTGGCGTAGTCTGGATCCTGCTTTGCCGAACATGAGCGAATCTTGAGCAGTTTGTCGTGTCAAGCCCTGTCTGCCGTTGAGGAAGTGGCGGCAGGCGACCCTCTCTCAATGACGCTATCGCTCCTTTCAGCAAAGTGTCATCCTCACCAGGTCTGCGCGTGAAGCCTCTGCCCACGTCCTCCACATCGGTCATGGCATTGCGGAGAAATGGCGGAGGGTCATGACAACGCCCGCGTCGCCCGCTCGTTGTGTCTCTTACCTCCTGCTCCCCCTCTTCAGCCTCTCGACTTGTGCCCATCTTTTCTCATTTGCCATGGTGAGGTGGTTGAGGCTTAACATCGAACGACTTTGCGATTGAATCGCCCGTACCGCCGCCCAGCACCTCACACAACATCCTGAATTTCGAAAATTCTGCCTTCGTCATGAGCCCCATACCGGATCTCGCAAAACGCTGGGTCCAGGGAGAAGTGGTCCCCAAACCCACAAACCCTGGCGAATTGGTTCTCGAAGCATGGGCAATGGGCTACCTTGTGGGGTCACTCGTGATTATGGGCTTCATCACTCTTGCCAACATGCGAAGAGGTGTATTATTGCACAAAGTAAGTAAACACCGCACAACCTGCTGCTATGGAATGCTGACTGGGTCTAGTTAATTTTACTTGAAGTGGGTTGTGTTGCCGCGTATGAGGCCTCCAGCTAACCAAGCAACAGCTCGTCATGGGTCTCTGGCAAGGCTTATATCTCTTCTTCAACAGCCCTGTACATGCGTGGTGGTTATCCGTATCCGCCATCTTCTTGAATGCTTCGTGGTCGCTGCATAACGTCATTGCCTGGATGAAAATAAAGCCTTTCCTTTCGAAGCCTGTCAGCTATACCTTCATTGGTACTGTCATCTTAGTACAACCCTACTGGATAGCCGAGATTTACGCCAATTTTTCTTACTTCCACGGCGTCAACACTATCTTCCTCAAAACAAGACCTTGGGAAGCACTCTGCCGGGACCCTTGGTGGATCATTACCACTGTCTACCTATTCTGGATCATCAAGACACAGTATGAAATGGGATTGAAGGAGATACTCCGCATTTCACCACGCTTTGCCATCATGCTATTAGCCATGATCATGTCTATGGTCTTTATTCTTCTCGACATTCTCTGCGTTACTGGTGCCATCCGATTCGTGGGACTGGCCACTGGCATTAACCCCTTCTGGAAATTAGCGTTTGTGTTCAAGTGCTTGACGGATTCGGTCGTTTTAGATGATTTTAAGATGGCTCTGGATCGCCTGCGAGCGTTCAAGATCAGTCGACTAGGCAGTTTCTCTGGCGACATGAGCGATAGCCGGAACAGGAACAACGGCGAGCTCGTAGCGACGTGGGAAGAGATGGAAAGAGAGGCGAACACACTCCAGCAGGTGCGGAGTCCAGACGGTGATTACATCCACTCCAGCAACTTCCCTTGCAAGCCAAGGAGGCACCGCAAGCCGAAAGACTCGATATTTTCCAACGATCCCATCGACCCAAATGCTGGCATGTCGCCAGAAGACACGGTTTCTAGTGCATTGGATGACACGCCAATGCGAACATTAGAACTCGCACACACCGACATGAGGAAGCCGCAGCACCACTTCATGGACGACCTGGATAGCCGAACTCGTGGTATGACTGCAGAAACAGACTACGCTGCAGCATTACGAGAAGTGCAGCGCAACAGCAGGACGTCTGTGCCGTCGAGCAGCAGCTCTTCCGGGCGAGCTGCACCGCCAGGTCCAAAGCAAAGTTGAGAACCTTTCTCACGATTGATGATTTAGCGATTGCGTGATTGGCGTTCTGATCAAAACCACCGGACTTCGGTTTGCTTTAGCACTATATACCCCTACGGCGCTGCTCGACACCTGTGGCACGCCCTATCAGTACTAGCATCCATTTACTTGTAGTAATTCCAACGAGCCTGAGGCATTTGCGTCCTCTTGGCATCTCACATACGCATGCGTAACCACCTTTCATTTTCCATGCTCCTGTACGTCACTCGTCCGGAGCGCCTCACGAAAGCGTCCTCAAAATCTTGGCTGTACGTTCGAATGTGCAGTTTGGCGTCACGAAACCCGTGCATCCATGCGTCGATCGTTCCTTGCCCCGATTGTTTCCATCTTCCTGAAACGTCAGGGTCGGTTGCCGCCGTCAAAGTGTCGGTTGGAACCAAACGAGCTCGGGCTATCTCTCTACAACATACTGATATGCTTGTAGGGCGTCAGCTGGCATGAAACATGCCAAGAAGCAACGCGTCACGAGCAATAAGGGCAGTCTTCTGCGATGACCCGCATCCCGGCTTGGCGAGCGATTGGATAGATAGTGGAGGAGAATACCCTTATTTCTATATAAGCTCGCACTGCTGTAGCTTGGTGAAGGCATCCAGCTCTTCGTCTATACTTCATCACATTCGTTCCTATATTTTGCCTGCGGGTCAGTCACTCTTTGTCATTTCAATTCAGACATTATGCTCTCTAAGTCCTTCCTCCTCTCTCTCTTCGCCTCCAGCGTAGCGGCTGCTGGCGTAACAGGCTCCCCATCTGGGTTCGCTGCATCAACCACTGGTGGTGGTGATGCTGAACCTGTGACGCCGACCACCACCGAAGAGTTGGTCAGCTATCTTACCGATGACGAGGCACGCGTTATCATCTTGAACCAGGAGTTCAACTTCCTTGGTACAGAGGGCGAGACCACCGAAAATGGCTGCCGTCCCGACTCCAACAGCTGTCCCGACAATGGTGGTCAGGATGCCATCGACGGCGCCAATTGGGTAAGCATCATCCTCGATACATCAAAACCCTGATCTATCTAATATCAAGCAGTGCACCAACTCCGACTACCCCACCGTCTCCGTGACTTACGACAACGCCGCCATCACGCCCATTAACGTGAAATCTAACAAGTCTATCGTCGGCGAAGGCACCAAAGGCGTAATTCGCGGCAAAGGTCTCCGCTTCGCAGGCGTCGAAAACATTATCGTGCAAAACATCCACGTCACCGAGCTGAACCCGCAGTACATCTGGGGCGGCGATGCCATCACGCTCGCTGGCACGGATCTGATCTGGATCGACCACGTTAAGACTTCGCTCATCGGCCGCCAACACATCGTTGCGGGCTACGACCCCAGTAACCGCGTCACTATCTCCAACACTGAGATTGATGGCAACACGAACTGGTCGGCGTCCTGTGATAATCACCACTACTGGGCTATCCTGCTCATTGGAAGCGGGGATAAGATTACGTTCCAGGGTAACTACATCCACCACACTTCTGGCCGCAGCCCGAAGGTCGGCGGTACGGACGAAGGGACACTGCTTCATGCCCTCAATAACTACTTCTACGACAATACCGGTCACGCATTTTCCATCGCTGAGGACGAGAATGGTCGCGTTCTTGCGGAGGGTAACGTCTTCGAGTCGGTCACTACGCCTATCGAGTCTGGTTTTGATTTGCTTTACGCGGTCACCGACAACGGTGCAGCTTGCAGCAGCCCACTTGGTCGCACTTGCCAGGTCAACCAGTTAACTAGCTCTGGTTCCTGGAGTGGAAGTGCCACTGGCTTTTTGAGTAGCTTCGCGGACGAGGGTGTTGAGGCTGTGGCGGCGAGCGGCGTTGCTGCCAGTGTCAAGAGCAACGCTGGTGTTGGAAAGCTATAAGAATCGAGTCAAGATATGGCCATGACTTTTGAGGCGAATGAGTACGTAGTCGTCGATGTTACGAGCTCCTGCCCAGCTCGTGTGGAGGAAGACTAGCACAGTTCACAGTCAGGTATGTAGAGCCTCGATCGGGCCGATTGGGCTTCCCTTCAAACCAAATATAATGTTCGTTCTTTCGACTCTTCTCTGCCGTGAATTTTGCGCGATTGTTGTATCACCACAGTTCTCACACAGTCAGTTTACGCCATTCGGATGATGCATTCCAAGCGAGAGCCCCGCCAGCGGCGGTGTAGCCTCGCTATCTCCCTCCGACCTTGATCCTCACTACTCTCATCTGCACAGCGTATGCTACCTCCTATCCATCAAGCAACACGTGCGACGTATCGCCGAACACTCCGACATGATCCTCTCATCAGGTCGAAGCTCTGCTGTTATGTGGCTCATGCACGCAACGACTCGTCGGCTGAATAAGTTGAAAGTTCTTTAATGCTGACATTCCACCCTACGCCATCCTCTCACATACATGGGGCGAGGGGAGGTTACCTTTCAGGGCCTGAGCGTAGAAAATGACAAAGAAAGTAAAGGGTACACTAAAATCGAGGGCTGCTGCCAAGAAGCGTTGGAAGACAGTTTATCCTAAGTATGGGTGGACACTTGCTATATTGATAAGACAAGCAGCGCGAAACTTTTGGAAACAATCAATTCGATGTTCCAGCGGTATAGCGCAGTAAATGGATGCTATGCGTATTCGGAAGATGTAAGTCAAGGCGAGGATCCACTCGACATGGGTTTTTCATTCTGGTCGAGTCGGCGGTTCACCCGAGGCTGGACATTGCAAGAATTGCTCGCTCCTAATCGCCTGGTCTTCCCCGACAGATCTTGAACACCTTCCGTTGATACCGATACATCTGAGTGATCGGCAGACTTGCTGGCTCGAATTACAGGTCTTTCACTCTAAGTGCTGAACAGGAAGGGATTACGCACACGAATACACAATGTATATATTGCGTGCAAGCTGTCTTGGTCAGCAAGACGAAAAAAACCCTGGGTAGAGGACATAGCATACTGTCTTCTGGGAATACTGCTAGTCAATGTGCCCTTGTTGTACGGAGCGGGCGACAAAGCCTCCCTGCATTCGCAGGAAGCCGCAATGAATAACTCAGACGATATTAGTTCTCTAGTCTGGGGATACATGATGCCTTGAACACAACTCGAATCTATCGGGAGCGACCCAATCCTTGCTACTTCTCCGGCTGCTTTCAAAAATTGGCCGCAGTGTAACCTTCATCACGTTAGGTATGCACAAGATCCGCTCGCAGGACCATCTGATTACAAAACGCGTCTCTGCGATCTGACCACACTGAGATCCGTACAGCAACTGGTTGTCGCTTCTTCCGCTATCTGTGGCGCCTCGCTCGTTTTCAATTTGTCCGACGGATGAGAGCATGGTACTGTAACATACCTCTTGCTCTGGACAAACCCTTTGATCGTCGATATATGAATTACGAGCAAAATCCACTTCCAACGGTAGAGGATGGCACGAACTGCCGCCGTTTACACCCAATATTCAGAATTAATATTCAGTTGCTCTCTACTGCGGGGTTTACTGGAGCCTATTGTCATGCTCACGCAGCCACAGCTTGGACAAAGCCTGACAGATTCTGAAAGCTGGAAGGTAACGCTGATTTTACCATACAGGTACATGACGGACGCTATGGGACGTGCGCGATACTACGAGAGTTGCGGTAACGTAGTAGGTTCCACATTCACGACTTCCACCAGCTGTAAAACCGATTCTTCACGCGAGGCTTTACTAGGGTCTGCGGCGGACGTATGAATCTGGCACAGCACGATTGGACGGTGGGGACCAGTCATTGGGTATGAAAAGCATCATTGACCTTCAATCATTCCCTGAGAAATAGCATGCTACAAATCAACAATGACCACGACCTTGCCATCACCGCAAACGATAAATTAAGTTGATGTACTGCTTTGCAAGGCAGTCCGAACCTACTTATTCGCACCACCACCGCCATTTGACTTGCCGCCATCATTTTTATCACCGGCCGACAGCGCCTTAGCAGCGAACGATCTCTGATCGGAGCTATTTCCACCCTTGGCCTGCGTCGAGTTAAGCATACATCGACTACATATCACGGGTATCTCCTTCTACTTACTTGCGAGAGACGAATCATCCTTGGTCATGCTGGGGTTACTGCTGCCCTGTTGGCCTTGGTTCTGGTTGTTGCTGCTCATGATGAAGATGGAAGCTACTGGGTTGAGAGTAGACGTTTGAAAGTACTGGACGAGACAGTGAGGTCGTGGGGATGTTGATGCTGGAGAACTTCGGAGCTTCTGAGTTCATCAACTAATGTTCCTGGTAGGTAGCGCAAGATGGTGCTTTTGTAGGTCTTCAAGCTTGCTAGATTTGGACTGCGTGAGGACCAATGTGTGCGGCTTGCACATGAGAATTGTATTCGCAATTATGCAGCTGGTGGAGTCTGCCCAAGTTTCACGCACGCCTTCGATTCGCAGAAATCCTGTGAGCTCGGCCTTCGATGCGATATCTCTCAGGACTACACAAGCTGTTCTTGGGTATGATACATGGGCTGTCCATCGTTATAGCTGCACCCGATTCTGCTTATAACAGCAGCTATTGTCGACGGAGCACCTGTGCTCAAAGTTCTGAAGACTATAATTCTTAAGATTGCCTGTAAAGGCAAAGAGACACACGTGACTCCTTTAGTCTAAGCAAGATATTATTCTAGAAACTGTAAAGCATAAGGGGCAAAGACAGGAAACACTTACACGAAGAAAGGACACTTGGGCACACTTAACACGTTGCAAAGGGCAGGCGGGGACTGCCATAACAACGATGCTATAATCAAATGTTTAGAGATTAGGAGTGGCTTGAACCCCCCTTTATCTACTGCTACAAAGTTTGAACCTCTTGTGAACGCACGCTCAACATAAAGGGGGCAAGACAGGGTAGTATTAGCCCTCAGCAGGCGGAGAACACCGCAAGATACCTTTTCTGAAGTTAGCGATCAGATCGATTACGGATAGCGCGTGTTTACAGATGTGATTGTGATCAATGAGCATGATGTGCGTAAGAACGGGGCGTGGTTTGCTGTGTAGTTGATTGCCGTAACACGTTAATGTTTTGCTCACCTCGTTTGTATAGAAGAGAGCGTTAGTTCTGATTCCGGGTCCACACATCGATGGGTCGAGGTTTTGACTTCCGCACATCGTCATTGAGCGTTCAAGTCGTGAAACTCTTCACGCTAACCATTGTACCTGTGGCAGCATGCTGTAGGACAAACTTATGTGAGGCTAAAGCACGGATAAAGTTGGTGAGATAACCATCGTACAAGCGGCAGGAGGTTTTGCGGCTCGAACCACATGAGTTGGTATTCTCGTTGTGCTTTTCGTTGATCGCGCTGTCGACGCAAGGGGAACACATTAGATACATGGATCTTCCAGAGACCGTCTGCCACGCTGCAGACACGCAGTGGATCTCCAGCCACTCATGCGGAAGTCGGCTTTAAGCTTTTGGTCACGACTCGTGTTGGCCACCTCGCGCGGCAGATAGTTAGAAGTGGCGAGGCTGGTGAATGCGCGGTGACGGTGATCGTTGTGCGTGTCAGGAAAATATCGCAATCACAATCAGGGATCGAATTACGGGTCCAGATGATTGCGCATCACGATCGATAGTTGCCATCGCACTGTACACACAGGCATTGTTGCGCGGCTTGCCGTCTCAAGTGCTCATGTCCTGACTTCGACCGTGAAGTCCGCGCAATCGAGGGGCCTGGGCAACACATCGTCAAACAGCAGTGGGCTGTTGAGCCACGGTTAAGCTGGTCGCGCATGCGTGTTGGTGGAGTGTAGAGCGGAGGCCTGGGTGGCAGGGAGGATCTGCGAGCAAGCCTCTGGCTGAAACGCGCGACTTCTTGGCACTGCACTCGCCTCTCCCATTTCGAGCGTCTCTGACCACCCATCAGACCCGCATAACGAACAGCGATGTAAGCGAGTGACACTCCTGGGAAGCGCTGTGAGCTCTCGGCCTGCCATAAGGCAAAGGCTTGCGATCGTGGTACAGGGCCTCGTGTTCTCTTATTGATAGATTTTTCTGCGGTGCGCCGTCTCCAGTCGGTCTTCGTTGGGTTTTCACCTGCATAAGACTGATGTCCAGACGACAGCTCTATCCCGGCAACTGAGCAAATACTTCCTGGGGCTGAAGAGGTCCACTTTGGTACTTCGACGCGGGCGAGCGACGGATGTGATTGGTATCACCAATTCGAGTGCACGCTTGTACCTGGCCTGACGTACCTAGTGGAAGCACTGTCGCCCATAGCATGGGGATTGTCGAGGCGGTGCGCAAGTGCTTCCATGGTTTGTTGGTGCCAGTATTTGTACTCGGCCTGTTCCTCGTTGCGTCACGCCTGCCATTTCATCCGGCCCCATAATATCTAGTGTCTGTTGTCTAAAGATTAAGAAGAGCCTTGCACCCGTTGCACGGAAGGCCTGTTACTCACCACTACGACCCGAACCGATTGTGACTGGGTCTTCGAGCTCACCATCGCCGCTTCGAGTGAACGTCACCTGAACAAGTGGAAAGAGTTAGAGCTATCGGGCCTAGCACCACATTGTCGACCGGTCCCACGTGACCTCGCGTTTGCTCCTTCCTGCTCGACCTTCTTAAGGTCATCGTCACTGAGCAAACCACTCTTACCCCGCCCGCACCACACTCTCTTTTCGCCCTCCGCCAGCTGGAACCATTCGTTCCAATTCCAGCTGTAATAAACGCAGTCCTTCAGGGTCTCTGATCCACTATTCGTTCTACCCGGCCACTCATTCGCGCCATTGTTTGTCAATCTACATCATGCAGACTTTCGCTCTTCTCGCCCTGACGGGCTTCACGTCGCTCGTTCAGTCAACACCAGTGGCTCCGGCCCAACCACGCTCGCTTCCTCAAGCCCAACCATACCTCCAGACTCGACAGGCTAACAACTCGTCAATGCCAGCATGTGCTCAAGTCTCAGAAGCAATGTACGGAGATGGTACTGCAACTGCTAAACAAGTTGTCCCTGCTGGAATCGCTTGGGACTGCATCAACAGCGTAAAACTCAACGCCACCTCTGCCAAGCTCCTCATTGAGTCCATCAAGCCTTACATTGAGTGGCAGAGCACCCTAACCGTCCTGAAGAATCCACCTGCGGAGTATGCAGAGAAAGTGCAGCCTGCGGTTGACATCATGGGCGGTCTTGACCAAATCATCAGCGATGTCGACTCCGGAAATTTCGCCAACGAGTACGCCTTCGGGTGGGCACTCTACACCTTGATTCAGAGTGCTCACGATGGTCACTTCTCCTTTGTCCCTGACTCCATTGGCGGTATCTTTCAGTGGGGTCGTAACGTGCCTCTTGTCTCGGTTTCCGAGGATGGCGAGCAGCTCCCTGCTGTCTTCGCCTTTGAGGACGTCCTTGGGCTGCAGTACAAGAACATCTCGTACACCCCCTCAGCAGTCGCCAAAATCGATGGAGCCGAAGCAACCGAATATCTGCAGACTCTGAGCCAGCTTGGATCTCTTCAGGACCGCGATGCCCTCTATAACAACGTCTTCTATGAACTCGCGCAGGTTGGCCTTGGCGACTCTGGAAGTGGCACCGGCATGTTCACGGGTGGCGGTCGCGGTCGCTATGTCTACCCAGGAGCGACCACGACCTTCACCTTTGCCAACGGTACTGAGCGCACGATCGAGAACTATGCTCGTGTACGATACAGCTTCAGAAACGTCAACAGCAGCGAGACTCTTGCCAAGGAATGGTTTACGTACGGTAGTGCGGCTTCTGCACAGACAGCATCGCAAGAGTCCAAGACCATCTTGGCAGCAGCAGCCTCTGGAGCTACAGGACCTGGCTACCCGGATCCCGTGTCCATTGGCCCTTTCAACCTGATCAACGGGTTCTACATCGATGGAGACGAGTACAAAGATGTCGCTGTTCTATCGATCCCGAACTTTGTCGGTACTTCAGCCGCCCAGAAAGCCTTCCAGGCCACTTCAAAAGAATTCCTCGCGAAGGCGCTCGCAGATGGGAAGACCAAGCTCATCCTTGATCTCCAGGCCAATGGAGGTGGTACTATCCTGCAGGGCTACGACTTGTTCAAGCAGCTCTTCCCCGACTACGATCCTTACGGCGCCAATCGGTACCGTGCTACTGAGGCAGCTGACCTCATCGGCCAAACGTACAGCCAGCGCGCGTCCTTGGCCCCTCGTGGTTCCAACAGCTCTTTGTCATTGGCACAGGCATCCTACTTCGACTACCACCAGGATATGACTGCGGATGGTAGGTCATTCACCTCGTGGGCAGAGAAGTTTGGTCCCCACGACGTCAACGGCGACAACTACACCATGCTCTCACGCTGGAATCTCTCCGACTACTACACCAATGTCAGCTCCGGCGGAATCTACGTCACCGGCTACGGACCTCTTTCCAACATTACGGGACCACCAAAGTTCCAGCCTGAGAACATCGTCATCGTCACGGACGGATACTGCGCTTCAACCTGTACCATCTTCAGCGAGTTCCTCACCAAGCAGGCTGGTGTCAAGACCATCGCTATGGGAGGCCGCAGTAACAAGAACGCCATTCAGGCCATTGGCGGCGTCAAGGGCGTGAACAACTATCAATTCGGATATATCCAGCAGGCTGCGCAGTACTCTATGCGATGGAACCCTGCAATGAAGGATACAATCCTCGCTGGCTTCAACAACGATATGCCCTACTACCGAGCAGCTGCTGGTGTGTCTCCAGGTGTTAATGTTCGCGACGGCCTGTCACAGAATGACACCTCCGGCATTGCTCTGCAGTTTGTATATGAAGAGGCCGACTGCCGCTTGTACTATACTCCGGAGATGACTGTTGATATAACAGCGCTCTGGAAAGCAGCTGCTGACGCTCGATGGGGCCAGGGCGGCAAGTGCGTCGCTGGCGGGAACTACGGACAGAAGCGCAGCAGCTACGAAGCCACTACTGAGCTCAAGCCTCGGCGCGTCCACGTTTCCCAGGCCGTTGCTGTGAAGAAGGTAGAGGCTTTCGAGAAGAGCTTTGGCCTGGAGACCAACTGCCACATGACAGGAGACGGCTTCATGCACCCGTGAGTGCACCGATGAGGTGCGAGTCTATGTTGTTGCGACGCAGGACTGGTATGTCTACAGGGGCGGCGTTTATTCATAGCATATCAGCTAAATGCAGGCACATGGTTTGAGGGAAGGCTTTCTCTCCGGTACATAATAATGGAAGCATGTATCGATGCGACGAATAAAGAATACTACACTGGAGTCAATGCTCCGTCGCAATGCATATTCCCAATTATCGTCATTTGTGATGGTACGAGTTTGTGACACCCGTCTGGAGGGCAACAGCTGTTGACCCAAACATCGCGGTGGCTTGCTCGTGTGTGAACGAGACGCTGACGTCGTGCCCGTCTTGCCCTGCTCGGTTGTTCCGCGCTTCCAAAAATAGCATAGGATCATCGTATGTCGATGCAGGGCCGGCCATGTCCACAGAAACTCGTACCGGTGAGTGGCCCTGTTGCAGAACTCCTCAAGAGGAATGGACCAAAGTGCGCTGGATGGTGATGTTCTCAGTGATGGCCTGCTGATGGCTGGTGCATGTCACTCGACGCATTTAAGAGAGCTCGAACCCCTTGTCGCAGATCCGAGGATTGCAGTCAGCCCTAAACAGCCTGTTTATTTGACCAGGAGCAAACATGAGTAATTTTGACAAGTCATGTTGTCGGCAGCCAATGCAAGGCCGTCCTCCAGTCCTGGCACAGGCTACCTCGGAGCAAAACGAGAAGTGCGAGGAACATCGTCATCAGCTCGGTTAAGCAAACACTATTGGCAGCAGCTGAGTGACGCAGTTCAGGTACCGTTTGATTGCGACATCGCTCTTCCACGTTGGGACGAAGTGGCGCACTCAGTAGAACCGGGCTATCCGCCTTCCATCAAGTCCTCGTGCGCTACTCGTGCTTCTTGTGGGGTCGCGGGTGCCGTCAGCTCGTATTAGGGCCGAACAGGCAGTCAGCAGAGAGATCGACACAGGGACGCGAGATGAAAAAGCGATATTAGGTGCATGGATAAGTGGCGAGTTATGTTTAGAGGTGAATGCAGGTACGGGGCCTAAGATGAGCGGTATTTAAACGTCGATCGCGTCCACCTGAGAAAGAGCACTCTTGCCGTCGCTTCCTTTCATTTGAGCGACTCAACTGCAACCTACACACTCGCTAGGTTGATGATATGAAGTTCATCTACTCCTTCACGGCGGGTCTGCTCTCCGCGAGCTTGGCTAGCGCTGCTGTCTCCACAGATGGATCGTGTGGCTCAGGAACAAATAAGTACACTTGTCAAGGTAGCGCATTTGGCAACTGCTGCTCTCAGTATGGCTGGTGTGGATCATCGGACGCTCATTGCAAAGCGGGTTGCAACTCTGCCTTCGGTACCTGCAGCGGCATTACACCCACGACTCTCATGTCATCAACTCAGCCTGCCCCAACATCAACACGTACGTCTACAGCTCCATCCTCAACTTCCACCAAGAAGGTTTCCACCGACGCCACCTGCGGCCTCAACAATGGCAGGGCCACGTGCTTGGGCAGCGCTTTCGGCAATTGCTGCAGCGGCTCAGGGTGGTGTGGCTCGACAGCAAATTATTGCGGAGGCACATGCCAATTAGGTTTTGGGAACTGTGGTAGTAACAACCCCTCAGGCACAAGTTCGACGAAGCCAAGTGGAACAGCATCTGCTTCTGCGACTCCTTCAGCGACTGGCGGCGTGCTCCAGTGCTTGAACGGCAAGAATGTCCCCTACAAGATGACCTCGGACGGCGACTACGCTGAGCTTGTCGAGCCTTACAACCTTGCTCTGGCGTATAAGCCTTCCGTCGTTGTCCTTCCCCAGACACAGCAGAACGTTCAGGATGCTGTTGTATGCGCTGGTCAGAATGGTATCAAGGTCCAGGCCAAGTCCGGTGGTCACTCGTACGCAAGCTTCAGCTCTGGCGGCAAGGATGGTGCGATGATGATCAGCCTTCAACCCTTCCAGAACGTCGAACTTGACGCAAGCACCGGCATTACCAAGGTTGGCGGTGGTGTTCGTCTCGGCAACCTCGCTGATGGCATTTACACTCAGGGCCAGAAGGCACTCGCGCACGGAACCTGCCCTGGCGTGGGAATTGGTGGTCACTTCACACACGGCGGCTACGGACACACCTCGCGTCACTGGGGTCTTGCGATGGACCAGATTGTTGCCGCTGACGTTGTCCTTGCTGACGGCTCGCTCATCAAGGCTTCTTCGACCGAGAACTCTGACGTCTTCTGGGGCATCCGCGGTGCTGCTGACTCTCTCGGCATAGTGACCAACTTCTATCTCCAGACTCAGGCCGCTCCCTCCAGCATCACTTACTTCGCCTTCCCGTTCAGCAACATGTACAGCTCCAAGAATGTCTTCACCAATGCTTGGCTTCACCTTCAGAGCTTCGCCAAGAACGCTTCGGTCGTTGACAATAAGATCTCGTTTGGTGTTTACATCGATAACTACGGCACATTTAGCTTGAGCGGTGCTTACTTCGGCACCGTTGATGAGTTTAACTCCAAGGTCAAGGCCGAGCTTCTGCGCACTCTGCCTGCTCCCACTTCTTCTACTGTCAAGGCTTACAGCTGGTACGACTACCTCGTCCTCGTCTCCGGAAAGACCCAGATCAAGGAGCCTCTGAGTGGCTACGATGAGCACGAGAACTTCTTCGCCAAGTCCATCACAGTTCCTGAGCCCACCGGACTCACCTCCGCCGGCCTGAACGCATGGTACGATTACATCAAGGGTACTTCGACTGTGTACTACTCTATCGTCAATCTGTACGGCGGTCCTGGCTCGGCTATCAACTCCAAGGACACTACCTTCGCTGCCTACAACGACCGTGACAGCCTGTGGGTCTTCCAGAACTACGGCTATGGCACCTCATCCACCAACTTCATCAACGGCCTCAACGATGCTATAATCAAGGCACAGCCCCAGACCAACTTCGGCGCATACTTGAACTACGTCGACCCCAGCTATGATGCCGCCACTGCGCACAAGTTGTACTATGGCGATACACTGTATGCGAAGCTATTGACGCTGAAGAAAAAGCTGGATCCTAACAACGTGTTCTGGAATCCCCAGGCCATTGGAGCTTAGGTGTGCAGCTTAGATTGACAAGATGTGGTTTCTGCATAAGCGATTTGGCGTTTGGGTTTATGCTACCGTTGAGTAGTCAGCCATTTTTCAGTAAATATATAGACGCGCACCGACGCATTGACTATCGGCACAATCAAACATCAACGACATTACTCTTATATCATTGTTCAATGCTGCAGCATCTATTCATTTTGGCCTGCCTTTGTCACGTTAGTGAGTTGCTGCCTCTTCTTGAAAGGACGCTAATGCTGCATCGAGGCAAGTGCACACTAGGCAGAGAGAGGGCATCTGCACAAAGTAGACATCACAGCGCACCACCACCGCCATGGATACCATCTGGAAAACCCCTCACGATGATCCTCACATGCCAAGCGTGAACGTTAGTACCTGTCATGGTTGGGGTAACAAGCAGCGCGGCCGTTCCCGAGGCCCCATCGAGTTAATGTGGTGGGCGTGAACGCTTTTGGCATCGCCAAGGGAGCATCTGGTACGATTTACCAGTCTGCCCTTTGACAAAAAGTCCTCCATAGTTAGTTTCATTGACACGATTTGCGCGGACCGATCGCCGCTCGTACTCAGGCAGCCTCATCACGCTCATCGCGAACATCATTTGTTGTTCATCTCATGACTCCAGCATCACGTATTACAGGTCATGTGTCGACCGGAGGACCTCTGATTCAAGTATCAGAGATGTTTTCTAAAGCAGTGGGTTTTCCAGCGACGAGAGAATCGTTCCCCCGAATCATCGACATCACAAAATACAGATCGAACCACCGACAGCGCGGAACTTGACTGATACTCTCTGGGAGGTACCGCGAGCATTTGTGCCGTCTGTTCAATTCGATCTCAAGACACACAAGATCACAGACTGCGTCCCGGACGTGACACCATGCGCCGAGGTCCTGGATCGCGCTCAAGGAGATTGCTACTCGAGAAGGGCTTGAGCCTACAGGGGTGGATATGTTCAAGACCTTGTTGTCGCAACTTACACCGATTGAGTTGGAGACGTGATAGATTTCCTGAACGGTGGTCACTACCCATTTATTCTGCGAAAAAGTGAGGACATAGGCAATGAGCACACGTTTGTCGGAAGCAAGTCGCTCGCATCTTCGGCTCTGACTTACTGTTGATTTCCAACAGTGGAACACGTGTATGAAGCTGTGAAAGCGATGTAGGAGGTATGTTGACCCGCGGTGAAATCGACGAAACGATGTTCAAACTTGTCTAAGCTCAGCCGTATTTGGTTGTGTGCATGTTGGGCTGCACTCACACTTCGATGGCACATAGTGCAACGCAAAATTTGCGACCTTTCACCTAGCCAAATACGTGTTGCGCATTTTTATATGCCAAAGTCAGTTCTCCTCAAAGTGAGCTCGTTGGTACATGTGACAGTTTTCCCCATCTTGCCCGTAAAGACATTGTGCATCAATCCGATCTAATATCTTACATTGCGCTCTTTCCTATTATTGCTGCTCACCATGTTTCTTCAAGCCAAAAATTATTCGGAGCCATTTCCTGATGCGCTTGCTCCGCTTGTTCTTCTTGCTGGAAGTATTCTTCTCCTCTTCTGCACCCGGCACGTAGGCGCGCTGCTGCTCTTCGTCAGCGTGCCGTTGACGGTTCTCTGTACGTCGACGTTCATCCTCTACCAACCATCCCAACACTCCGGCGTGTCCACATTGTTGTGGCCCGCAGCGGAGGAGCTCTCTGTTCGCGGAGCTCTCTGTGCTATTTGTCCGTGTATCAGCAGCATCGTCTACGAGTAGCATACTTGCTGTGTTGGCACATTGTAGCGGGCTGGAACCATGAATGAGTAATGGTCCAGCCGTCGTCAATCCATCTGGATACGCAGAAGCTGGTTCATAGCTTGTAGTCAGTATCGAGATAGTAGTGCTGACCATTTCTTCAGGCCTGTCCGGTGGTGACAGATACGTGTCTTCTGCTTCTCTAATGGTTGGACCGAGTCCTTTATGCAAGCCTGACTGCTTCTCCGCAATTATCGTGAGGCACTTCGCTCGGCGGCTCTTCTTACGAGCGATCTCGTTCTCGGGAAGTTTATCCTTGGTGAACAACCGACCCTTGATCGTTGGTGTTATAGGCACTCCCACGTGTGCCGGAGCCTGGTGCCAGCGCAGTGCGGGATGGATGTCGCTCAGAGTCTTCTCAAACCACTCGTCACGTAGTAAGTCGTACTGATCGCTTAGTCGGATGAGCTTCGGAAGAGCCGAGCCGTAATCTAGTCGTGTGTGGTGGTCGTCGAACGCGATACCTTCGTTCTGTAGCATCCTCTTCAGAACGCGCAGAATAGGCCAAAGTTGGGTTTCCACTACGTGATTCCTTCCATTAAAGAAAGCATGCCATAGCTCATCATACTCAACACCTCCATGTAGCATCTGCTCGAGATCTTCATGCAGTGGAGGGTTCCCGTACGTCTGCATCTTACCATTACTAGTAAATGAGGTACCCATCTCTTTCAGTCGGTTGGAGAGTCCGAGCAGCCGGCCGAGGTCGTGCAGATTGGGCATCTTCTTGGAGTCGCTACGAAGCCGAAACTCAATCTTTTCCTTGTCGGCATCTTTGTTAAATAGCATTGTGTTGCGAGGTAAAGAATTCTCACGGTCTGATCCAGGGTCTTGGCTGCGATCTAAATGGTATGAGCCGCTGTTCGGAACAGACCATTGGTGCAGGCCCGCGGTGCGGTCGTTTGAGGCAACAACGCTGCTGATAGTGTAGGACTTGTTCGATGGGCGCAAGGGAGACCGCAGAGGAAGAGGCGGAATTGGCTCGGTTGGCCGTTGATACATTTGCCCCATGGAACGGAGGTGACGCAGCTTGCGCCTTGACGTACCTTTTAGACAACCTTCCGAGCGCATCTTGCGAACACGAGTCGACGGACTATCCGCTGGCACAGGTATACGGCTTTGGAAAGCCATTGTAGCGGACAAAACACGATCGGCTGCGACAGGAGTGATCCTGCTGCGTTCAGTACAGCTTTTCTCGGTTGAGGTTGATGGTAAGTAGGAAGCCAATGGACAGAGTGGTGGGACAGGCGAGGCAGACATTATTATATATCCTTGACAAGTTGCTCCGAAAGCGAGGGTGAAAGACTTTGCTGCGTTAGGCTCGCGTGAGCCTGTGAAAGCGTGGCCCGACGACTGAAAGTCATTTTCACTGCTACAATCCGTGTTCCGCTTTATAAACCAGCATGTGAGTCTGATGCTGCACTGCGCTGCTTCAACCGAAGGCCGGCTCCCGGAATGACAGAACGAGAAACTTCAGACACACTCACTGCGCCATCGCACTATCCGGTCCGCCATCGTCACGGTTCCTGGGCCTCTTCAACACTGAACAGAAGGCCGGCCCCTCGGCTGAGAGTTCGTGCTCTAAGCCAGCAGCATTCAAACCCATCCCAGACTGACGCATTCATTGAAACTCCCATTGATAACTTCGAGAGCGGAGATTTGGTCAATGCGGCGAAGCCATCAACCACTGGCTGGAATCTCGAAGTTCCTCCTCGGAAGTACCAATATGAAGTATCGCGCAGCCCGAAGTCTAGCGAAAAGACTGTTGCTCAGCTCAGGCAGCGCTTTGAGCAGCGTTCGAGTCGAGATGAGGGAGATGCTGACAATTTAGAAGGGCAGCACCGAGGCCACCGAAGGAGCAAGTCGGTCAGGTCGGCTCTCGTGCTTGTCAATTGTCGAGAAGTTGAGCACCAAGCCAGCGTTGATGAGGTCACATCAGAGCGTGCGTACATCCTGCCACCATTCAGCTTTAGTCCGGCATTAGAGCAGGCTACTGAGCAAACATGCTCTTCTCCAGACTCAGAGCAAACCACAAAAGAAGACACTTTGTCAGTGCCGCGACCTACCGTGTATACTGCAGACTACACCTTTCGATCGGAGCTGGCAGACAAACGTCTGCACTACAACGTTCCGGCGGACTTCAACAAAAAGATGACAACGAGCGAATTTTGGTCTGACGATATCCCACACGCACTTGTTGATGATTTAGTAGGTTCGGAAATTGATGTCAGAATCATCGACTGTGCGTACGTGCATGCCACAAACATGGCTTCCTCGCCTGCACCGGGCCAGAAACATGTTCGTTTTGCTTCGAGATCAGACCATGCTCCTTCGGCGCACTACAAGTCAAGCTCAGATGACTCGACTCGAAGCTCGACAACAGATCTGATCGACCTCGGTGAGTATGACGCATCGCCACCGTTCATGCGTAGGTGCGAGTTCCGAGCTGAAAGGTATGATGGCAGTCCAGGAAGCGAGGAGAAGTTCCCGTTTCTTCCAGCCTCAGATTGCGTATCACCAGGCATGTCTCCAGACGGCATCGTCGAAGACTCCGATGACAAGAAAGGCTTGCTGATTTTTCCTGTTTCACGAACTGCATCTCCGGAGCCAACGATAAGCAGCAATATCGACCAGGAACTCCAGCCGGCATCCCTCGTAGAAACGGAAGACAACGAAGACCAGATTGACACTCAGGGCGACAGTCACGAATATCTGGTGCTGCTTTCTGCATCGGTGCGCGTGCCGCCTGATGTAGTCACCAGTAACATCGAGGAGAAGATCAGTGGCAAAATGACTGAAGTGAGCATTGCCGAGGAACACAGTGGTCAGGAGGACGCATTGTTCCAGCACTCAGACCAATCGAGTCGGCCTATTGGGCAATCTAAGGTTTTGCCGGGCGACAGCGTTGGAGGCAATGATATCAGCGAACCAAGTGCTACAGAACGAGGTCATCCAAGCTTGTCATCGCTTCAGATAAATATGTGGACCGGTCCAAGTTGAAGCCTGGACGGAAGCGACGCAAGATTCGTCGTCTGCTTACGTATATAGGCCTGACCAAATGTTGTAACGACAACGGTGAAGTGGCACCTAGACCTTGCCGGAAGTCATTCGGCCGCCGCATCGGTAAACGTCTGGGCAAGGGTGTTCTGCTAATCGTTGTGTGGAAGTATTGGTGAACGGATGGCGGAACGGTGTTGATCCAGCGGAATTGCTATAGTCTTTAGCAGGGATGATGCACGTGTCCAGCTGTACCAAAGAATCATCAGATCATTGACATAGGATCCGCTCTGAGCCCGACTACAGGATGAATAATGCCGCGTGTATGTGTGTAACATAAATCCAGACGCTGAGCGCGGCAGCAACGCAACGTGGCTTGGCGGGTCCGCACTAGCGCCGATCGCAATCGCGACCCTGAGAGTGACAGAAATGACATTGGACTTCTCGAATGCATCTTTGAAGACTTTGAAACTCTACACGCCCTCTCCTACTCGCGGCATGCCCTAATGACATAATCACGCTTGCCGAGATCCCGTCTTATCGATACTTCTGCGCCTCGTCTGCGCCTCGTTCACTCTCCATGCATCCCCCAATCCGACGATAGGCCAGCGGAGAGGGCAATGCAACCCCGAATACCCAGAAACGTGCAGTCGAAGCTGCTTACCTACGTCGCAGCTACCTGCCTTGTCCTCGCCACGTGCTCATCGAGTCGATCGCCCGTCTACGCGAACGCTGTCGAGATCCCTACCACCCCTCAGCAGGACGACCTTTCCCACATCGAGTCGCCTCTACTAGCCGTCGCCGACCCCGTACACATCAAAGATGGCGCTGCTAAGGAAATTCAAAGCAGTGGCTATGCGCCAGACTTTGCGTACTTCGCACGCAGCTTGCTTGGCCGTCAAGCTGAGGAGGTGGGCAAGCTGAAGAATGATATAAAGATGGAGGTTGACATTTCACCCGAGACCACCGTCTATTTTGTGTTGGAGGAAAGCCAACTGCAGACGCGGAATGAGGCAGTTGACCCGCTGAATGCGCTGGACGCAAGAAGCTCGAGCACTTCTTTCACGAACGAAGGGCAAGAGGCCGACGACTCTACAAGTGACGCTGAGGATATTGAAAGACGAGCTGAGGGATTCGAAACCAGACAGACAGCGCAGAAGAAAATTTGGGTGTCAGCGAACACATGTAAACAGCCTCTGCCAGGAAATAATGCGTCCTCTACAGGCGCGCCTCAGCTCACGCTCTTTGTCTCAACATCAGCACAGAACCAGAAGCCAGGTCCAAGCTCCACCGAGAATCTTGTCACGAATAAGACCGGCATACCTTTTGACAACGGATACATATCGTTTACAGTTAATGCCACTTCTGATGTCTACATCGGAGTCTCCGCTCCAAAATTGAACGACAGCTGGTTCGGCAGCTGGCACTTCGAAGTCGCAGCAAGTACCCACGGTTCCTATCACAGCTACAACAGGACCGATCCTTTCTTGTTCATGGTCGACACTGACAGCGAGTCTACGCTCTTCATTACCTACAACCTCACCGACTCCAACAAAGCGGAGGATATTGCAAAGTGGAATAAATCGAACCCATTCAATATGTACGCCTTCCCAGCGGGCCGGTCACCAGTCACTGGAATGGAGAATTCGTACTGCGCTTTGAAGCAACAGTTCAATTCGACCAACAACATCACTGTAGACACGCAAATCACTACGAAGTTCGGTGCTGGCTTTCCCAAAAGTCAGTTCAATGTGCACAACTTGAGCAATGCTCAGACGTACAACGGGTACCTCGTGGTTGAAGGCAACCAGGAAACAGTGGATCTGCCTGGTGTCGGCAGAGTGCGTGCTGGCGGCAAAGTCTTCCAGCAGTTCAATTGGATTACAAAAGCAGGTAAGTCCATACAGCCAAGCAGACGGCCCTTCAGTATCATGCTAAATTTTCTGCCAGACGACTCTTGCCAAGTTCTGACAGATCTCGCCTTCTGCGATACCGTTGCGTACGCTGTTCCATCATCTCCTGAATACAAATTCGACGATGACAAGCTGAAAGCCCTGTACGATGGTCAGGCGAAGGAGTACTTCAAAAACTTTTCGAATTCGCTTGATCAGATCGCCTGCGATGCGCCCTCGACCGCTCAATATTCGCTTGCTCGCAATTGTACAAATTGTCGAGACGACTACAAAGCATGGCTGTGCTCTGTTCTGATTCCAAGATGTGAGGACTGGACCGCCAGTGATGACTGGCTCGTCCCACGCAATATCAATGCCGAATTCTCGAATGGCACTATTCCTTTTGCAAATAACACGAGCGCAGAATTCAACGCGACTATGCGTGATCGTTTCGGATACAGCAAAAGCCGCAATCCCAAAATCGATGAGGAGATCAAGCCAGGGCCCTACAAGGAGATGCTACCTTGCGAGGACCTATGCTTCGATATTGTCAGAAGTTGTCCTGCACAGCTTGGGTTCGCATGCCCAAACATGCCTGCAAGGGCCCTACAGTATGGTAGACGGGATCCGGGCGCAGATGTCTTGACGTGCAGCTTTCCTGGAGCTGTGGTCAAGCTGAATGTTCAAAGCGGGGCGAGTGTTTTCAGCGGCAAGTCGGACAACGTCGCGCTTGTCGCATTGATGCTCCTGGCGATGTTGGTCACTTCATGGTAAGCAGATCAGTTGATCAAAAGCGGGAGAGGACATGGGTACGGCGCAGTGGTTTGGTGGAGCGGGAGTCCGTGCATTTCTAGGCGTTTGAGAATCAAGGTGGCCCTGTAAGCGATGTGAGACGTGCTGTAGAAATCTCAGTCGCCTACACGCTGGACAGTCTCCGGAGGAACTATTGTTATTGCCCATATACCTGTACGGACACTTGAAACAAGTACATTTGTGATGAGTTGTGAGATTGCGCTAAGCTTCGTCTCACTCCAATTCGCCTTAGCCGATCCTGATCTGCAGGGGACTGCTTAGCTTCCTCTATGACAGACTTAGCAAGCCCCCCGCGAGGATATCAGGCATCCTGTTGTTTTCACGATGCAAATCGTCGCCTCTCGTCAGCACCCATCCAGTGATAATTGCGATTTTGCCGGATGAGCTCGCCTTGAGCGTCCAACCCCTAACGAAGAAGTTCCGGCTGTTCGTCGGTTGCAATGGCCGACATTACGGGGCCTCGACCTCGAAGCAACTCAATACGTGCAGTAAACGCGCATCGCGTCCATAGTAGCTGCGATCGGTGTCGGAGCAGAAAAACCAAGGTACGGTGGAATCTTTCCGTTATTCGAAGCCAAGATTTTGCTGACTAGTTGTGCAGTGTATCGATCCCGGTATGTACGACTCAATTCATTCGTGTCGGCCTCCGGCTCCACACACGCTGACGTCTATCAGTTCCCGGACCATGTCGTTATTGTGCCCGCACGGGAGCGATTTGTACAACAGCTACCCCGCGGAGGAAGCGGCCATTTTACCATGTGACCGAAGAGGAGTATCAACTATCTATGAGTATTCTCTCGAAAGTGTTCCGTGGCCAGCAGCTCAACCTTGAATCCCTACGCAAGATTTCAAAGGCTGCCAAGGACGGCTCACTCATTTTGCCGACTTTGGATGCAGGTAGCTACATCGAGCCGCACCAGTCCCCAGAAGACGACGATGACTACTCTGGTGCAGATACCCTGGGTGAATGGACAGTCGAAGGAGAAAACCTACACGAGCCGCTGGGCAGTATGATGAAAGACTCTCAAGGCGTCTTGCGTTACGTCGGTGCCCAAAGTGACATACCGTTCAACGGAGCGGTTGCAAACTTCTGCGGACCTCAACGGAAGACATATCCCCCACTGGAAAAGAATACAGACATGATCCCTCCCGCAAGAGTTGGTGCCTATCCACCTCAAGAGGAAGGCAAAGAGGAAGTGTTCTGGCTTCCACCGAAAGAGCTTTGCTTCCACTACGTCAAAAGATATCGCGAAGAGGTACACTGCATGTACTGGCTTTATCCCGAAGCAAGACTACTACAACGGATCGAAGATACTTATGAATGGTACGGGTCAGCACCCATGCACTTCACAGTCAAGCTCGAGCATGGCACTCCACCTCCCAGGAGAGGCGTGCGGCCATCCATCTCATGGATATGTTCTATATACGCTATGTGTGCCCTTGGCGCAGCACCGCGCAACTCCGAAGGAAGATCGCTTTCGCCTGGAACCTACGCGGATGTGCCCACCAAAATGTCGGAAGACTATATCGACTTGGTCAAGCAACTCAAACCGAAGGTGGAAGATGCTGCAGATATTGATAGTATACGAGCATTGGCCGTAGCGGTTCGTGAAACGCCACTTTTGACAGGATTAGACTGATAATCTCAGGCCATTGCACTCGAGAACGCACTTCGGAGAGTCACGGCATACCTATACATCGGAACTGCAATCCAAATAGCATGGTCACTGGGTCTACATCGGGACCAATTACCGATGTCAAAGTCTGAGGAAGAACGCGAAGAGAATCGCCGCATATGGTGGACATTGACTACACTCGACCTAGAAATAGGCATGAGAGGCGGTAGTCCAACACTGATTGATGAACGTATTCTAAAGGTCACGACTTCATTACCGCTGGAGCGGATTGGTCGTGAGCCGGTACGTACTCCGGCTTTCGGCTGTCATTCTAGCATCAATACATTCTAACAGCCGCCTGCAGATGAAACCCGAAATCCTAGGGATATATACGCCGCGGAAATGGCTATCGACGTTCCATGACCTAGGTGAATGGAAGCGTCACATCATTCGAACAATGTACACGGAGCGAAAGAACGACGGTGAAGAGTCGCAAAAAATATCATTCTCGACGGTCTCGCACTTACTAGGGAAGCTTCGAGAATGGTATCAAGGCCTACCCATACATCTGAAGCAAGAATCTTATCGGATAGCGCCCGAATTCTACAGGCGCGCGATAATGGTACTTCATCTACACTACTGGAGTACAAAAATACTTCTCACCAGACCTTTCCTACTCAACCTTGTTCTGAACAATCAAAGAATACCATCTGAAAACAAAATCGGTTACGAAAAGATGGCCAACGTGTCTGTCGATGCTGCACAGAGAAGTGTCGAGCTGTTTCAACAGATGGTAGACGATCATACGATATCCAGTCTGACAACGTTCGACAGCACTGCTGTCCTTCGATGCATCACAATCTTCATGTGCGCCTTCGGATACTTTCGGACAACCGGCCCTGGACAGAACGCCAGCGAACGCGTAGCCGTTGCCAAACAAATGAAGGAGTGCGCCAATGACTGCGTTGTCATCGCTAGAAAGATGGAGCAAATCGGGTTTGCGAAGATGATCGTAAAGGAGACGCCAATTCATCTCGAGGCTCTCGGCATGGGCATGGAATCTACACGACAATACCTCAATGCGAGCGACACACCAGACGGACACACTCCTCCAGGTCCGTCGTTCAACCTGGACTTGACCTCACTACAAAACCAGCAGATGATGGGCATTGAGTTTGACGACCCTGGTGCTCTTAATAACGACACGTTCCTTGTGGCTTTCGAGCCCGAATCAGACTACACAAACCTGTATCAGCCTCATCAACAGTACCAGGATCACAGCCAACAGCACCAACAATGGCAATGACCTGCACCGCCCATCTTTAAGCGAGCTCAGGTGTCAGTACAGATTAAATTTTTATATACGATCAAGCAAGCCTTTCGCAAGGCAACGTGTGACTGAGGCCCATAGACTTTGTAAATCATATTCAATTCGCTCGGTGTGTCTTGATAGCCATTCAGGATATTCGAGAATGACCTGCAGGCTGTTCACACGCGATACAGATACCTGACTGAGTCCCCAGCAGCTTGTGATTGTCCACAGACCGCGTGTGCACCGGTAGCAGCTTCCAGATCGACCGCACTAACTTTTCTCGACTTAGTTTGACCCTGCGCACCTCCCCGTGCCTCCTCGTCACCACTGACACCTCGCCATGTCCAGCAGCCTCCCAGTTCTCCAGAACATACGCAATAGGAGATCGCACCCCATTTCTGATGGCCCTCCCGTTCCACCGAAACCCAGCACAGAGCTCTCGCTGTCTCAGCGGCGGGGTCTCCCACCTCCAGAACCGCCCGAGCATTTGAAGCCATTGCCACCTATACCTCGACCTGAACCCATCGAGTCAAAGCCTTTGCCGCGAACGCCAGGAAAGATCAAAATTGGCACGACTGCGCTTTGGGTTGTGGCTTTCGCTATTTGGTTCTTGCTGATCGTGGTCATGATGCCGGTCATTATGGAAAGAGAGGCGATGATTCGGGTCAACGCTTGGTTGAGAGGTTGGTGGTGAAATGATTGCTCTTCCTGATCACAATGAGAGGGTATGTTAAATGTTCTGATGAAGAACCTTCGACTTCTTGGACCCGTCTCACGATCAAGGACCGCAACGGACAAGTACATTGCACGCGTCGAACTCGGATTGCATGTAAACTACAGCTTTGACTCCTGCTTGGTAGCGTCTACCAGGCTCTTCCGCCCACCGAAGCCAAACAAATATGCTGCGATCTTGCGCATCTGTATCTCCTCGCTTCCCTCGGTAATCCTATACCGCCGGTGGTGCCGCCAGATGTGCTCGAATGGGTAGTGCCTCGAATATCCGTTGCCGCCGTGGACTTGGATCGCGCGATCAGCAGCCTGTGTACACAGCCTGTTCGCCCAGTAGTTACACATGGACACTTTATCACCGATTCTCTTCTCAATCTCGTTGTGTGGCATCGAGTCCATTTCCAGCGCTGTCTTGCGGATCAACTGTCGCAGCATCTCGCATTGTGTTGCGAGCTCGACGAGCGGGAATTGGATTCCTTGGTTGTGTGAGAGCGGTGTGCCGAAAGGCGCGCGTTCATTCGCGTATTCGACGGACTGCTGGATGCAGTATACAGCTCCGCCGAGTGAGGAGGCGGCTTGACGGATGCGGTTCTCGTGGACGAAGGCTTGTGCGACGCCCAGGCCGTTGTGGATAGGTCCCAGGGCCGCGCTCTCAGGAACCCAGACGTCCTTGATCGAGACGGTGGCGTGATCGGTCGGCATATTCAATGTCCTACTCAGAATTAGCAATCGCTGCAACTGCAGTTCTGACCGCGACTCACCACTCATACGACTCTGCCTTCAAACCCGGCGTATCCCTCGGCACAATGAAACAACTTATCCCCTTCACCTGTCCATCCTTCCCACTCGTCCTTGCAAAGACTGAGCAATGCGTCGCATGATGCATACCCGTCTGCCACTTCTTATGCCCATTCAGCAGCCATCCATCAACACCATTCTGCCTCTTCGGCACACCCTTGGTACCCATATGCGTCGCATCACTCCCATGCCCGGGCTCTGTCAATCCAAACGTCATCCTAAACTCTCCTCTCAGTCGCGCTGGGATCAACTCAGCCTTCTGTTGCTCACTCCCAAAGTTCATCAACATGATAACATCCGGGAAGTTCCCCACCATACTATGCTCATTCTGCAGATCATTAAATAGTCCCAGCCCCTTCGCCGCCAGGTGTTCTCTTATCACCGCCATCCACAGATTACTCCCGCGCCCATCCTCGCTGTTCTGCCCACCGTACTGCTTTGGCAGCGAGAGACGGTAAAAGCCCGCTTCGTCGGCGAGCCGCCGCGATTCAGACAACAGGTCTTCCCATTCTTTGCGTGGCAGGCCGCCGGCGTCCCAGTCTGTGCGCGCGTGCTCGCGCCGGTGGTCGAAGAAGCGGTCATTGTCATCTTTGTGTTGGAGCGGGAGGATGGTGGTTTCGATGAAGGCGTCGAGGTCGGCAAGGTACTTTTTGAGATCGTCGGGGATTGAGAAGTTCATGGGCGCTGACATTATGTCGTTTTGGCCTGAGGCTCTGTACGTGTGGATTCGAGGCGCCAATGCGTGGCTTCAGCGATACGGATAACTCGTCGGTGATTTCAAGATCGACCCGCAAGCTTGAAACGATATACTGTCGATCGGTACACACATGCTGATGAGTCGCGACGTCTTGTCGACGAAAGCTATAGTTGCATTTGCGGGGAAAGCAAGCACGGGCCTTCATGGCAATTCGACCTCGGCCGTTCTTCAGCCTTGCTTACGGCACTATTCGGCAACTTTTAGTTGACCTCTGCGACGCAATGTCTTGACTTCACTATGTCGACTTTATGCTCTTCTGTGGTGTGATCTGCAATCTTTGACGTCCTGTACATCTCGTTGTTCCCTTGCGGCTCTGGATCCTCGACTTAGACGCTGCGGATCTTTGCTTATGATGCGCTTCAGGACAAGTCCTTAGCATAGAGTATACGGGGAGAATCTCCCCGAGAAAGTGTTTGTCAAAATAGAGATGAGTAGATGACCAAATAAATTGGGGGAGCTCTCCGGTATCGACTCAGGTCACTTCCTCGCCGTCATTCGCCAACTCTCTTCCTCGATACCCGAGCATGCTCAAGAAACCAACGAAAAAAGTGCAAAGGTTACAGCCGACGTACTCCAGTATGTTCGAAAGCTTCCCCTGCACTCTTTGTCAAATGTGACCGAGTCGGACATGGAGCAAACCTTGGAAGCCTTTCCCTCGTCCTTGCCAACATCGAGGCGTTGAAGTTGCAAGCTCTCCTGTCCAAGCAGCAAGTCCCCTGGCGGGAGAACGAGTATGAGAAGCTAGACACTATTCTTCAGCTTGCGAACAACATCTGCCAGGTCACCTGACCAAAGGCGCACAGCGGGTTTCAGGATAATGTTGAGTCTTACGACCGCTTCTGTGGCTTGGGTGTACACGTTCGTTCCGAGGATGGGAAGCATCTGCTCTCGCGTCGATTAGCAGCCCTCGAGGCAGTGCTGAAAATCGCGTCAAGACGGAGCATTGTAGGGGAGCGGCTAGCTCTGTTCGGCAGCCACAGCGACTACGCATCCTCCGCGTCACGATCTTTGAAGAACAATTCACGTACGTCTTCCAAACGCTTTCCACACTGCTATTCCTGAGGCATCTCAGCTTGGAATAGGTGCGCATGCACAGCCTGGAACTGATGGATGCTACGACGTGCCAGACTCCTTGAGATCCTTGACTCTTCAGACCCTCCGTCTCACCGCGTATCTCTGGGTGAACTACACATTGTTCGCTGATGCGGAGATAGACAAAAGATATCTCGTTTGTCACCAAGTCCATTCGACCTCTCAACTCCCTCCAGCATCTGTGCACACTGATCCCTCCGCACACGCACGCCAAGCTCCGCGGCATGCACGGCCTCATCAGGAGTCTACCGGAAGAGTTGCAGACTGTCTCACTGAAAGTAGACCGGTTTCTGGATGCCTGTGCTGATGCCAGATGGCGATGCTACGGAACATCATCAGCGTCGGTGTCGAGAGCGGCGTAATCGAAGACGGTCCCAAGACCAGCAAACAGAGCAATATGCGGTTGATGCGCGACTTGAAAACGCACGCGGAAAGTCGAGGATTTTCAAAACGCTGCGTGGATTTCGCTGAAGTGCGTCAAGGATGCGCGTGCGCTTGCATACGCACTGCTTCGCCTCAGAATGCTCTGCGTGGTCGGTCCACATGTCGAGAGCTCCAAGAACGGATGAAAATGGATGGAGTATCGGGCCACGAGCATCAAAGAAGGCTCCTCGAAGCATGGTGGTTCGCTCGAACCCGTCACTCTTGAAATGAAACGATAAGTCGAGTTCTATCCGTTCGGAGTCGTGCCTCTCTCAATTTTCAAACACGACAAGGTCGCTGGCTAAGGCGCGCTTGAAGATAACAAGATTAGTCTGAAGAAGACCTTTTGCTCGCCAGAGGTTTCGGAGCTGGCGCTGAGCGCCACACGGATGATTGTATCAGGGGCGGAACCAACTGGGATACCTTCCATTGGGCCACGACAGCGTCCACAAGCTGCCGCCGCTTGGAGCAGCCAACATGAGCGACTGAAGAATGACAGAAAATCCGACAAGGCGTGCTGTACACAATAAATATTCCTCTCGCAGATCAAGAAACCTAACAATAACCTCGGATTGCCTCCATGCTGGGTCCGCATCAAAGTGAATAGATGCTTATGCAAAGTGGATTCCGAAACAATCTGCAGTGCGCTACTCAGACCCTCACCTTTCTTTCTGCCCCAGCAGCGGTATCTGCACCTCGTCACCCAATCTCAGCCTCGGCCCCGGAATATCCTCCATCGTCTTCCTCTTAGGGCTGTCACCAATCTTGTTCCACAGAAGCAGCAACTGGACGTGTCCTGGTGTGATACCCAGCTGGCCAGAGCCCCAGTGGAACTGCCAGAGCGAAAGCTTCTCATTGCGCGCAGGCACCTTTTTGGCATCGTAGTAGCATGCTACGTCGCCGAAGCAGAGGTATACTTGTGAGAAGCCGTCCTGTGCACACGTGAGCTGGATATTCCAACCGTGGGAGGATGGACTTACGATTGTGTAGAGTTGGTCGTAGATGGTCGACGCGTATGTCGCGTTACAGTTCCAGGCATGGTCCGACTGCCCATACTTGCTGTCAGTGTTACGGTCCTGCGACTCATCGTTGAACGTGCAGTTGCCCTTCTTGGTCGACAGGGTGTACGGGAAGGCGTCTAGTCTGGTGAAGATTCCGCATGCTGCTCTGCCGTTTGCGGCGATAAACTTGCCATCCTCGCTCAAGCAGCCGACCTTGTCTGCAGTTGGCGACGCGGTGCGCCAGTCACTGGAGTTCAAGACGAAGATGTTGCCGATGCCGGTGAAGTTTTTCTGTGTTATGCTGGCGTTTGCGCCGAGTGCGAAGAGCAAGAAGCTCAGAACGCTGATGGTGACGTGCATCCTGATCGCTGCAAGGAGGTGTGTGGTAAACAGCTGAGGATCCTCACGGCTCGCGGGACATGCAACTCTTATTCGAAAGAAGCTCGCAACGTGGGGCCGCATGGGTGCACAAGCTTGGGTGCCGGGCGCCGCTATCAGATTGTTTGCTGAGGATGAACCTTCTTCCCAACCCTGTTCCCGCCTTCTTTTTCTGTGGGTTAGATGGAATGAAATCTCAAGAGCCTATTGCCTGCGTCTTGCACTGTGGAGCGCACACCGTTCGCAGCTTCCGAAACCGACCAAGGGTAGAGTCTCAATCAAGCAGCCGGCCTTGTATCTGCAATGTTCATCTCTTTGGGCAACGGGCGATGCTGACAGGTTGGAATGCTTGCTCCTTTTGACGAATCGGCAGATGGACGTCGTACAGAATCAACCAGATTGAGTGCGTCACGGGCCACAGCAATATGAGCGGACGAACGAGATGCCCGATGGAGATGAGGAGGGAGAGCGATAGATCGGTGCAAATCATTAACGCCCGGCTTATGCTTCAGATAAGTCGATTGAGGAATGCAGCAGCTCTTGGTAAGAAGCTTGTCAGCAAGAAGTGGTTCCGAGTCGGACATTGAGGAGAGGCAGGTCCTGCCGAAGCTAACCTTCAGCGTCTCGTCTACAGGGACCGTGCACGCGAACTCCATAACGTGCCAATTTCCTCAACACCATAACTTCACAACGGCATGGATTTAGAAGCTGCGCTTGAAGCCTGTGACAGAGCAGATGCAGCTGGTGAACTTTCTTATACCAAAATTGCTGACCAAAGCTTAGTGTCGCGATCTACGCTGTCGCGGCGGCACCGACGCGTATGCGCGTCGCGTGAAGAAGGCAACTCCACACGTCAAAAGCTCAACCCACAACAAGAGTATGAGCTTGTTAGTTATATAAATGAGCTTACAGAGCAAGGGCTACCACCTACAAGGCAAATAGTGCAAAACTTTGCATCAGAAATAGCCCAACAGTACGTTGGAGATAGCTGGGTTACCAGGTTCCTGCACCGTCACCCCGATGAGCTCCTATACAAATGGACCTCCGCCATGGACGCCTCACGTCACAACGCCGACGATAGCGAAAAGTACTCATACTATTTTAACCTACTACGTTCCAAGATCGACCAATACTCTATCAAGCCACAGCACACGTACAATATGGATGAGAAGGGCCTAGCGATTGGATTGGTGAATAGGAGCAAAAGGGTGTTTAGTAAGGCAGCTTGGGAAGCCGGAGGCAAACGCCAAAGCTTGCAGGATGGCAATAGAGAGTGGGTAACAATTCTCGCAGCTATCTGCGCTGACGGTTCAACGTTGCCGCCAGCCATCATATATGCAGGCCAGCCAAACAGTCTACAATCCTCCTGGATGGAGGACCTGGACGCAGGCAAAGACTCTATATACTCTACTGCAACGCCCTCTGGCTGGTCCAACGACGAGGTTGGTCTTGCCTGGCTTGAACAGGTGTTTGAGCGGGAAAATGCGAGTAAAACTCGCGGTAGTTGGCGCCTACTCATACTTGACGGCCACAGCTCTCACATAACGATGGCTTTTATCGACTATTGTAGTCGCCACAAGATTCTACTACTTATCTATCCACCTCACAGTACCCAGACGTTGCAGCCGCTTGATGTGGGTTGCTTCTCACCTTTTGGCAACAACTACTCCAAAGAAGTCACTGAACAACTCCACCAGAGCCAGGCCTTGACTGGCATCAAAAAGCGTCATTTCTACAAGCTTTTCCGAGCCTCCTGGTACAAAACGTTCAACAGCGAGCTTGTGCTGGCCGCGTTCAAAGCCACGGGCATCTCACCACTAAACCCAGCTATTATACTTGACAGGTTTCAGAACAAGCCAAGCGAGCTTCCGCGAACTCCATCTCCATTACTCGACGTCAATAGGGTCGCGATAGAACAGTTTTGCAAGGCAATAGTGAAGGACTCTACAAGTTATGAGGCAAGGAAGCTGGTTCGCACGTTCAACTACTTAGCAGCTCGCAACGCCCTTCTGGAGGTAGAAAACGAAGGCCTCCGCAACCAAATTGACACCCAGAAGACCTCTCGGAGGTACCACCAAGCCCTACCGTTACAGGCCTCCAAGTCCTATACTTCCAACGCGATGTTGTGGTCTCCAACAAAGGTGGATGAAGCCCAAGCTTAACTGCGTCAAAATACCCGCCAACAGGCTGAGGAAGCTGCTGCAAAGGCTCGCAAAAAGGCAGAGGCAGCTGAGAAGAAGGTTCAAGATGAGCGGGAGAAGGAGCAGCGGAAGGTGGAACGAGCGAGGGCAAAGGAAGAGAAAGCCCTCAGGAAAGCCGCTGAGAAGGCCGAGAAACAACGAAAAAAACAAGAGAGCGACGCTGCCAAATCTATCCAACTATCCCAAACAGGCAAGCGCAAGGCCTCACAGAAGCCACCTACAGAACCTCCAGCCAAAAAACAGCGTGCGCGTGGCGCTACTCAGGTTGTAGTTGAGGCGTCACCTTCCCCGACACCTCCACCAATTACTACACGCAGCGGCCGCACCACGCGACCAAATAGAAAATGGGAGCAGGACAAGCATCATAGGCGTTAGTAGACTGTTACAACAAAAAAATCTCAATATAATAGCTTTTGTGTGTGGCTCTATAGTCTTATTTTTGTGGTTGCCAAAGGTGGTTTTCGCGTGCACGATGTGAATCCGTGCACGATGTGCACGGTCCCTGTATACTTAACTACTTTACCTCTTCCCTTGGTGTCATCTTCAATCTTCGTCAGTCGCAACAGCAACCACTGCTTCTTCTTTCATCTGTCGACTAAGGTCTCTAGATTTGCCAAAATGCATGCGCCGAGGCTGAGGTTGCGCGTCATCTCTCCGGAGTCAGCCTATTAATTCCCAACATAACTGTCCCCATACGGAACGCCCTCAGCACCATGTCGTCTCGATACGCTTCATCAACCCCTGTTGATGCAGTTTCAGCAAGCGCGATGGAACAGAAAATACAGTCCCCCGGGCCAGTTGAATTAACCCCGCAAAGCTTTCACTGCAGCGCCACCTAGTTCGACTTCGTCGCTCTGTCACATGTATAGGGTGTTGCGCGTTTAGTATGAGTATGTGGGGGTGTCGTGACTACGAAGCCGCCGTTCTGTTTCCTATGGAAACGGGTGGTGAGAAGGAAGATTAGATGCGGTGTACCTACTACCTGCGCGATGCATGGACAGACTTTACGGACATTCGGGGACCGTCATGGCACGGCGGTCAGAGTGGTGAAGGATATTGCCGTGTTTGAAAACGCCACAAGGCCCATCATGAATCCACGCAGAAACAGCAGAGCAGCTCACACACCCTCTTCTTCCCTCTCCTGCGCCGCGATGATCTGCGAAACCCTGACAGGCGCCCACGCCGCATCCCCTCTCTTCTCCGCCCACGCATCCCACAGCCTCCCCAGCCTCGCCAGATCCCGCCCGTTCCCCTGCTCGTCCTCCTCTAAAGTCATCTCCTTCCACCCCTGCACCGCATCAGCGACCATAACCCCCCCTTCCCCGCACTCACCCCACGGCGCCTGGCCGTGCGCAAACCGCACCCACAGCCTCGCATGCTCGTCGCTTATCTTCTTGAGCGTGGTGTTTGGGAAGCGGAACTGCAGGGTTCGGAACAAGAAGTACACGTCGACCCAGTGGTGTGGGACGGCGTGGAAGGACGCGCCAGGGAAGGGGTTTGGGACGGCGAATATGTATCTGTAGAGCTTCGTGTCATTGAGAGCGGAGGAGGAGGAGAGATGAGAGCAGAGCGCGTGGATCGGGGCGTCGAAAACGACATCACCCAGATAGCGGGTCGCAGTGAGGGCGAAGAGGGTGTGATCCATGCCCTCCTCGATACCATACGTTTGCATTACTCTGTCTGTCGCCTGCTCGCTCAGGCCGGCAGAGATGTGTGCCCGGAAGGAGGCGGGCGTGAGCGATGCAGCGAGGGCGCTGTACGGCGTCCCCTCACTCGCCGTGTTGCCGACGATGAGCGCGCCGACCCACGGACAATCCGCCAGGAGACGAGGGATAGCGTCCCACGACACATCGGCGTGGGCAAAGAATGACGGATCGACGACGGGGCGCCAGAAGTTGCCGCGGGCTGTCCATGTATCGCCCGCTTCAACGAGTCTCTGGACTGGAACGGATTCGAGCTTTTCCAGCGCAGCGCGGCCTGTTTCTTCGATGCCCAGAATCTCGCAGATATCGTTAAACGCATTCCCGGCCTCGGACTGCGAAACAGGCACCATCAACGGGCCCAGCACACCTGACATGATGACCGCTCGATTGAATAGCGGCCTCGCACTCGGGCGGCCGAGCATATGGCAACAAATCGAGAAACCCCCCGCGCTCTCCCCAAACATGGTGACCCTGCTTTCATCGCCGCCAAATCCCCCGATGAAGCGCTGCAACCACTCCAGCCCTGTTCTCTGATCACACAAGCCCAGATTCACACCTCCGTCTGGAGTAGCGAGGAACCCCAAAGCGCCGATGCGGTACTGCAGAGAAGCCGCTATGACGGGTTGAGCGTCGTCGATGGATTGCGAGACGAGCGGCGCAGTGTCGTGTACCGCGTCTGCTTTGCCGACATGAAACGCGCCGCCGTGGATATACGCCATGACAGGCATCCGTTTCCCCCCCTCTTGCTGACCAGGATTCTGTCGTGCAGAACCCTGCGGCGCGGTCACAGCGGTGAAGTACTGGAGCGGTATGCTCAGCGTGACGGTCAAGCACGCGAGCTCATCGACTTCGATGATCTGCTCGTTGGGATACAGACCGCCGCTGTGGTCATCCGCCATGGTGAACGAGTGCGGACACGCGAAGCCCGGGAACTTGAAGTTGCGATGCGTGCCATTGAGGTTCTCGAGGAGAGTGGATTGCTTGAAGCGGCGCGGGACTGCAGCGTACGGGATACCGTGGAATTGGACTACTTGGTCGCCGGGGAGGACGATGCCTTGCAGATGTCCCAGCGCTGGGTGCAGGAAGTTGAAGGAACGATGGGGTTCATTGCGGGGGGGACGGTAAGCTCGCATCGTTTTTTCGACATCAGTCGATATATCAGTAGTCGATAGTTGACAATGGACTTGTTCGGGAACGACCCATGGTTATATGGGTCGAGGTCAGCATACTCGTAGCCCTCCTTACCCGATTGGTACAAGGATGCGGCGTTCCATCTCACCGTGCCCGAATAGGCAAGCACGTACGTGACTTTGTAGAAGAAAAGGTTGAAGTCGACAAATATTACTTCTCGCAATGCAGATATCCTAGCCGTCCAACATATACGCACTTACAATGCTGCCAATCGCCCTACTCCACTCGAAATACCAGCGCATTGAACCTCGCGCCCAACAATGCTGAGATGGTCTAGCCCAACGTTCAAGTTAAAGGTATACATGGAAAATGTCCCACAACAACGGAACGGGTATTTGCGAAATCAGACGTCTTTCTTGCACCCTCCAAACACACCAAGAACCTCCCATCCTCCTCTTCCAATTCACAGCCACCTCTAGACCATTCGCTGATCTAAGTGGCTACATCTATGCCTCATCAGGCGGTGGCGTAGGCAGCTCCCTACTCTTGTGCTCCGGACTGGGTGGTACCACCACCGTCGTGGGCGTTGTCGGCATCTCGTCGCTGCCCCTCGTAACCGGTCTCTCCTCGCCATCTCGTGTTTCCGGACGATCGCCAGCGACGCTACCACCGGCGTCACTCGCGCCATCCAACTCTCTTTCCTCGGGGATACTCGGGCTCATCAGCCCGCCATCTTCGCTGGCCTTGCTAGTGGCTTGCTGTCGTCGTCGTCTTCTGCGCTCGCGCTCGCTGTCCGCGGACTCGCGGCGCCGGCGCACGGAGAGACTGCCGTCTTTGTTGAGACCTTCCGGGCGCTGGAGACCTTCTAGCATTGCCGCAGCGCGGTCTGCGACGTCTGCGCCGGGCGCGGTTGGGCTGGTGAGTGCACCAATACTCGTCTCGGACTCGTTTGTCTCGCTGGTTGGGGAAAGCAAGTTCGCTTTCTCCGCAGCCTCGCCCTCTTCTGCAGCCTCGCCTTCGCCCTCCATGTTGACGCCAATCTCGGGTATCTGCTGCCCGGAGGCAACGCGCACCTGGTGGCGGTCCTTGAGGCGGGCACGGCGGCGGCGGTCGCGCTGGTCTCTCGCTTCGGGCTTCGCGGCGCGTAGTTTCTGGAGAAGGTCGTCCATGGCGCCAGTGCTGGCGGGCGACTTGGGTGCGCCGTCGTCGGAGGTGGCGGACGGCGACAGGGGGCCGGCTTGTTGCTGCTTGCGACGCATAGAGATCTCGTTGCGGCGGTGCTGCTCCTCGAGACCGACGTTCTTCTCCTTGGATTTCTGCAGTCTTGTTAGCACTGGCGCGGTATTGTAAGAAGACGCTGTGACGTACCTTCCACTCCTGAACGAAGTTGGCCAGCTTTGCGAAAAAGTCGCGGCGCGAAGAGTCGTCGGTGGCATCTTCACCGTAGAAGGCCATGATATCGTCGTAGCTCTTCTGCATGTCCTCGAGGAAGACTTGCATCTGCTCAGCCTTTCTCCGGGCTTCTTTCATGCTTCTCTGCACAACAATGGAGACCTTGTCTTCGGGGTGGAACTTGCTCGGGTCAGACAAGTTACCTGCGTCAAGCGACATTTGGATGTTCTTGATGTTGTCGATGTACTTCTTCGCATCCGTCTGCAGCTGTTCGACATTGATCTTCTGCGCTGTAACAACGCCGCCGATCTCTTCGGTAAAGTCTTCCCAGCCGGGATACTGATTGCGCACAATACGCTCAACCACATCGGCGAAGGTAGACTCGTTCTTGTCGTCCTTGAGCATGCCCAAGCGAGACAGCGTGGAGAGCTTGAAACCGTTGGCCTGCTTGTTGGCATCGTTCATGAAGTTGCCAATGTCCAGAATGAGACCCAGAACACTAATCAGGCTGGACGAGCTCCGCAGACTGTCTGCGACACGCGAGATTTCAAGGAGCTTGTTCGAGATTTCGTCGTAGTCGGTCTCGTACGTGCGTGTCAGAGCGAGCGCCCTCATCCTACTCTTCCAGTAGTAGTGCAATTCGTACGCCGTGTACAGGTAGATCTGATCCTCTCGAGTAAGCTCGTTAGGGTCTTGCTCGCGCTTGGTCTCGGCTGGGTTGGGTCCGGTCCAGTCCTTGGAGTACGGCGCCATGAGCTTGGCGGTGTTGTCAGGAACGTCGCAGAAGTCGTTCTTCTGCAAGAACTCCATGACCACGCCATCATCCAGGATCCTCTTGTCACAGTGGATGATCATGTTGACCAGCTCTTCGACAGGGTACTGTGAGAACTTCGCCATGCTGATCTGGAAGTTGTGCAGCAGGTCGCGGGAGATGATCTGCTTCTTCTCTTCCTTCTTTGAGCCCTTCTTGCCTATCTGCTTGATCTCCTTGGCCAAGAAGAGCTTCTCGACTTCATCGAGTACACCCTTCTTCGCAAGCTCCTGGTACTTTTCTTCCTTCTCTTCTGCTGTGAGACCGTGAGTGGCCCACACGGTAGAGCTCGGCGCATCGACCTTGTCCCAATGAAGGGCCTTCATCTTCTTCTTCGGTCGAGGCCCGGACAGGGCCATAGATCCCGGAGCATTGAAGCCAGCCTTTGGCAAGAATCCGGGTCGCTTCATTCCCGGCATAGGCGGCGGCGGTGGCGGCGGAGGCATGCTGCCATCGCCTGGCAGTGGAGGCGCTCCCGGCATTGGTGGCGGTGGCGGGATACCTGGGGCGCCAAAGCCAAGCTTGCCAGGAGGTGGTGGCGGAGGAGGTGGAGGAATATTAGCATTAGTGCCGGGCATAGGCGGCGGAGGAGGTATGTCTGCGGGAAATCCAAGAGCACCCGGAGGTGGTGGGGGTGGAGGAGGAATCCCAGCAGGACCAGCAGGGACTCCGAGGGCACCAGGAGGCGGTGGTGGTGGAGGTGGGATTGCTCCAGCAGGAGCACCATTCGCAGGAGCACCGTTCGCAGGAGCACCGTTCGCAGGAGCTTCGTCGCCCTCGTACTTTGGCACGGTAGATGCGATCTCGCCCATGAGGGCATTGGCGGTCGACGCACTGAGCTTCGGCTTGTGCATCTGAATGAGACGCGGCTTCTCAATCACCACGTCCTCGTCGTCTTCATTGACGTCGTACATGATCTCGTCTTCACCACCCGTACCGCCAGGTACAGGCTTTCTGCGAGGTACGCCGCTCTTCGCGCGAACAGAGCCAAAGGAGTTGGGCTGCAGACCATCGCCATAGCCTTCTGGCATCTCGCCAATCTCACCGTCCATCTTCTCTCTGAGCTCTCGCAGCTTCTCGCTCGGCGCAACCATTTGGAGAGTCTTGCCTTCGAGAGTAGCCTGAGTCTTGGCTCGCTGAAGCTGTATCTCGAGTCTGTTCATCAGGCGCTCGCGATCCATGATGCCCTGCATCTGCGTGGGATCAGACGCGCCCAGACCGTCCTTGCCAGACTTCTTAGCAGCCGAGGCGGCCACATCTTGAGCATCTCTCAGCATCAGATATAGCTCTCGGGTCTCGAGCTCGTTACGCTGCAGCTCTTGTGCCCGTATTCTCTGCATCTCCGCAAGCTCGGCCTTCATCTGCTCGACCTGCCTGCCGCGGAGATCAATGATGCGTTGTTGCTCAGCGACCTGCTTCTGCAGTTTCTGCACGAGGCCGTCTGCGCCTAGTTCGAGCTCTGCCCTGACTTGGTCACGTTCAGCAAGAGCTGAATCGGCAATTTGTCGCGCAGCATTGGCTTCATCGCGAATCTGACGGGCCTCGCCATCAGTGTACAGCTTGTCGAGCAAAGACTGGACAGTGAAGTTCAGGCTCTGCTTCAGATCCATATCCGGCAGTCGGCGGTCCATAGCCACGTAGCTCAGCATCGAATCGACGAGCTGGAACATCCTGTTCCGATCTTCGCTCTCCGTGTCGCGGATCAGCAGCAGATGCTGCATGGCAGAGAGGAAGTAGTCGTTCGCACGGGTCCCGCCAACCTTGGCTTGAATGGCCTCTGCAATCTGCGCAGGGTCGTTCAAGTCCTTGATTTCTCCTCCGTCGACACTGTCCACCACGGAGCTGTTCTCGCGCTCCAGGAAGTCCTCGTAGTCGACGGCTTCGTTGGCCATGTACTGCTCGATCTGCTTATCAATGACGTCGTACTGGAAGCCCTCCATCTTCTTGAAGATGCGCTTGATACCGCATCCTGTGAACTGCGCGCGGATGTGCATCCTGAGCTGCAGGTCGCGCTTCGGGGCGTCGACAATCATGTTGATGAAGAACAGCGTCGCAATGGCGTATTCCATCAACAGGTTCTCGACACCGATTCCTCCGCTGCGAACCTCGTCCGAGGCGCCAACCATGGATCCCATCTTGCCGCGTCCATCGACCGTGACCTCGACGACGCGCATCCAAGCGTCGAAGCGGCCGTTTTCGCCATACTGCGCCTTGAGGTTATCAAGCGCGTTCAGCACCTTTTCGTGGCCGCCGCCTTCGCCCCAGTGGCACAAGAAGGTCAGGACATCAGAGACGAGCTTCCGTGTGTTGAGGCGCGAGGAGATCATGGATCCTGCCAGGGCCTGGATGATGGACGGGTGGTTCAGAGCATTGTCTGCGCCATACTTGTTGTTCATCAGAGCCTTGAGGCACTTGACAATCTCGTACTCGCGCTCGACGTCGTTCTCCGTCTTCTGGTTGAAGGCGCTCGGGGGCGGGGCCGGGCCGGTTCCCTTTCTGCGGTTGATCTTGGTCAACACATTCGTGAGGGCGATCTGGCCCTGTGCCTCGATGAAGCCGCGGACCCAGGCGATGGGCTGGGTCCGCAGGCTGATCTCCAGACTCGACATCTGCTTGTTGGTGATGGAGTTGTCCATGACCTTCTTGACGTACCACTCGGGCGAGCCCTCCTCCTCTGCACGGATCAGTATGTCTGGGTTCGCGCCGCCGCCGTAGAGGCCCGTGTTGCGCTGCGTCTGGCGCTTCTTCTCCTCGTGCTTGTGCTCGGCCAGCTTGTCCTGGTAGACGAGGGTCCACTTCTTGTCAATCTTGTAGGCCTCCATCTGGCGGCGGGCCTGCTCGGGCAGGCTCTTCCAGCCGCGCTTGACCATCAGGTTCATGAACTCCTTCTCGACCACGTGGTCAGGCGGGCGCTCAATGTCGAAGCCCTTCTGCCCGAGGCTCGCGCTGGAGTTGAAGGGCGACGTGTGGGCCGGGTGCAGCACGTTGTGGCGGTGCGAGTCGCGCGGGGTCGACGCCGCCATGGGCAGCAGGCTGGCAGCGTCGAGCCCGAGGGACGAGAAGGTCGTCTGCGAGTTGCTCTTGGGGGAGTAGAAGCTGTTGCCGCGGGTGCGCGACTCGTTGGAGTAGACCGACGCCTGGTCGCTCGAGCCGTGCGTGCGGCTGCTGTCTCGCGCGCCCCACTGCTGCATGCTCACGCCGCGGTCGCTCGCGTCCTGCGTGGTCATGGTCGTGCCGGCGTGCGGCGGCGGGCGCGGCAGGCCATCGCGGCTCCTGGTGACGCCGCGGTCGTAGCCATTGGCGGGCATCTGCGTCGCGTCGAAGACGGGGTACTGGTGGAAGTCGCCGCCGCCCTGGTTCAGGTGGTGCGGCTCGACTTGCTGGGTCGCGTCGAAGAGGCTGATGGGGCCGGCCTTGGCGAAGATGCCCTCGGCGCTCAGCGACACGGGACGGTCGATGCTGGCCTGGCTCGAGGAGTGGCGGTGGGCGCTGCCCGGCGGCGAGTCTGACGAGGAGGGGGCGGGCGGGCGCGTGTCGCTGCTGCTGGGCTTGTCCTTGTGTCGGCGCCCAAAGAACTTGGACGTGGACGACTGCCGGCCTTTGCTGTCCATGGCAATGCGCGGGCCGTGTGCGGCGGCCGTCCTCTCGCGCTCTCGAGAAACCGCGGCCCTCTCGCGCTGTGCTGTGCTGTGCTGTGCCGAGGAGAGGTCGACGTTCGGGGTCCGGGGGAGGGGGGGGGATTGCTGGTGGGAGCGGGAAGGGGCCGAGTACGCTGCCTAGCGGCTCTCGTGCATCATGTCTGCCGTGCAGGCTTCACGTGCGGGATGCCGCAGTGCGTCGGGCTGGCTGGGTTGCTCGCAGCTCGTGAACGCAGGGAGCGTGCAGACGTCTGCTCCACCGTGTTTCGCGGCGTGGGGTGCTTGGACTTGCTTCTCCTGAGTCGACCCGGGCAGGCGCGTGCTGTGGCTGAAGCGTGCGAGGCGAGGACGTGCTCGGCGCCCTCGGCGGTCCGATTGGCAGGACGGCGCAGGGCAGGGCAGGGAAGGTCAGCGCACGGCGACGATAGCCAGCACTCGGCCGGGGGCATGTCTTGTCTACGAACATTTGCGCCTGTCAGACACCCGACGGCTCTGTGAGATCATGGCCGGCTTTGCCCATTTCCTGCGGGTGAGCGACGACCCCTTGCCCCTGTCTCGCACACTGCCACGCACCCACTAACACGGTCAGGGCATCCTGATCCCGCTCGTCATCGCCCTCGTCCTCTACGTCTCCGCCACGCTCTTCGTCCTGCCCTTCGTCCGCCGCCACCGCACCCGCTACTCGCAGTACCTGCCCGTGCCGACATCCATGGCCAGCCACGCCGCTGGCTGGCGCACCAAGCTGTCCGACGCCCTCTACCACCTGTTCATGCCGAGCACCTGGACCCGCCAGCCGCCGGTCCACATCCACGCCGACGACGACGAGTCGAGCGACTTCGACGACGACGAGGGCGAGGGCATGGTCGGCTTCGATCCCCTCGACGGCCGGCGGCGGGACGCGCTGGAGCAGCGGCCGAGCAGGGTCGACGAGGAGCGGCGGCTGGGGCGGGACCTGGAGCAGGGCTTCAAGGACGACAGCGAGGACGAGGACCGAGACGAGACGAGGCGGTCGTTGTCGCGGTCGAGACCTTAGAATGTGGTTGTTTGGTCCGTTTGGCGAGGAGACGTGCCACGCCGTGCTTCTTGGATGCATTTCATTGGATACCCATAGACTGTTCAAACCGCACCGCAATTCCCACCACGCGTCGTACTGCTTGTGTCTGCACAAGATTTATTTTTTTGACGCTCTACAGCACGGCACATTCCTTCATGCATATTCTCTCTCTGCAATCAAAAAGACAGGCTCGCGATGAGGCTTTATACCTAATACTACCTACTAAACAAACATAGAACCTAATGCTACCCACTGAATAAATGTAGAACACAGCACTACCTGGTAGATAAACACAACACACCAACTAAACAAACACAACACACCAACTAGACAAACACAACACACCTACTAGACAAACACAACACACCTACTAGACAAACACAACACACC